TAGGAGAGGTCATGCCGGGCAAATTTTTTACCAAACGCCCGGCGTAGGGCAACGAGAAAGTCAACATTTTCTAAGGGCTTTACCGAATTGACAACCCAGGCACCAACGAGCGGCATACATGTGGCCCCGATCCCGACACGCAGCGGGTGTGGAGTTCGGAGCGGTTACGGGACGATTTGAAGAGCGAGACCAACCGGGCGTTAGACGAAGCGATTAATTTAACCGCGTACCGAGACATTGCCATTGGCATCAGTCGACGGTACATGCGGCATTCCAACCAGTTCCCGAACAACGTAAATACGGACGATCGCACACCGGAGCACCAGGACGATGCCGACGACGAGGGCGGCATAGGAGCGGAGGACTGGACATGCCACGTCGCAGATTTACAGGCAGCGCATTCGTCGCACGCCGCTGGCATGGTTTACGGGCGTGAGATTACAGAGCAACCCGGCACCACGGCACACTGACGGCAGTTAGTCCGATTACCGAGCACGGATTGGCACCGGTTTTTAGGTTTCGTGTGCGGCGATAGTGAGTCTTATTCATACTGCCCGCGTGGGTAGCCGGTGGCACGACGGTAGTGGTGGTCCCGTTAATCGCACTACGCAGTGATATGCAGCGACGATGCCAGCGGTTGAATATCCGATGCATTGAATGGGAGAGTCGCCAGCCGGCCGACGATGCCAATATCGTGCTAGTCACCCCCGATTCCGCGCTAGGTCCAAATTTCGTAAGTTTTTTAAACCGGCAGAGGAGGCAGCACCGATTAGAGCGGATTGGTCTTAACAAGTGCCACGTTATATTGAACGACCAGAAGGATTTCCGCCCCGTTATAGCCCGGCTAGGGCGGTTAAGTGGTTCGGAGTGCAGATAGTATACATGACAGCGACATTGCCACCCCGTGAAGAGGGCAAGATGTTCATACGGATCGAGACTACCCGCGAGAAGGTACAGTTATTCCGTGCCCGCACATATCGCAGCAACGTGGCATACCGGGTAGTTCGTCCCACTGTGGACCGCTAGTATATATTTAGAGATCGTTAGATCGAGGAGCCGCAGGTGTTAGCCATAATCCGTCAGCGCATCCGTCGTAGTCGACCGGGTAAGGTGATCTTATACACGTGGGTAGTCCGAACGAGACAGACATTGGCAAGTGAGCTAGGGTGCGGGATATACCACAGTAGGAAGTTAGACAAGGCGAGGGTGCTGGGCGAGTTCCAGAGCGGGCAGTCGCCGGTAATCGTGGCCACCAGTGCATTAGGTATAGGCGTGGACATTCCCGACATCCGTTTCATCATCCATATTAGACAGCCACGCACGTTAATAGATTACGCACTGGAGGGCGCTCGTGCTGTCCGTGACGGTCAGCGCAGCGAGGCCAGTATCATCCAACCGGCGCAGACGCAGGTCCCGGAGTATATCATCCAGGATATAACAGAGGACAAGGTGCGACGTATTCAACAGTATATAGAGGCGGAGCATCCCAGGTGTCGAAGATATATATTGGATGGGTATTTAGACGGCATGGTGGATAGATACCGACGAAGTCATTGCGGCGATCACGGTCAACCGGAGCAGATGTGTGATGGATGTGATCCGGATTGATTGGCCCACAAGGAGGAAATGGCGGGCACGGCGAGTCCACCCAGGGTTGACGTAGCAGTCGATATAGATACCGATATAGATACCAGGGTCCAAGGGAGTAAGAGCGACACAGAGGATTCCAGCGACGAGCCCATACACGATACGCCAGTAACACCGTTCGAAGTCAACCCCGACCCCAGTAAGATATGGCAGGCCGACCCAGCGCGATAGGTGACCCAGGACACGATCAGGGCAGCGCAGTCCAGCTTGTATTGAGGTGCAAGGATCGTACCAATGGCGTAGTAATCACCATGCGTATCGGTAGTCCTGGCATAATACGGTAAGAGCTTCTCCTTCGCAGCATGTAATGCAGTATGCATCGACTGCTTCCAAGGAGCCTTCTTATGTCGGAGCTGGGCTATCGATAATTCAAGATGGCTAAATAACTGGTTGTAGATACTGAAGTCGCCATGTATTGTTGCATCTTTAGTCTGGGAGAGAGCAGTTGTAAACTCAAAGAATAGTTAGGTGAGACGAAGAAGATAGTCGATTTGTCGCATTGTTCTTTGTGTGGCATTAATTCGTGATGCCCACTGCCCACACAGAACATATCAAACGAAGACCGTAATCGCTTAGCCCGTCGGAGCATAAGGAACGTTAAATTCCACCGGGTACGGACATCTGGGATCGGAACTCGCTTCGTTCCTTCGGTCTGGACACCAAGAAACAACTCGCGACGTTGAGGGCAGCTATTAATAAAGATCGCTAAGTAGCGGATCCAGAATGTAGATTAGTATAGTAAGATAACTATAGAATAGATAATACTATACCTTCTCTAGGGTATACGCAATCTCTTTGCCTTCTTGGGGGGAAGGACGCCCGCGGCTGCGATTTCGGGACCACGTTCTTTCCACTATCTCGTTCTTTGGATTGGCTTTGATCTGGCCAAGCAACTTATTCAGACTCAGCTGAATCACATGTGCGATACAAGGAACACGGATGATCGTGAATTGACCATTCAGCTCAAGGTTTTGGACCGCGTTATTAACACTCGTCATCAAGGACTGATTGTTTGATGCATTATCACTCAGAGAGTACTCGATCTGTGATTTCAAAGCGTTGAAAAATCCCAAGTAGGGTGGTACAAAGATTAGCCCCTGAGTGAGTTCCATATATTGGTTCGAAACCAAGGAAGATTTCACAGTAGTTCCAGTCTTTATCGATAAAGTAGCCAGTGATAGCCATAAATGCTTACTGAAATGGCGAAGTCCAGCAATCTAATGCGATTGGAAGCTTTGCACCTAAAGGAAGCTTTGAAGAAGGTTTTTAAGCGATGCCCTAACAGTATCTTGAATCCTATTCTTCACTGTATTGGCGCATGGGAAGCTGAGCACCCCTGGTGCTAACTGGGCGAGGCGAAGAAGCTTTTGTAGCACCGGGTGCTCAATAATTTAAAAGGGAAGGCGGAGTATAGTAATCACTCGAGGAATTTGTTGCTCCCAGTGCTGTCTAGTAAAGGAAGTAGTATTGTCTCGGGTGTGAGATACCTATATAAAAAGGTATCAATTAGTATGAAATTCGGAGGAATAGAACGATATATAATAAGAGCTCACTAAGTCTGCCATTATCTGGCGTATTTGTGGCTGCTTGCCAGCCCTTATACCAGCCCTTTGGCATTTCTGGCCATCCCAGTGCCTTCGTAATGACTTCGTTCCATTTGAGGTCCAGTTTGGCTGGTCAAGGATACCTCCACATCTTTCGCACATAACCTTTGGTGAACCAGAAGAAATATGGGCGGCCTGCTTAAAGTGTCCCCAAACTTCTGACTTATTACCAATACCATCCCAACTAAGCTTCTTCTGGTCGCAATTCTCTTCGTCCTTCTGCTTATAGCCGTGTTCCGTTTGAAGCCACCACTGTATGAATTCTGCCTTAGACTCTCTACTCATAGTTGCGGAGTATAAGAGAAACCCCCGCTTTCGGTCAGGGCCGACGCGCTGGAGGATTGGAGGAATCGGAGGAGTCTGGAAAATATAGGTTTCGGTGTTTAAGTTAGGGGGTTCTGAAGCAAGCGATAGATCTGGTGTAAATCTATCATTTGCAAGAGGGTATGCGAGGGCTTGTATGCTTTCTCCCTCAAGTATTGTCGAGGGATTGATATCAGACTGTTGGGAATCTATTCTTAGGAATTTGAATAGAAAGACAATAGTAAGAGGGCTCAAACTATAGGACTTACATGATTCCTTTGCTGACATTAAGAAGGCTAAACGCGCAAAGAAAAACCTATCCTTCTTATATTTATATATCATAAAGTGGCTATTTCTAGTTAATCCGATTGGCTTAAATTTATAAAAACTCGCACAGCCTATAGGGATGCCCATGGGCCGCCTATTCCCCTAGAAAATTCGATCAGGTACATCCCCCGAGTTTTGGGTCTCATTCTCTTTGACCTTTGATTCATTTGATTCAAGACAAAATCACCCTTAGCCTATGCCTCTAAATAAACTAGTGATCTAGCATTTATATTGTAAGAAATTGAAAGTAATTTAAATTAATATCAGGATCAGATAATATATGTTAAAACTGAATGTCTGATGTCTGAAGTAAATGTTCTAAATAAGTTACAGGATGTAGTGTAGAGATATATATCTTCATTATGTCTTCAGATAAATCTATCCCTTTTGGGATCAATTGGCCTTAACGCCGAAAATTCAAATCAAACAAAGTGTTTCTTACATCAAACCAATCCCATTATTGTAGATACATTGATTTACCAAATTTTCATAACGAATGTTGTTGATTACTACTAGGAAGCAGCGTTTTGATCAAAACATATGTAAGTAAACTGGATTCAATTCGCTGAATCAGCTTTTATCCATCCTATTTGGGAAAATATGCAGCTGATGGGCTGTAGATGGGCGGCCCATTTCGAGTTCTAATCTGGAGATACGCACACAATATGGCTCACATGACCTCTAACAACACTGTACAGTAAGTTAATGCGGTGCGTACCAGAAATTCTGCTTTATTGGCGAAGTATTTTGTAAAATCACGTGGCGAGTTCTGTTCTAGGTTGTTGGATCTCATTTTAACAAGGCGAGTCCCTCCTGAGTAAGCGAATGAGAAATGCATGTTAGCTACAACCTATTTGAGAAAAATCCTCCATTGGGAATTTTATCACGTAAGCTAAATAAGGCTTGGCAATCACGAATCATGGCTCCTAGGTAGCTAGAAGGAGCGAACGACAGCATTCTAGGATGCAATTGAGGATTCCTCATTTAAATTGAAATTCTGTGATCACTTCTACTTCATGTGCTGGAGCTTCAGGAGTTCAAGATTAAGTAAATGGTACATACAAGTTTGCCTCCCTTAATATATTGATAAAGGTACCTTTGGACCTCGTTTGTAGACTGTCAAAACGTAGTTGTGGTTGTACTTGCTTTCGCCTTTTTGGTTTCTTCACGCATAGCTTCTATCCACCTCTGAACATTGTCTAACGCAACACCTGGCGCATGTCGGTGCTGCAGAAGATATGACATTATCTGAGCAGGGCTGAACTCCCCTTCCGGCACTGTACGAGCGAACTCAATGGCCTGCCTTTCAAATGAAGGGTCGACTTTTGCTTGAGGTGTGCTCTCAGAAGACGGCGCTATCGGCTGATCAAAGATAAAACGATGGAGTTGCGTCGCGACATCCCTGTCAGCAAGCTGAAATTCGACCTTCTTATCAACCCGGCCAGGTCGGATAAGAGCTGGGTCTAGCTTCTCGATATGATTCGTGGTCATGATGAGAACTCTATCTTCCTGTGAGGCAACGCCGTCTAGTACGTTCAAAAGCCCGGAAAGAGTTACTCCATTCTTTTCTGCATGCGATTTGGCATCGCTGTTAGGGCCTTCTCCTCCAAGCTCCCGAGAATAAACCGAACCAACTGCATCAATGTCTTCTAGTAATACCACACAATTATCTGGGAGCTGTTCAAATAGGGTCTTTAGCGATTGATCGTCTACACTGGGGATGCTAACGGCATATATGTCCATGCCCAGCTCGCCGGCAATTGAGAGACTAAAGCTAGATTTCCCTGTTCCAGGCGGCCCGTGCAAGAGATATCCACGTCGATAGGGAAGACGGCGCTGAGAATACCAATTTCTCGTCTGTGGCTCGAGAAAGTCTTTCATGTCTTTGATAAGAGGGCTCTTTTCACTGTCCTTCAGAATGACAGTTGACAACGGCCTAATATCCTTTGCCTTCACTTTCCTCCACTGGGAGCTGCAGTGGCCAAATATGGTAATCTTGTTTTCAATATGGTTCAGGTATTCATCCTGACACTCTTTCAAAAGGGCTTTCAAGATATGTGAGGATCTTCCCAAGCAAGTGACCGAGATATTCTCGTATTTAAAGTATCCAGCACTCTCCTGGTTGATCTTGCATAGGAGCGGTTGTTTTTTAAACCAGATAAAAAAACCTGCGTTATAAGGCAAAAATTGAAGAGGCTTCTTGACTGCCCTGGATCTATCTTCATAGTTTCTTCAGGTGGTATTTACCTTCGCAATGAAGGATCTAGCAGTGTCTTCGAGCCCTCTAGATGCGATCCAAGATGTTAACATATCATGAGTTTCACTCGAGGAATGAATATGGACCGTTGAGGCTGCTACAGGTTAGTGTAAAGCTACACCATTGCATATGCGAACTTACTAAAGTAGTTTTGTAGCCAAGAAGTCATGTTAGCGGCATACGGCCTCATCACGGCGAGGCTGCCAATGAGGTACACGAGGTAAGTAAGGCTTTTTCCTTTACCATTCAAAAGTCGATGTAAAAGTCTAGCCATCTTGGTAAAACCCGGGATGAAGGCATGAATGATATTCAGGTACCCAAGAAGAGACTTTGCACTGGTAGATGTTTTCATTGTATACGTAGTCGGTAATGATATGAGAACGCCGAGAGGGTTGCGCGTCTGATGGGACTAAAACTTAATCCGGAGGCTTTATGTAGGTAGAAAAGGTAGGGCGATGTTTCAAGATTGGCCATCCTCTCTCCCCTTGCAGATCAGGTCCCGTAGCCTTAATTAGGGCAAGCTAATAAAATTTTGTATCAGCCGCAGGCTCACGCTTTCAGGACCTCCAATCCGGAAACTGATTTTGATTTGATGGTTTTCTCTGGTTCCGCAAGGGTTTTGAAAAGGGAGTCAGATTATGAACATTAGCCAATACTGTCGGCGCTTGTTTGCTTAAAGCCGTACTAATATATGATACCGCGGTATATCCAGTTTTTAAAGAGTCAGGGTCAATATCCTTCTCCCGAACCAGATTTGAACGGCCACCAAACCAAATAGCACCCCAAACCATTTGAAACCCATGGGGTATACGTCGAGGGGTGGCCTGCGCACTCCCCTGATTTAAACCCTATTGAACCTGTTTGGCGGTGGTTGAAACTCAAGCTTTTTGAATTAGTGGCAGGGTCTGTATTACTACAACTGAGTGCTTTATGTTCCGTCCACATTTAAACCATGTAGCCAACGTTTCAAGATAAACCCCTGCCTCTCTTACCATCCTAGAAATCTTGGGAAGCACAAAATTCACTAGAGCGTCTACTGGTAATAGATGAATCGGCCTCGCATCAGTTTCTTCGCCACATGATCCACTCAAAAAGTTCATATCCAAATCGCTTTCACTCTTCTAGCCGGCTGATGTACATGCGATTTAGTCTAAAATTAAACACGAAATTGGCTAAGTTTAGTACCACCACCACATTCATAGTTAGTTCGTGCTAAAATTAGAGCCTTTGTTCCAGATTTCGTATTTATATTAAAGCCAAAGGAGTGGCCTTTAATATGACATCTCTATCTTTACAGGCTAATCTTCATGCTAGAGATAAAAGAATCATTGAATATGAGCCCCTAGGCCAGGCTGCCTGGCCTTTCTTTTCCACCGCCGCTATCGTAAAAAATGGCAGGAGCCTCGTTCACTCTCTTTTTAATCAGCGTTGTTGTCCTTTAACACTCATATATGCCTGATTCGTAATGTATGGACTACAGCAAACCCTGTAGGCGGAGACGGAGGATATCTACGCCGTAGACGAAGGTAGAATAAAAGGGAAAGGTAAAGAACAATGGGTATTGGGAGAACTGATTTCCAAGGCCAAAATCAGGGGACGTGTTAGCCCTCCAGGGATGTAGGCTGTCCAGGGGAATCATAATACGTCCTGAGGGCTTGCTGAGGGGTTAGAATAGAACCAATTCCAATCGAAGATTCGCAAAATAGATGTCCCAGGACAAGGATGTCTCGGATGCCCAAAACTTATTCAGAAGCTCTCGTGCTCTTGTAAAGTTTCCCATCCCAAGACTTTGCATGTCACCCATCCGGTTGTGGATAAAATCGCGTTCCTTGATATCGTCGGTTTCACAGCCAACACTGAACATGGGCCAAAGGATCAATATATTCGCAGAAGAGAAGGGCGGGATGTCTTCCACTGCGGCTATAATTTTCCTGGTGTCCTCTTTCACCGTCTCATGGTTTCTTGGGAGTTTTTGGATTCGGCGGTGGAGGTGTAATAAAGCAGAATGTACAAAGGCAAGATGTGTACTCTGCAGCTCAAGGGAATCTCCACCAGAAACACTGCACTCAACAAAGAATCTCAATCCCAAGCCCTCGAGCTTCTGTCAAGACGTCTTGTTGCATTCTTGGCTCAGTGTGATATTGGCGTTGCATCAATTGAGATAGCCTCGCAAGCAGCGGGGACGACTTCAAAGAGTATCCACATATATCGTCAACATGCGGGTTTAACAGATCAAAGGACCTATCCAGTAGCCCAGTATCAGAGCTCATCACACCACTAGTACCCAATCCCGATAATCCCGCGAGAACATCCATTGTTGTGAACCATTTGACCAAACATTGAATGTAAGGATCAGCAATGGGTAATGTTCCTTGACAATCCAAAAAGGCACCTAATAGTCGCATTACCCCGCCAAGGTGAGTCCGCCATGTCTGCATATTCCCATTGCACACATCATTAGTGCACAGAGCCATCGCCGTCGTGACAGTCTCAGCTGTCAGTGTTGCATTCGTTTCATTGAGTGCCGAGCGCAGGCTGGAAATTGACAAGTTCGTGAACCTCAAGCAGGACACCCTTTACTTTGGTCCTGTATCTTGGACAAGTCGGCTGTGGTGGCTGGAGGCAGATGCGAGGAGGGCATAGAGAAGATGGGGTGTCTCTAGGGAACTTGCGATGATTCTTTGCAAGAAGAGCACTGGAGCTGCCGGGAAGAGCCGCGGGGCAGTTTCGGTGTTAAAGACGTGCATGAAAAATTGAGATTCTTTTGATGATAGAAATGGTGATAATTTTAGAGCAGGCTGATGAGCGATAGGGTTTAGGCTCTGGTTGACGCTTTCATTGCGACGATTCGCTTCACTCGGCCTTGTGTGAGTGATGACATGCTGATTGATGATGTTGATATCATATTTGCATTCTTTGGGAAACCGCGTGCAGCGCGAGCAGATAGGTTTCTTCAGGTCACACTAGACATTTTATTAGCGACGTTCAGTTGGCCAGTGAGAAGTTCTTTACTTTGACTTTTTTGCGTCGACATTCTGTGCAGCCATCTCGCCTTCTTTGGGGGATGGAGCTATCTTTGCCAATTCGATGGCTTGGCATAGCCAACCGAATTTATGATAATTGCAGGTAAGAGGAAGAAGGAAGCAGAGAACACGAGAAGTCGGGGAAAGAGAGCAGCCCCACAATTTCCCGAGCTAAGTATCCGATCCAATCATATTACAGCATTGCTGAGCTACTTGAACTACTTGAATTGTTAAATATTCTTAAATATTCTTTCCGTTATAAAGGCACAAGAATAGTCTTTTTAGTAATCTACCCAGCCTTATAGCGCTCAGGGTTCAAACCCCCTTTTTAGAGGGGTTCTTGATGCCGGAATGCCTTATTTAGCACCGCTCTCCACACCGCTCTATGTATACATCGTATTGTAATTATTCATACACAATATGAAGCTTTTCATCTCTATACAAATGCAGATATCTCCACGTTCTTGGGCGGTTTACAAGTGTCAAAAATGTAGCTTTTGATCTTACAGTAGATTTCGAAAAAGGCTTCCCCTTAGAACACTCACGGCTTGTTTCTCGGCCCGTACCCGAAACCACACTAGTTCGAATTTGGATTTGGTATTGATCATCCTTGGCTCACAATGCATGTTAGCCTACCACTAGTCCTAATTTAGGCTAGTGTGGTTCCGGGTACGGGCCGAGAAACAAGCCGTGAGTGTTCTAAGGGGAAGCCTTTTTCGAAATCTACTGTATACAAATGGAGATATCTCCATTTTCTCGGACGGTTTGCAAGTGTCAAAAATGAAGCTTAGTCTATTTTCCGGGGGTTACGTCAGACTTTGACCAAACAAACCCAACAACGCGAGGACTACAAGGGCCGGTATCAGGTGGTCGCGACGCAATTGACCAAGTACAAATCCCGAGACAGAGGGTTTTCGCAGCTGGATGACAGCCATTTGAAACAGCTGGCAGAGAAGTTGCGGGTGAACCTCTGGAGATTTGCTCTTCATCACTACGAAGGGGACGGAGGGGTCGTCGCGCGCGGACGAGGGTCGAGTGCTTTTTTCACTGAATGTATTGAACCCACTTCGCGAGACTACATGAACCGCGAAGGCTATGTTGAATATTCCGACTGGCGGCCGATGATTTTCGAGGCATTTTTGTGGAAAGTTATGGTTACCCGAATCTTCAACAATTTCTGGTGGGCAGGCATAATTGGCACGCCCATGACCAAAGTTTATGCGTCCATGAGTCAGAGTAAGAGTCCGACGGTGTTCTTTTTGGGGGCTCCATGAAGCAGGCGTTGACCATCTACTGAACCCAGGCTTCAGTTCAAACGCGGCCGATATTCTGATCTTCCAGATGTGATCAGCAACTACGACCAAGCTGATCCACGAGTACCAGAAGCGCAATGATAGGGTGTGAAGTGCCAGCTACGATGATAACTTCGAGAACCTCGTGGGCCAAATCCGCGATGCGATTAATCCATACCGCATTTCGAAACCTGGTGGCCTGACGAAAGCGATCCGCGATGTCCTAGTTGAGGCGATCGCGCTGGACGAAGAGCTCAGCCGGCCGCTGGCCCAGTTTAAGTGGGACTTCCCCGAGCATGGAGAAGAATTCGACGCCGGACGGATGCAAGCAGCAGATGTAGACGCCTCAAATATGAAGGGTCCCATCAGCATCGTCATTTGTCCGGGGATCAAGAAAAGGGGACGATCCGGGGACTTCGAGAAAGAGGATATACTCCTCACCAGCAAGGTCTCTTGTGCCGCTCCAATTAGTGCGCTATCTGAGAGCTATGGGAGTTTCCAATGCCTTTGCAACCGATTGAAGATCCCTGTATACAATGAGTTTGACCCATCTTTGGAGAGACTACAAAGGTATTGTTATGCTCGTCTTTAATTTATCCTTGCCGCCCAGCAACACTTCCAACTCATTCTTCCTTGACGCAGTCTCAATATTTCTCTATGATACAATCTAAATTCGCAAATACCAATCTGCAGCTGTTGAATACATGACAACATACCAATACGTTTTCGTGACGAGGAAGCAAGTGAAGCGGGTCAGAGGCCTCATTTTTAGCCATGAGGCTTGAGCGAGGATCCTTGAAATAACGCGTGATCCGTATGGCTAGTATGGGATCCCTGAATGCAATCTCAAGTTCTCCATGGAAATGACCATTTGCAGGGATACGTGGTAAGCAATCAGCTGCGGCTGTGCTGAGGCGGTATTTTGCATGCAGAAGCAATGAAGCACTGCACGTCCGATATTGATTCTCCCACTCCCACCAATCCCCCGATCCCCAACTCTCCCCGGTTCCCCAATTCCCCCAATTTCCCCAATTCTGGGCACCTGCAGTCATCTCTCTTTACAGTCATTGCCCCCAGCTCAGACCAACCTATGCGTAGTTTCTCGAGTGGCTGTTCGTTTTGCACTGCCTCAGGTGGATAAAACCTTGCTCCCAACCTTGCTTAATCTTCCTCTCTCCCTCTCTCAATCAGCTAGCTCAATACAACCCTTGGCTTTTTTTTCCTATAATATCTCTTCTAGCGTCTTTCGGCATGCGAAACCGCTGCTTTCAACTTTTAGCCCATCGACTTATCCTAACTCTTTCTACTACTCCAAGCCACTTACATTATATCTTCCTCTTCCACACGTAAGATGGTACATACGACCATAGGGTGTGGAAAACAGGGCTTCCCGTCCGCTCAGCCGTACTTAAGCCACACGCCGGTGAGTTAGTAGTTGGGTGGGTGACCACCAGCGAATCCTCACTGTTGTATGTTTTTGTTTTTATTTTTATGTTGCGAAAACGCTTATTGCCTGCCGCCCTACTTACTTTACTTTCAGCCCCCTCAGCCCCTTCACCTGAATATCCTGCACGCCCCTGAACCGCTTGACGTGTCCTTCCCCTCCCACACTGATTTTTCTCACAGGCATGTTGTTTTGATCAACTAAAAAGGAAAGAAAGAGAAAAGAAAAAAAAAAAAAAAAAAACAGAGGGGCCACCCAGGAGAATCGACCTCCGGATGAAATAAAAGAATTTCGGGAAGAACGACCCATGTTACGTAATGGCTAAGGAGAATGACCTAGCAAACCAGATCAAGCAGCAGTACAACAGCTCGGATAGCCACGAGCCCACCTTTTAGCAGTTTACAAGTCTACCATTGTTTCGCGTATCAGTGCCTGTCAACCCCCTAGAAATAAGGCACGGCGTGCTTTGGAGCTCGTCATGCCATATTTCGAGCAGAAACAGAAACTCTCCCAGGAGGAACGTGAGAGCATCGGCAGAATTATAGAATGCCTTAAAAATAATCGCAGGGATGTTCTAGGTGAGGAACAACTGGAGTATTTAACCATTGACGTTTATTCAGTTCTCACGCAGGCGAAAGACCTTCACATGATCTTATATAGGATGCGGCAAAACGTCATGAGCGTAAAGTTCACCGCACCTCGAGAAGATCAGCTCCAAAGCAGCAGTTATATATACCATGTGTAATACGCAATGAAACAAAGACTATCTGAAATCTTTGGCAGTGAAGGTCCCAAGACTAGGTAGGCTATTGTCTGATTCGGTGTTTGGTTTGAATATCAGACATGTGCTGCTAAGATGACAACAGAAACGGGATTAGAAGGAGAATTTTTCATTATAGGGTTTGCAGATTATGCAGCTAGAAGATCCCTAGATTAAGCTCAATACTAGTAAATCTCTTCACTGGGACATTCCTCCGTCCTTGGTTAAGGAGTTCCACTGTCTAATCCTACTCTGTACCGAGTCGTGAATCTCGGTTGACTGAAAAAGCGTGGAAATAGTCTTGGAGTTACCCTGTCCTCCAAATACTGGGGCGCCATTCACAAAGGAATTAGAACGTCTGTCAGTTGTCTGCTTAGAGGATTTTCGATTTTTGATCTCTTGTACAAATTCACCGAGAACTTCCGGATAATTCCAACAAGAATCCTGGTTATCTTTGTGTTGGCAACTTTCGAACGGAGAGCCAGCCAAACGCCAGAAATGATCCTGCGATAATCGACAAGAAGATCCATGAGCTTGGTCTCCATACTTTCTGGAGAGAGACTTAATGCTTTGGATTGATGCAGCCATCAAATCATGAATTGTAAGAGTTGATCGTTCCAGGCCTCTTGCGAGAAAGGTACTTCGGCTATATCTTCACCCTAGTTTAATTGAAATCACTAGTTAGTAGTGTTAAAGAATGATATACCATTATACATACCGATTGAAGAAACCCTCTCAGTCCCCCCCCTTTGCTGCTGTATCCCTTTAGCCTTTCGGCGGGCTGAGGTTTGAGGATGACGAGTAATAGTTGTTGTACCATGACGGCCAACCTTCCCATTGGTACTAGCATCCTTCTTGGTAGCATAGGGGTGCTCAAGAATTGCATTGCAACGCTTACACATAACCTTTGGGCTCCCAGTAATTGTATGCGCGACTTGTTCATACTCTTTCCAGGTCTCCGAAGCGGAACCATGCTGTGAGTTCCAAGTGATCTTATTGTTAGATCCATAGTCAGTCTGTAACCACCAATCGACCCAGTAACTATGATTCATCGCGTCGTAAAGAAAGTACTGGCCTCTCCTACCAGGACCGACTCGTTGAAAGCATTCAAACTCCGCTTCGGGAGCGATTGACGAAGGAACAGACGGTTGAACAAACGATGAACTGTAGCTATCAAATACCTACTGAGAGGCAGTAATATATGACAAGTCGTCGAGCTCGGGTTTGAACAGAATAAACTGAGACGATCCAGCCTCGGTTTGCTGGCTTTGCGACATGACTAGTTGATGAATTCAAACGTATATAGTAGGAGAAGTTTCAGGGTAATTAGGAGAAGGGAGGATTCATCCATTATAGAAGGCTACCTTCTTCATAAGAGAGGAATTGGTTAAACAAGAATCGATGTAGCAAAGGAAGATTGTACTCCTACTATATCATTGGCCATAGTCTTGCATATCTAACCAGGAGATTCTGAAGCATTTCCGACGGCGATGTACTACCACATTTCGGGCGACGCAAATTGCATCTCGCCGCAATATTAGCATTGATATGCTTTACTGCCAGATTTTCTGACCGCGGTCAGAAATCGCAGTGGTGCAAAACTATTTACTATAGAGGAGGGCCAACTAGTATTTAAAGATTAAGAATTTCAAGGCTCGAGATAGACGAAAATGTAGGAGGTCAGCGTAGTCCGAAATGCAGGACTATAGCTTGGTCGAAAATGCAGAAGAAGCCACCTGCATTTTGGAGTATACTAAACTCCTGTATTTTCGACTACTATCTACTACACCATTTCGCACCACATAAAATACATATCCTGGCGCTACGGACACTACGATACTTCACCGCTAGAATTTGTCACTGGGGTCAGAAATCGGGAAAGTGTCACATTGTTTACTATATACGGAGGACAAAGCAGCATATATTATATTTTAAAAATTGAAAGATTTGATGTGGTCCAAAATGCAGATAGCTTCTACATTTTCGACCAAGATTTCCCTTTTGGGAATTTTCGGTCCAAACGCTAACCCGATTCGGAATTTTGAACCAAAGCTTCCCGCCCAGGTTTATCACTTCTAACCTCCCCCACAAATCTAATAAAATAGGTAGAAATAAACGGACTTCTTATCTATACTAATAGATGGCAGTAGTACCTATAAAAGATAAAATATTGGTAAATATCCTTATATTGACTTTGAGATTTGTGCCTGTATCCGCTATATAGAATATCTACAATGCTAAGAAGCCGAGTGAGATCTATCGTTCGCCTCTTCAAGCGCTGTTGATGGAGCTCCCAAAGGATGAAAAATGGATCTTTAAGTATGAGTTGGATGACAATGATCATGTGTCTTCGTTGTTCTGATGCATAAGACAAGCGTTACGAGGCTTCAAAAGAACCCTTGGATTATTTCTATGGATTGCACATATATAACTAAACGATATAGTCTCCCGTTACTTGATATCGTGGGTTTGCTGCTATTGGATCAACCTTCCATATAGCGTTTGCTTTTATGAGAGATGAGCCTTGATGATATGTACGAAGTGAGTGGTCTTGATAAAGATGTGCTACTACATATTAATGTTTTACTAGGTACTGCTTAGCTGCCTCTACGAAGTCTACGAATCCCTCGGTCTTGACCCTCCGCGTACAATTCTCACCGATAAAGAAGATGCGCTCATCAATGCCATCTAAGCCGTCTTCCCTTATACAAGGCACATGCTTTGTATCTGGCACATCATTATGAATATCATCAAAAATGCTAGCCAAGCAATCCAAGATGCCGTAGCGCAAGCCCGCCGCGAAGCCCGTCTTGAAGCTGGTATCGATCCCTCCCGCAAGCTCACCAAAGCAGAACGCAACGAATGCCGTAATAAAGCTTCAGCTGGGTGGAAACCAGATGCTTAGGTGCTGGAATCTGGTTGTTTACGTTACAATCTTCGAAGAAAAAAGACCTGCAGTGGGCTATCTTCAAAGATCGATATACAGATCCGCTGTTCACCGAGGTGTTGGCATATATGGAGAAGGAATGGCTTCGTGATTGCCCAGAGACGTTTCTCCATTGTCATTCCAGACATTATCTTCACCATGATGGGATTGCGACATCACGCACTGAGGGGGCCATTGGCTGCTTAAGCAAGATTTCCAGATACGTACGACGATACCCTTCAATTCAACCTTCAGTTTTGACTAATCTTATCAATCTAATTAGGTTCAACGAATGACCTGCATGGAGTAGTTACTAGCTTTACCCGCGCGGTGGAGCACCAATTCAAGATGTTCCAACAAGTTGCTGCAGACCAAAAGATCCGTCGTCCGATACTACCCCCGCCTAAGCTCTTCAAGCTTCTATATACCCTTATCTCATTATGGGCAATTCAGCTTACGAAGAAAATGCACGCACAGTACGAAAGGGAACATGCTAAGCCAAATCCACCGGTATGTGACAGCAATTCGAAGGGAACATCTGGATTTCCCTGTACCCATATACTCCGGTAGCACGAAGACGAAAGCAGAAGCCTCAGTCCGCAGTTGTTCCACGAGCATTAGCATTTGTACGCTGTTGAAGACGCTCCGCCAATCAACTCTTTGCTTCTCGTATAGGATCCGCTTCGTGCACGCCGGCGAGGTCGCCCGCGCGGAGCCAGGAACTTGCCAAGCGCCCAAACGCCGTCGCAACTACAGCTTAAAAAAACTCCCGATCTTCACGCGACCCGCTAGCCGAACCCTTTTTATCCGCTCATGAACGCTCTGTGCATCGAGATCCATCATCATGGGAAGAACCTTGGGGCCGGGGCCGAGGGCCGGGCGCTGCTCGTGGCGCTGCTCGGGGTGTGGGTCGTGATCCGGGTGAAGGTGCAGACCTGAATCTAAACCTTGCTAGTGCGGAGGTGGGACTTGGAGGACACAGAGGCGAGGGCCAGGCATAAATAGATATACAGACTTCATGTATTACTAGCTATAAAAATGCAGACAATTACGCAATACACTAGGTGACATCAAGCGTTTTTTCTGAGTAATACAGTGCTTTGTTTACTATGCAAACCGGAATTCAAAACTACAGGACTTGGGCTGGTAGAATAGGCATCAGCGTGGTGAACACCCAAAAACTAGGCCAAACTCAGGCATAGGGGTGTCGTATTATGGGAGGGGGTGTCCCGTTACCAATCCCCTTTACATAAGAGCTCAGGGTCAGAGAAGCCCAAAAAGCCAAGCAGCGAATGCTTTCTTACCACCCTGTCCCTGCGAGTCGTCCTGCCAGCTGCGCTTTCTTTGGTGGGCATATAATACCAAGTAGTCTGCCCCAAAACTCAGATCCAGCCATGGTGGAAACCGAAATGTCTCTTGTCCGGATTATGGGGTCTTCGTTTCCATGTAAATCCTCCGCAATATGTTTGATAAAATCCCAGTCTGGCCGAGCTTGAACAAACCCATCTCTTATCAATAACAGGAGCATCGAGTTGTTTTCAGAGCTATCACTTCTCAACATAATCATATGACCCGGATCTTTATCTATTACTTGGTTGATCGCCTTTTTTCGGTCGAGCTGTTCGCCTCCGCGCGCAAGAAACAAGCCCACAATACCATGTTTTCGAAGGTAATCGAGAGCCTTTTCGGAATTCAACATGGCCCCTTTCATTGTCAATAAAGCACAAAAGGTGTATGGAGGTGTATGCTTCATGCGGATGTATTGCTTTTTGTTACAAATAATTTGAGACCTAACTCATTTTTGGCACACTAATTCATCTTCAGACTCTATTTTTCGCCTCATTCATCAACTTTGGTACAGTTCAAGTCCAATCAAACTATCAGATCTTATCTATTTTTGACTAAACCATATACAACCGTTCTTGCCAAGTTTCAAATGTATATGTGACGTGCCGAAATGAGGCGGTGTACCCAAACATCTTTTAGATACCTTCACCATAACTGAAGACCAGTCCATCAAATGAAAATACTATCATATATCAAAACAACTTGGATTATCCTCTGCCCCACACATTAGATACCATCTAGCTTAGGGTCTATAATACAGCGTGTTGACCTGGCGTAGCTACGTGAACAACGGCCCTTGAGAACAAAAAATACATGGCGGAACTAGACTTCCGCTCCCTTCAGCGCCGGAGGTGTATGGAACGCCTAATTTTTCAATACCATGTAATATTTGATTGATATTAGAATCGCACCTTCAATATTCCAACTACGTACAAGTCAACAAAGATTCCGAAGTCGCGCGCCACGAGGGCAGCTTCACAACGTAAACGGCAATTAAACCACGAAAGGCTTCAGCGAGGCTCTAAGTTCGTTCGAGGAAGTGTCACACTCTACACGTACGTGCATGGATACACAAAGTCGTGGTAACCTACATATCGCTTCGGCAGTTGGATTCTAAACCACAACCCACTAGTACAACTAGCTTCGATACCGAAGAGAAGTAGCTTGCCTTTGTAAGGGATTTTCTTACGAAGGAAGAAAAGGCGATTGCGGAAGAAGAAAGAGACGCGCAGGATCCAGATAATGATCTCGTTGATTTGATTAGCGATGATTAACTTGAACTAGAAGACACGCCCGGTCTGATTGTTTCAGTAATACCCCCGCGGTCCTCTCAGAAGAGGAGAAGGGATGATGAGCTTGGAACGGGAGTAGAAGAAGGCGATGAGGATAGTGATCATGATGATGCTGCTGTTCCTTTTCCTGATAGTGAAGATAATGGTATTCCTATATATATAGTGTTACTTGGTAATGATTGTGAGCAAAGATGACTATGTTCACTTGTAGGTAAGGAACCCTCCCCCGGTTCATCCTCCTGCTCTGTATCATTAATTGGATTGACCTCAACCTCACTAAGCTTCTCCTCCCTCTCTTCTTTTGCCGCCTCAAGCTCGTCATGCGAGAAGGATTTCTCGAGAAACTTGACTTCCTGCTCCTCCATATCAAATTTCATCGTATAAAGAAACATCATTAACCCCTCAATGGTCTCCGTCTTCATTCTACCACGACGATAGTGACAGATATCTCGAGCGGTATTAAAGAGGCGTTCGACTCCTGTGCCAGTTGCTGGGAATGAGAGTACATCTCGCGCAAGTGCAGCAATAGCTGGAAAGCGAGCTTGGTGCTCTTTCCAGAAAGTAAGCGGCCTAGTAGAAATAGTATCTATCTATAGGTTAGTATCGTTATAGTATATACTCTTTATATTTACTTACCGCTATCAAGATATTGACTGATTTTATCAGTAATACCTCGTGGTTGTATATCCCTTCCATCAAGCATCTCTTCTAGTCTTGAGCTTTGTGGATCACAACCACCACTTCTAACCTGCCCTTAATATGGAATAAGGGCTTGCTCAAAAGCAAGTCGATAGGTGTCTCGCCATTTTTGATCCCAATCGCTGGAGAGGAAGAATTTGAATTTGTTCACTGGCGCAAGCATTGGACTAATTGCATAGATATTTCCTCGAATATCATCAGCTTGAGAGTAATACTCATCAAGCTTAGACCGACCAGCTTCAAGTGCTTCTAACATCTGTTTCTTCCATGGGACGCGCTTTCGGCGTAGCTGTGCCTGTGATCGCTCAAGATGATCAAACAGTTTGTTATTGATCTTGAACACATAGTGGGCAGTGACATCTCGAGTCTTTGATAGCTGTGTTGTGTAATCAACGAAAGGCTCAGTGATATTAAGAAGATAGTCGATCTGACGCCACTCTTGCTCGCTAAGTAGCATCTCCTCACAACCATACTCTATACAGAATAAAGAGAAGATAGCACGTAGCCTCTTTGCCCGGCGAAGCATGAGGAATGTGGAATTCCATCGTGTCTTCACATCCTGGATTGGAACAATCTTCACATTTGTTGTCTGAAGATTGTAAAATGTCTCTCGGCGTTGGGGACTTGCATTAACGTAAATCGCAAGATAACGGACTTTGCTCAATGTGGAGGTGATCTGACATTGCTTCGCATTTTCCGGGGCTAGCCTTGACTGCTTCTCCGTCCACTTTGTCTCTCCTGATTTATTCAATGGAACTGCCTTGATCCGAGTAAGAAGCTGATTTAGGCTGAGCTGGATAACATGTGCAAGACATATTTTTCGGGTAATAATAATATCATCTGACAAAGCCTGTTGGAGAGAAGTAGCTAATGTCTTGTTGTTTGATGCATTATCTGTCGTTAATGACAGAGGAAAATGACAGTATGTTATTTAAATATTTATGCCACAATTTATGCAAAAACTGGGTCGAACTGGGCCTAAACTGGGTTTTCTGGGGCCCCAGTCACTGGGTCTGGGTTGGGCCTGGGTTATCAGCTTTCGACCCAAAATGGGTCGTGCGGAAGACTAAAATTTATGGTCCTCAAATTATAGAGTAATTTATCTAGGTATAATGTTACGGTGGCCGATTAAAAATTTGAAAATATTTTTGGAAGGGTGCGACCATAATATTCCCACCACATATCCAATATATCATCTCTATAGATTAACAGAGTCCAATAATAGGTGCTTAACCAGATAGGCAAATTTCGTACAAATTAGGTACGGATTTTTATACAATCCCGCCCTAATCGGCCAAGAGTTTTGCATTCCTCTAGGTTGCTTTCTCATGATTATCAGTCTTTGTTTCTAAATTGGGACTTTGTACGCCTTCTTTGCTAAAAATGAATCATGGACTTGGCCCTTTGGCTTTGTGCAATTCCCCCCTGGTCAGTGGCTTTGTATGGCCGTAGGCCCCAGGCTGATACTGCCTGGTATAAATATAAATAGGGCGAGTAAGCCCTCCCCCGAGAATGGGGAGTTCAGTTTGAAAAATCTATTTGCAGAATGTCTGTAAATGATACAGCGGTAGCACCCGAACAGAAATTGTTCGGGCCTTTTGTCAACGACATTCCTGGTTTCCGCGATGTTTTGAAGGAAACATCGTCAGCCGTTGTCGGCAGCGCGGTAGTGCACGTTCTTCTGAAACGTCCGTTGTCGGACGTTCCAGAGCTTTGTGTTGTGTCAACATACCACAGTCCTCAAGAGAGGGACTCTTCTTGTGCCATGTTCTGGCAATACATTGTAAAGCAGGGATATGATAATATCCCTGTTCAGACATTCCGTCGTGATCAGACAGATATGTTTGAGCGGTTTGAAAAACCGGCACTTTCGCTTGTTTTTAAACGAAGCGATGGTAAAACGATTTCGTTTCGTCATATGAGCGCTGAACAAACATTCACCGCTGTATACAGTGTGGGGTGGGCCAGTCACATGTATACGTTTGCGACGCATGAAAGCATATATTGCTTGTTTCCCAGCCTCACGCTGTCGCGAGAATCTATGTTGTTCGAGCGAGGTATGTCTAAGCCTTGTAGCCATAATATTGGCTACTACGAGGGACTTGGGTTTACGTTTGTCGACTCGGAAAGGGCTCTTGGTCCAAAGTACTCTTGTAAGGACCAGCGGGAGATTCTCGGTGAGGGTACGTTACGAGTTCGGTTTTCCAGTTCACCTGGTGGAGAGTTGGAATGTCCACATTTTATTAGAGTAGTAGAGGGTCGGGCGAATGCGTTTAGTCATGATCTATGGGTTTATGAAGAGAAAGGAATGCCCCCTTGGTGGGGTGAAGCGGATTCTAATTGGTAGAATATGTATTTTTATTTGAAAATTAAGTTTAATTTTTTATGTTTTGAGTTGACTTGACGTATAGTCAGATATATATATATCACATCTAGTGTTGATGTGGAAAAGAAAGGGGGCCCCCAGGCTCTGCCTGGGGGGCGCAGCCCGACCCGTTGCCCCCTTTAGGGGGGCAAGGGCTACGTTTTCAAAAGTGAGTTTTACTCTACGCAACGTGATGTTTTTTTACGTGCTAAAAAAGAATTGTAGATAAAGAACGGCAGTTCACCCAAGGTGATGTTTTTTCACGTGATGAAAAAGAGATAAGATAAGGAGCACAGGGTGCTCCTTAAAGAAAGAGGGAGAGGACGGCAGTCCTCTCATTGGACCAAGCTTTTGGAAGAGAGTGCCCCACTCTCACTTATAACATTGCCCCAAAAGCTTGAGACTTGAGACTCAAGATTATTCCCCGATTAGGGGAAATTGGGATACCGGAGGGGCCCGTGAGAAGACGGGAGGATCCGCCGGCCATTGGCCGGACAGCGCTAGTGCGCGCCCGAAAGGGCTAGCTCGAATACCGAGCGTGTACCGGAACGGTATTGCCACCCCAGTAGGGGCGGTCAGGAATTGACCGCTCACGTTTCAGGCGATTCTTGGCATAAGACTGTAGACTGGCGTAAATTACTCGATGGAGTAATTCTTGGCACTACGTGCCAAATGACGTATGTCCTAGGTGCGGGACGCACCTAGTATAATAAACACGTGAGCACACGTGCTCACTGTAGGGCCGTAGGCACCAGGCTTATATTGCCTGGTATAAAATATAAATAGGGCGAGTAAGCCCTCCCCGAGAATGGGGAGTTCAGTTTGAAAAATATATTTGCAGAATGTCTGCAAATGACCCAGCAGTAGCACCCGAACAGAAATTGTTCGGGTCTTTTGTCAACGACATTCCTGGTTTCCGCGATGTTTTGAAGGAAACATCGTCAGCCGTTGTCGGCAGCGCGGTAGTGCACGTTCTTCTGAAACGTCCGTTGACCCACGTACGTTGTGACCACTACCAGGTATAAATAACCCTAAACGTTGGACCCTCCCTCTCCTCTCTTTTTCTTGCATTATTCAAACTAGTATGCTCGTCAGATTGATCGCTATATTGTTAGAATACTGTGAATAGCTATGAAGATGTTTGCAAACTCCCTGGCCGCGGAGTAAAAACACCGGTAAATACTCCACAAAGAATAGAAACAAAAGATGAAATTACATTTTGACAAAGAACAAATACCGCTGACGAATCTGAGCGACATCGTATACAACGTATTCATTGTACATGAGACTGGCCTTGTCGTCTTCGACTACTTTGGACCTAACATTGGGCATCCTCACACCTTCCAGTGCCGTATTGAAAGAGCCAGCATTTTTCCAATCACCCGGAATCGCTCGTCCTCGACCGAGGGTAGCTATTTTGCCGGCTTTCTTTGCATGTTCACCTGCGTTGAAGTCGGAATGGTAGATTTCATGCATTGGATCTCCAAGCTCTGCATCACAGAGCAAAAGCAGGCCCATATTGCCACTGCTGTGCGAGTAGCAATAGTTGGCAGACTTGGTTGATGTGTCTGCTAGATATACTCCCTTTCCAAACATGTATCCGCTAGCCGGTGCCTCTGAAGGGGCGATGCGCAAACCTTCGCTGAGAATACCACCGAAATTCGTGGAGCGACTGCCATGCCATAAGAGACGGCGATTTTGGCTTTTGAGATTGGCATATATGGAAGAATTGAATCGGTCCTCCTCCCCATTTCGTTCGATCCGGAAAATATCAATGACCTGAAAAGTCCATTGTTAGATACGGCGATAGAAACTCGGATTATCCTCGAAGGAGTAGAGAAATGACTGCATCAGTGCCCAGGAAAGTGAATAAAAACATGTGTTTACCTTGTAGTGGATACGATGGGTGGCTCCAGATGAATTCTTGAGGTAATCTAAAAGCTCTTGGAATTCTAAGGACTTGTGATCCACTTCGATACTCAGGTTTACTTGCCAGCATATTGTAACAACACATCCCAATGAACTTACATAGACTCATCTCTTTCATTCCCAATCCCTTGAAACGTTGATCGAGCGGGTTGACCCCAACCACGGCTGAGGCTTGTTTCATAATCTCGTTTGCGATATACATATCAGCCAAAGTTAACATCAAATCAAGCTCCTTCTTGGCCTGATCGCCCGTAGATAGAACTGGAGGGCGTTCGCGACCGAAAACATGAGGGATTGTTGTGAAGTATTGATTGCTCAGGGTTTCGGTAGCTTGTTGGAAAGTAGTACCGTACTTCGACGTCGCCAATTGAGAATTGACCATCAGCTCCATGATATTCTTGAGAATTGAGAGACCCTGTATAATAGTTCCTTTACTCAGCTCTCCAGGGGGAGCTTCTTAGCATCATAATTCATCTCCCCCATTGCATTGAGGAAATGACGCTGGTCGAAGATAAAGTACATCAGGTCCTGTAAGGGCTTGGAGAGTTGGCTTTCCGCCAGCGGCTTATCGTCGTCGGGCTTCTTTTCATCCTTGTAGTTCGTCTCGGTATACGTGTATTTTCCATTCTTCGATTTGTTTAGTCTGTCGCTCCATTCGAGACCCGTTTTGGCTCTGAACTTTTTCACGAAAACGCGAACAGCCTCATCTGGAGATTTGGCTTTAAGCAAGGCTGACCGGCCTTTTTCACCGAAACGGCCCCAGCGGTTCCAATTCCAGTAAGTGATAGTATTGTCTACTGCGGTGAATACGACCTGGATGCGATAAAACTTCTTAGCGTTTTTAGTAGCAACGGTTTGATTCAAAGTGGCATCCCAAGAAACGCCAGCGTTGTCGATCAGCACAGCTGGGTCTGTTCACATCAGTCGGTCGCTTTATCGTGCTACGAAGCTTTCATGTTGACTCACACGACTTAGGAGCAGCCTCTTCAAAGTGACTTAATGCCTCCTCATCAACTGGAACATGGAGTGATTTGAATCCAGCCTTAATAGAGTCCTTTTGCCCTTCGTTTGACTCTTGCACATGGTCATCTTCCCGTTTGACATTTATGTTGGTTCTCTTGGTTGCATATTGGGTCTTTGTATCTGAGTACTGCGTTGCATTTAGGGGGTAACCAGCATTTCTGGCCTTGCCATTATTCTCAGACTTATCAGGTTGGGAACTGGCAGATTGGCCAAGTGCGTAGCTCTTCTCGGACAATGGTATCCCTTTCAGGTCTGATTCGAGTAACCAGTCCAGAGAGACAATTTTACATTTAGCCAAACTGCAAGCAGATTGATCTGGCGTAGGTCAGCCTGGACAAAGCAAGGGGGTCTTGGAGAGTGGTTAGACACAGCCAGGACTCACACTTTTTAGTGTTCCTTACAACGGCGTTCTCGTTTGTCACCAAATGAGTACATGTACTAGTCACAGAGGTTCTGAAAGTAGCGCCTCAGCTGACAATCAAGGCCTTCAAGTCATCTATCCATCAAAAGTGTCAGCCTCACCATCTCCGAGTAGATACGAACTCAACTTGGGGGGTCTTCACCTTGCTTATATCCTGGAAATGTTCCACTTATCGCAATCACAAGCATATTGAATAACCCCTTATCAGGAATAGGGATGCAAAGAGAAAACGAGAGGAAGAAGAAAGAGCGAGTTTTTAAAGAGTTGAAGACGCCACTTTTGCCTAAAATACGATGAGTGGAAGATAAATAAAAGTCGCCCTTCTGTGGTAGCTTGTTTTCTTTTTTCTTTTTTTTTCAGATCCCATCCCAAATTTCTGCTTCTAGAAGTCTTTACCTGTAATTAATGATAAAAGATTTCAAAAATGCCTCGAAGTTTGCTACAGTAGCTCCCAACATTGTCGTACTGCCAGATTTCTGTCAGATCTGTGGTCCCTAATGAATGTTAGGGCCTGATATATACACCACTGCAGAGACAAACAGAACCTCTGTTTGTCCTTATGATCTTTTGGCCTAACGTATTTCACAAGCGAGCTGCGCAGTATATTCAACCCACCAAATTTAAAGGCGTATATTTCAACCAAAACTCCATTAAATTAAATATATTAAAAGCATCTATCTAGCTGAACATTTATTGATTTTATGCCCTATTTCTCCACAACCACTACACTTTGGTGGCGCCCGTGTACGTGGTTGTAAAGCCGGCGAAGGGCTTCTTCGTGGAGGGGAGGGAGGTGGCTCATCTGCTTCCACCGGCTCAGTATTTCAATTGAGAAGCTTCTTGAACTGTGAGCCCTACTTCAGCTGGTATCTGCTGTCGGGATCGAGTACGCTTTTACTTCTGCTTCTCGTTGGCGGCGCCTAATTCCTTGTTTTCTTTCGCGAGTAAGATAGCACCTTGCATTGTAAGACGGAAGCCTTTCACAAGCTGGTTTAATGCACGATCTGACGGGCTAGGTGGACCTCGAGATCTTGTACGAAGTAAAGCTTTGATTGATGAAGCCTGCCGACGTAGTTCTTTCTCTGTAGCTGGCGTTTTTGGTGTAAAATTTCGAATTGATTCGCTCCCCCGGCTTAAGGGGGGTTGGAGTTCGAAGCTGAATATTCAACTTTAAGATCACCCGATCGGGTGGAAAGGTACTAAACCGGTAGCTTTGAAGCTATTTCTAATTGCCTCGTTTAAAAGCTTCAATTCGTGCTTCTGGGTATGCGTCAATGAAGTCAAGTTTGTCGATAGAGTGGATCCCGTTCCGCATCTTCGTTTCAACTGTCTGACCGTAAGACCGTTTTAAGACCGCAAAACAGCTAACATCGAGAGGTCGTAAAAGAATGGATGAATGTGCAGGCATACAAATTGGTATCGCCTTATTTTTCTCGCAAACTTCATCAAATTTCGGCGTTAAATGACTTCCATGCCCGTCAAGTATTAAAAGCCGATACCCCCCCTTCGTGTGTGAAGAAGTATTAGGAATAAAGAGCTTTTCAAGCCAGCAAAGTCCAATTTCATCAAATGTTCAAACATTAGGGCTTACTTCAAAGCGCCAATCTTCCGGAAGGCCATCGAACCAGGATTTAAGGAAGACCTTTCCTTTAAAAATCACACACGGAGGAAGCACCCAGCCAGAAGCACCCGTACACTCAATCACCGTCACCCATTCTCGATTATCCTGTTGTAAAAGTGCTCTCTTTGTGATAACCTTCGTAGTTGGTATCAATCCCATAGCAAAACCAGTCTCGTCAAAGTTATAGATATCATCAGGGTCAATTCCAAATTGAAGGATCGTTTTTTGAACCAAATCAAACCACTCCCTAATGATTTTCGGGTCTTCACACTTCGCGCGCTCGTAGTTATACCGTTTCAAAAATTGGGAAGGGAGGAGAGGGTGCCTTTTAACAAAATTCGTCATCCAGTTTTCGCCGACCGAAGTAACCGGGGTGGTTTCACGTTGTTAAAGAAGTAGATTAGCCATCTCTCGGACGGTAGAAGGCCGGGGGGCTGATCCACGAGAATTCATAGATAGTATCCATTTTTGAAGTGATTCCTCTTCAATTGCAGTCAATTTATGTGAATTGGCGCGTGTAGTACTTCGTTGAGTATGGCCGGAGAGGCGGTCGCGTAAAGTTGTACGCGGTATATTAAAAGGCGTGCCAGTTCACAATTGAAGAGATTGCTTGATTCTTAAAAGCCTGGATAGCTAGTAAGATCCCACCCTCTTGCTCTGTGGATTCTCTGGAGCTTTGGGAGCGAATTGGTGGCATGGTGGGTGGTTGAATTGACTAAGTGCTAATTCCTGGACGCGTTTTGGATGGGGTGGGCGGCTCGCTTGTGTGGGCGGCTCACTTGTGAAATATGTTAACTCAGTAACGTATTTCACATGCGAGCTGTGTGCACACAAGCGAGTAGTCTTCCGCACGACCCAGTAAAACCCAGACCCAACCCAGACTGGGTTGGGTTTTGGGTCGTGCGGAAGCCTACAAGCGAGCTGCGCAGTCCGATACACATACTAAATGCGATAAATTACAACTGGATATCCTAACAATACATGTCTATATGAGCTTTTCCTTGTGGTCTAATGCATATTATATAATATTTTGTCAATTGAGGAAGCTTCAGGAAATTTAAGAACTTGATGATAGAGATATATAGTTGTATATTTAGAGGCTTTAAAGATGTAATTTTGATACCATCACAATGCACTCTTTCGATTTATTCAAAATTGATATATACTACCAAAAATACTTATCAATGGCTATCGGCATTTTAAAAACATAATAAACAGACGTTGGTTGTTGAGATGTGAGTATAGAATATATCGCATTTAGTATGGTGTTTCAGCTGCGCAGCTCGGTTGTGTGCGCAGCTCGCTCGCATGTGAAATACGTTAGCGTATTACGTAAATCTTCAAATATGGCGGCCTTTTGTTTTTTTTTTTGGCTAGCGTCGAATCACCCGCGAGAGGACTTCTGATTGTGTATCTTACTCGGACACGTCCAAACTACAGTCTGTGTAGAGACAGACGTATAACAGGACACGGCATGCATAAAATCTTGGCTGACCAACAACCCTAAATGGTATGTAATCAGATATATGCCCGGAAGACACATGGATCTAACGCAATAATGCCCATTTTGAAATGGCCCCCTCTTTGGCAGCACAATTAGCCAAGGTAGATGCATGCATCAAGATGCAGCGTTCGCCTGGCCAGTCATCTAGGTTGCCGCCGAAGTTTGTCAAGCCGAGACAGCCATTTGGTCCCGGCTGCCAGCTGCCAAACAGTCACTTTCAACTAATCATCAACCTATACTCCGACCCGAGTTTAGCTCGGATGTCCATCCGATCGCAAAGAAGAGGCCAACAACATAGGATGCCCGGTCTAGCTAGATGTCGGTTGAATATTGAGAAATAATGGCAGTTTGGACTTGGACGCTGGAATATGCAATTGATATCCAACTTTGCAAGGCATGCCGCAGCCTAGGCGGGCGCTAGCCTTGGATCTAAACTCTTAAGTTCACTCCATATTATCTACACCAATAAAACATGAACAAAGTTGACATACATTGCGAAGATTCAACTCAGCCGAGAATCTTAGTTGGGCGACACTTGTATTCTAACCGTACATGCATGTAGGGAAGATGAATCCCAGATTATGCTAAAGGTGAAGGTTCTAAGTACCCAAGCTCTTCGCCATTTCTTCGAACCACTTAGGATCGCCCTTGCGTGCAGCATCCAAAGAACAAGGCAATTTGGACATGGTTGATAGTATAGAGTTCAAGTGGCTCTCATTAACGGCTGTTCCAATATGATGAAACAAGTACGCCGCATAGCGGAAGCTAGGAATCATATCGATTAATACTTTGTAAGAGAAGTTTTCGAGAAACACTTACCAATATTGGGCACGTTCGGTTATGGCAGAACTAATTTCGCCATGTTTATCTTTGTAACGCCATAACATAACGTGACTGTCAAGTTCTTGGGTAACCCAGCTAGAAATGTCGCATTGAACCCCTTCTTGATTGCTCATAGCGACGGTTTCATTCTGTTCGGCGTTGAAGTATTCATACACCTCGGGAACATCACGACTTGTGACCAAAAGATGAAGAGATGGGCAAGATTCACGCATTTGTTCGATGACCTTTGACACTTTAGTGCTTGTGGCTACACCCAAGCCGTCTATCAGAATGAACGTCCGACCGAACATTTTGACGATTTCGAGCAGGAAACGGCAAAGTGAATCATTTGTGAAGCTTGAATCACGCAGACGCTCATGTAGGTGCTTATGCCCGTCATCCAACTCGCCGGAAAGTTGCCACAGCAGCGAACGTAGCATATCGGCTTCATCTTGCCTTGGTCCCTGCTTTGGGTTGTCATCGAAGGAGAAACAGGCAACTCCAATTTCCACAGAATCTTGTTCACGTCTGTGTTGCTTTACATGTTGGAGAGCCGTAGCACAAAGGAAAGATTTCCCGCATCCTTCGGTCCCGTGAACCAAAAGAAAAGATTTGTCCTTTGCTGTCAACCAATCGCTAAATTGTTTGCTCTTAGTAAACCACTGTCCCGTTCCCTTGAGGCGATTATCAAGTGCATGTAGGAAAATGGCGGGGTCTTTAGGATAGGAGAGCCAACTTCGCACCGCTTCTGTTCTCTGCCGTCCGGCGATCATCTCAAGCGTTTGGTTGTGTTGCTGAGCAGAACGTTTGTATAAGATGTAATAAAACTCAATACCTGCAGCTGCAACGGCTCTTTCGAGGTCTTTTGTGAGGCATTCCCATGGATTTCGGTCACTGAAAAAACTGTGTATGTACCCTTCAGGCTCGCTGGCGTTTTCCAGTTTGCTCTTTAACCTTTTGACAACAACTTCACACTGGCTGATAATAATATTCTCGAGGACTTGTCGATCATCGTCCGAACTCGTTTGCAAATCCACCTGGAATTGACAAAAGTGGGCCAGAGAAGCGGTCAGTCGCTCTCCCGATTCCGATCCTTCGAGAATATCAAGGACAGAGCGGATGTAGATCCGTCCCTGTGAGAGCAATTCCTCCGCCGGAGTCATTTCCAAGGAGCTGTGGAGTCCCACGGTTATCGCAGGCACAAAAAGCGAAAATGTAGCCACCAAGCTTGGGTAGGTAAAAAAAATTCTTTTGCAAAGGACCCGGATTTATGCAACCAGATCAGTTAAATAGGCGCAGGAGGGAGAGAAAAAGGGGTAAGACGAAACGGATTGGTAAGCTTACCACTAACCGGCCGTCACATTGCCTACCAGAATTCCTGACCCTCCAAAGTTTCTTGTGTTGCTTTGCTTTCTCCAGCTCGTCCAGTTATCCAATAATGGTGTAAATATAATTGACCTCAAGCCCCCAGAAAAACAATATGGCCGGGTATTTCACAATGTTAGCGTGGTCGTTCCCTCGTTAGTTGATGACATAAATACTGCCATTTTTTAAACAAAAATAAATAGCAGCACGTGATGACACGCACTTTACGTGAGGGAATTAGATGGGCATACGATGATATCGTTAACTTGGGTGAAGGAAATTCTAGGGGTGGATTTCAAATAATTTGGATATTCCGGCATGCGACCTGCAAAGCATTTTGCAGCCATCCAGTTCTCAAACGAATCCGGTCATCTGGCACTGCAAATTCGCTTATCCTGACGAAGTTCGGAAACTCTATATATAACTTACGAGTGTTGGGAAAAGGAAAGGCTACTGAGGATCAGCTGATTCAGCTAGATTATGAAGAAGAGATTCCTGTCTAACGAATGTGACACATGGTTTTTTCCCCGAATATCAGCCCTTTGGTTGAGCTCGCTTTCGGCGACTCATCGTACTCTATTTCTCATCCCGGCACTTCCTCTGTTCGTGGGGGGCCTAAACTCAAGCCACGAGTACTTGCTGGGTCGGATGTTTCAGAAAGGAAGATAGTTGACTACCAAATGATAATGGCCCATCGGAAGCAATACCTTGAAGGTGCTGCCATCGTAGGAGAGTTCAAAAGACCCCGGGTCATTAAGAGAAGAGAGTGGATATTTGAAAAACGCCCATCGAATACAACAAAACGTCTTATGCAGGAGATTAGAGGGTATGTCCTATTCACTTTTACATTTTGTTTCAAGTTTAATTGACTTCAAACAGGTATGCTTATCTGTATAAATGCGCGTAAGCATTCGTCTTTGACTCGGGGACTTTGGTACTCTTACAGTTCCGTGCCAGAGATGCAGAGTTTATTCGTGACTAGATATGTCTTGTTGATATCTGTATCATCCCACGGGAAGAGGTTGGATATGATGACCAGTGCACGATGGCAGAAGGCCTACGCGCACTTGCCTTGAGGGATTTCACTCGTCTTTGTGCAACTGGAGACTCCACGCCCACAGATTCAGGGAATAATATACGGCCATCAACTAAATTGAGCCGTGTTAAGTTTGATCGTCGTTACGAGTTCTGGTCTGGTCGGCCTTTCTGGGTAGACCGCCGTACCAGAGAGACCATCCTTCTGGATATTGACGCGAGCTTAGGTTCGTGAGGAATAGGGACGATGACCATGGTCCAGAATACAAGGGATATTGGTCATGGTTTGACCATGAGGGACATCTTGTTGCTGATGACACGAAGAATTGTTTCCTTTCTTGACGCCTAAAGCAGAGTACATAGCAATGGAGAAGCTTGTATATAGGCTCATGAACGCCGCTATTTCTTTTTATTACTCCCTGTTCAGATATAAGCTTAAAATTAACCAATAAAAATTGGCTGACCTATGAATTTGAGAAGATAGGCGATCTCAACATGTAATATTGGTAGTGCTATCTAGGATAAATAGTAGTGGTGGTTACCTGTAAATAGTATTTAAATGATTATCGCTCATCTTCATATCTATTTGCACCATTCGCATGTTCAGAGCTTTGTATCTTTTCTCTCGACGTGAAAAGTGGCTCGAAACGTCCACCACCCCGTATTTCGTTACTTGAGTCCGTTGTATTGCCACAAGTTTGGAACGTTGGCTCCCATCGACCGCCTTCCCTTCTTTCCCCTCTCCTACTCTTTGATTTTTCTGCCTCCTCGGCTGAAGGGTCTTCCATGGAGATCACTGTCCTCCTCGGGACCACTGGAGTCATCAGCAACAGGGTGAAATATGGCGTTCCGTTCGCGGTCAGGGAGCCGCTAGCAAATCGTCATCGATGCTGTCTATCCTATGGACAATCCCTCGTCGACTTGTATATGTCTATTTGCGCGTTTTTCGACGCAATTTGCCAGATCGCGTCGAGGAGGTTGGAGGGTGGAAATGGAGACAAATGGGGCACGCGACAAGATCCACAATGTCAGATATCACGTGATAGAAAATGCAAAACATTGGTCACGATTCCCAACCCCTGGCGAAACTGGTTTCCGCCGACAACCATAACCCTGCGACACCAGCTCGAGTCTTCACCTGCGCACCATGAGTGAAGAGCCGTCTCGATTGATAGTCGGGGTTGACTTTGGAACCACATCCTGTACCGTCAGCGTCGAATGGATGGGTAGCAAGGTTCCCCGTCTTCTTAAATTTCCAACCCACAACAACGCCAAGAACAATGAAGAACTAGACGCCATCCTTGCATGCTCGCCAGATAAATGGTATTACGGCGATAACGCCCAATTTCGGCCAAATGCCGTTCTCTTTGAACATATCAAACTTGCGGCTATGGGGCGGAAGCCATATACGAGTCTGCTGAAGAGAGCTGTGCATGAGGCAGCGACGATAAACGGGACGGCCCTGACCATCTTGAATCTGTTTGAGAAGCTTTTTTCGTACATTTTTGAAGTTTTAGAGGAGCAATTCCCCAAATTGCCAGAAAGCAGTGTCTACTCGATGGGTCGACCTTTCCACGAAATCCAGAAAGCCTGTCGAGTGACGTATCCGGTGGAATACAACATTTGGCTTAGAATGATGCTCTTTGAGGCGGCACGAAAGGCGGGATTCAATGAGGTGGCCGGAGTCTCGGAGCCTTTGGCAGCTGCCCACTATATTGCATTTGAAAGTGAACGTGCTCGGCTGCCTTCCCAAGCTATGTTAATCATTGATAGTGGCGGTGGAAGCACAGTAAGGCTGCGGACTCCCTTGATTCGCGGCTCATCATTGACTAATCTTCTACATAGGATGGGGCAACGGTATTTTTTGATGCTGAAGAAGAAGTCAAGTTGGCTTGCCCTACGGATGGTGGGAACTTCGGCAAACATTCGGCAAGCAGAGCCTCTGCTAACAGGTACACAGGGTTTGATGGAGGAAGCCAGATGATCAATGACGCTGCGCGCACGTGCTTGCAGTATAAACTCCCCGACAATGCCTACTTGAAAGATGATGAATGGTGGCCAAGGATTTCCCGAGAGATCGAAGGTCATAAAAGAAGGTTCGATGCAACCACGGCTGTCGTCATCCAAATTGTGAACGAAAGCGTGTCGATAGGGATGTGAGTATATTAACCCCCTTCACCTCCCCCCACACGGGGCCCCACCTGAAGCAAGATCGTGGTTGACTGATGAGAATAGTGAGGAAATGAAGAAACTCTTCCAGCCCTTGATCCAGGGCATCCTGAAATTAGCTATGAGACAATATACCGCGGCTAGTGAGAACGGCCATCCGCCTAGCGATTTCGTTCTTACTGGTGGGTTTGCGCGAAACAGCTGGGCTACTACCTATCTTTTTTCGGAGGTGCAAAAGTTGATGCCTGGAATGAAATGTACCACCGAAGTTGCGTAAGTTATAACCCCTCCGTCTACCACGGATGATATTTCTGTTTTGACCATGAAACATTTAGAGTCGAGACTGTGGCTCAAGGGGCGCTCAGATATGCGCGAAAGCCATTGAAGGAGGTCACCATGGCTCGTGTGGATGTGGGACTATCTTACTTGGAGGATCGCACGCCAAGTGGGAGGCCCTTGGGAGGAGATCGGGTAAAAGACGCTATCGGCTGGGTTATCTTGAAGGTATGATACTCGCAAAGTATGTCCCTTGGGAGATCTCAAACATTGTTAACTGTACCAGGGCGAAGCCGCTGGGGCTGAGAGTCGCGTGGTATTGATTAAAACCGTCTATCGGGACAAGCGGGAGCGGCCGAATGAATTCATCTCGTCTAAGGTCTGGACAACGACCGATGGTTTTGATCAAAAGATGATTCAGCCTAATAGCCGGAATGATTGGGACTGTCCAATCACATATCCAATTACTGGATTACGATCGGACTTAAATTGTATCGGCATCATCGAGGCCAAGATTCCATATGACAGATTATTTCCCGCCGGCAGCAAGCATGATCAGGTGGAAGCGCGATTCCTTTTCACCGTTAGACCCAAGGACCAACTTCTTGAAGCGACAGTCTCTCTCATATGCGACAATCACAACCCGTTATTGCTTGAAAAGTCCTACGTATCCGCCCCCACCTGGGTCCCTCAGTCAGAATTTGACGTCGAGAGAGACCGCCATGACGGTCACCAATCACCATCTCTCATAAGTGAACCCTCAGCAATCTCAGCAACAGGCATGAAGCGAAAACGAAAAACACCTGCACCGAAAAGAAACTTCACAGATTCGCCTATGCCACGAGGGCCAAGGCCTGGTTCGGTGCTTCCGCCTCAATCTAGCTTTAACGATATACCATTGCCTCCAAGCCGAAAAAAAATTCGAAGGCTTGGGCCTCTAAATCCGCGTCGATCGTTGTCTCTGTAACTGCTGGAGCTCCTGTTTTGATGCAAATGTTCTGTCATCCTAAAACGCACTAATACAGTTAACATTGTGGTATTTCTAGTAACTAGTGCCTGGTACATACAGAGACGTTAAGTGATGACCTATTTATATTAGTAATAAAAGCCTTCTATTAGTGTCCGGATCAATTCCCATTCTATTGATAATATGTTCGTAGGTTGTGACTTAGCATTTCCCCTTTTCTTACTGGCTGCGATGTTCGACTTCGCGTTTCATTATGCTGTATCAACAGTCACCCGTTCTCGACATAAGGACGCATCCGTGAATACTCTTTTTGCTGCATGGGCGAGACACCCATTTGCAGTGATGCACTTAAAAGGCAGTAATCATAATCTGTTTTACGTTCGCGCCTCCGTATTTGCCCAGGTCGTCCCGGCGTATCAATACTTTGATGGAGCCTAAAACACTCAAGAGCACGCCCATCTCGCCTATGTTATAGACATGCTGTACGAATTCCTAAGATGGCCCAGCCTGGCTTAATAACGCGAAACCACTCCTGCACTCTCTAATATAAATTGTGACCGTGCCTCTTTCAATCTATCGCTGACAATATCCTCGCTTTCACCTCGTGATCACGTTTGTAGAAGGCCTAGGGATAGTTCTTCGCTAGAAGACAAGAGATTCCGTCAAGGAGAGAGATGGAGACGGGTGAGGAGCGGCGGCTTATGTTCTCCCATGCCAGGGCACGTAAGAACTTGATAGGCAAGGGGTAGCCATTATTTGATAACCATAGAGAATATTCCACCTAGGATTTTCATCCTACGGGGTGAGATACTGTTGACTGCTCATTTTCGGAAATTCTACCACAGTCACGGTGGCGTAACGTAGAGCTTGTCACATCACTAGATTTTGATAGGGCAGGGCAATTTTTAGAGACACTTCGGCTGGAGCGAGAACAGTTGCTGCTCGGTCGATATGGTCGATCATAGAAATTAGCATTTATGGTTGTGTCGTGGAAAAAGCCAAGTTTCCCCTAAAGGTGGGCGACGGCTCTGACCCTGTTAGGAACGTGTCCAGTTGCTCTAAAACCATGTACTTTTGGTACAGTTCAAGGTCACTTCTATTTGTTTATAATTTGGAAGTAGGGTGGGTGATTGACCACACGGTCGCAGTAAAATTTGGGCCCACTTTCGATCCCCCATCAAAAAAAATGACGAATTTCAATCGCGTATATCTCGCTGGATTTAAGCCTGTGCAGTCTCCGAAGCAAATGGGTATTAAATTAGCTAAATCACTACTACTTCTTATATTTTCAAATTCATCGGGGTTCGCCAGACCTCTGGACTCAGGATCGGTTTGCAAACCTGAACCCAGGGTGGTCCCCACTCTTTCTCCCATAGTAAAGAGCAAAACCCTAACTGGACTCCTTATCAACAGCGAATCAAAGGCCATGCCCATGCGGGTGTTGTTTTGAGGAGCGCCAATGACTGCAGTCGCAGGTCTACTTCTGGGCCCTCACTAAAACAATTCCTTAATTTCCATCGCACTAACCTCCACCAATTATGGTCGGATTGACTTTAAATTGGAACTACAAAAAATCGACTACGGAGAATATAACTCCTGTAAACCTGAGCATGATTCGACGCCAACTGCTAAATAGACTGGGGGTGTAGGAGAACGAGAGAAGCACCCAACTAGTTCTCCTTTATCCTTCGTCACTTCGAATACGAAGGACCCCAAGTTCGGTTGTATATATGGCTCTAGACGTGCTATCAAGGTATTTCGAAAATACGTGTTTCCCTGTCGACTAGCCTCTTACTTCCTTCAAGATTAGCAGAGTAATAGGATATGGAGGAGGAGTAACAGTGAATTACACCGGTCGGGTAAGGCAAATAGATCGCATGATTACTATTTGCGGAGGTCTACGTAATAGTTCTGACCCAAACCCGACCATCTATTTTTGACCGAAGCTTGTTTTGTCGCACTTTTACGCGACAAAAACCTCACTAGATGTGTATTATCTATTAATATTGCTCTACTCTGTTGTCCTTCACAACGTGCCTTGGGATGGCCAGGGTCGATTTGCGCAAAGCTCTGCTAATGCCCCCCTTTAAATGTCCTGTCCGTGACGTGTAAAGGGAAGAACCAAACTGTTGGATCAAAGACAAATTATTGCAACTAGGCTTTACATAATATGACAAGGGTGGATGGAGATAAAAAAAAGCACAAGCATAGTAATAATAATGTAGTTGACAAACTATTTGACGTAGTCGTTTTGAACAAGAGTTTTTATGTTGAAAGGAAACCAAGAGCTTCTTTGGTTCAGTGATTGCGCCCGTCACATTTTGAGCGGCTCGGGTAGAATTGCCACTGAAAGGCGTAGTTATATCTCGCTGGAAGATCTCTTTCCAAGAAAAAAAGGATATCCGAACCGTTTTGTCGCGTCGCTAATCCAGCTTCTGTTCGCTGCGAACAATAATCATCGAAAGCAAGCATCATGATAACCCTAACGTATTTCACAAGCGAGCCGCCATCTCCAAAACACATAGTAAATGCGATATATTCTATGTCCATATCTCAACCACCACGTTTTCTATTTTATTTCATTGCTTGTCGATAACTATTGATAAGGCTTATTAACACTATATATAACTTTGAAAAATGGAAACGCTAATTAGGCTGGTTTCAAAACTTACGGAAGATTACATTGCTGTAAGCTAGAAATATATATATCACGATAAATAAGAGACCTACATTTCCTAAACTCCCTAAAGATGCTAGATATCATCTAAAGGTCATTAGGTTACAAGTTAAGGTGCTTATAGACCAACGTTGTTGAAATCTCAAATTGTAATCTATCTCATTTACTAACGTATTTCACATAGTAAATGCGACAAATTACAACTTGATATCTCAACAACGATAGTCTATATGAAGATTTCCTTATAGCTTAATGACCTTTAGGTGATATCTAGCATCTTTAGGGAGTTTGGGGAAAGTTTGTGACTTCATGATTGTAATATATATATATCTAGTTTTTAGCAACGTAATTTTCGGTATTTTTTGAAATGATGATAATATAGCTTTTTACTTTCTTTGAAATTGATAAATGGTGCTAATGAGTCTTATCAATAACTATCGACAAATAAGGAGATAAAGTAAAAACATGGTTCTTGAGATATAGATGTAGAATATATCTCATTTACTATGTGTTTTGGAGATGGTGGCTCGCTTACGAAATACGGTATCATTAGAGAAGCATATGTTGCAGTCCGTGTGTACTAGGATACCTGTCTTGATATGGATCTATCCATTAGATATAGAGCATAACATGAGTTCACTAGGCCTCAGGTCTAACAGAACAAGAGAGTGGCGGCCATATTTCGCAGCCTAGGAGCCTAGGAAAGGAACCTCGCCGAGCTTAAAGCATCATCCGTAACCCTTACCATAGCACACAATGAAGGAGCCAGACGTTTGCCCTTCCCCCATCCCAAACAGAATGTTGTCGCGAATACATATCGCTTAAAGAAAAGAAAAGAGAAAAAAAATGAAAGGTCAAAGAACGATTGTGTCTCGTACGACAGAGAAACCTAGAGAGACCTATTACATCTAACAGCAAATCCTGCGCTTGAGCCTATCATGCGTGGGGCTAGAACAGATCTCTTATTACTCACATTGAACCTAGAAGGGGGACATAGTAGCAATCATGACACTGCGTCTGTCAATTCTTACTTGAACTCGTCAGTTTAGACTAGAACTATTGCGGTTATACCTCCGTTGTTTTGACTGAACCAACTTCGGTAAGGCCTGGGCCTCCATCGGTCATTGCCCATTGTGAGTGGGCGAATAAACACAGGTAGAGATATGACGAGATGCATGCGTTCTCTTTGTATTATCGCTTATAGACACCATGTTGCGGTTAAGCCATGAGGTATCATCTGTGAGTTCTTCGCTTGGAGTATTTAATACATGCAATGCCCATCCCCCCACCTTCCAACAACTTCCTCCTCCTTATTCATAAAGACTTTGCTTGAACTACCTTCTTCTGATTTAGGTCCATTTAACTTGGTATTATCTCGGTAGATTGATAGCAGGTTGTTATTCAATATGGATTCACACCCAAAGCTCACGTTTAATGGCTCAGACCCCAACGAGAAATGGATAACAACGGTTCATGTGCAACCAGTAGCGCCATCACCCAGCTCTATCCTCAGTTCTAGTGATCCCACTCTCTGGGATACACACTTTGCAGATAGCGCTCGCCAGTGGGGTACTGCTACAAAAGTCGCTATCTCCGTTGTTGCAATTGTTTCGTTCTTTGTGATGTAAGTCCAGTTCCTTCCCATTGCGGCTCGAGCTAAAGGTGTAATTCAGCACCTTGGCAAACTCGATCTACATTGCTGGTATTCCGGGCATCAGGGCAGAGTTCCAGATCGGATCCACATTGGCTATCTCTCCTGTTGCCCTATATGCCATGGGGTTTACGATTGGGCCTCTGCTCTCCTCGGCATTGTCCGAGGAGTTTGGGAGAAAGTGGGCTATTAAATGCTCTCTGCTCCTTCACCTCATCTTCACTATTGTCGGTGCTACGGCGCCAAACTTTCGGACTCTGGCTGTTGCCCGTGCGCTGTCGGGGATTCTGGGCTCGCCGTTGGTGACCATATTCGTGGGAGTCCTTAATGATCTATGGAAGATGCCTGAAGACCGCCTGGCGGTTCCCGTGTTCCTACTCTATGGACTTGGCGGTATCACTGCGCCAACAGTAGGGCCTATCATTGGACAGTCCGTTGTGGAAAACGGCGGATGGCGGTGGACTTTCTGGCTCATCGCCATATTAGTTGGGCTCTGCCTTTTTGCAGTCATTCCTATCAAGGAAACGTACGAGCCAGTGGTGCGCCGGAAGGCGCTTAATCTCCCTCGTCGGGACTGGCACAAGGTCGTCGGTCCTGCCTTCTTACGCCCACTTCATATGCTCTGGGTGGAACGTATCATATGGCCCACCACTTCTATTACTGTTGCGGGTCAAGTCGTGCTTTTCGTCTTCTACGCAGCTTTTCCCATCATGTTGGACGAGGTCTATGGATTTACCCCCTACCAGACAGGGTTAGCCTTCCTGGCCCAGCTGGCAGCAGGTGTTGCAGCCTTTCCGCTGTTAGGATTTATTGAAAGAAAAGGTCGAGCTTCCGTGGAAAAAGATCCGGAATTTATTCTTGTCGGTGGCAAGTTGGCAGGTACTGCGATGTGGACGTCTCTCATAACGTAAGCTACTACTTTGCCACTGCCCTTCTGACAACCAATTCGGAAATTCCGCCTTATTAGAGGAGAGTGGCTCGTGTGCACCAGAAGACAAACTGACATGTTAGTAGGCTCGCATGGCTGCCACGCCACAATGTTCATTGGGTCTGGGTAATTATAGCGTCTGCTGTCTTTGGATTTGGATTTGCGTTGTCACAGGTATTGTGTTCCTTCCGTTCTATTACAGACCGGTGCTTATCTACTACGCCAATAGCTTGTCTATGCACGATACAAAAACGAGGTCTATGGCGCCGATCTCGGCGCATCCGTTCTCGCAATAGACGTGTCCCTACGATATGCGGTGTCCTGTGTGTTCCCACTGTTCACTGTCCAGCTTATGGACCAGGTAGGGTTCCACTGGATGATATCTTTGCTAGCCGCTCTACATTTGGCCCTATCTATTATTCCATGGGTTCTTCAAAAACAGGGTGCTACCGTACGCGCACAGAGCCCCTATCTGAATCGCCACTTTTCCCCGCACGAAAATGCTGCGAGGACCATTCAGACTCCTTAATCATACCGGGTGGGTTGGAGAGATATACATACGAGGGTCCTGCCTGGTTGGGGCCACCTTTCACCTATCACATTTTCTTTAGGGGTGCTGCCTTTCGGGCATTTTGTATTTGAGCTCAAGGGGTTTTTTCGCCTACGAAAATTCTATACTATTCTAAACCTGGAACGCGTAGTGTGGTTTCAGATATGAAATGCCTAACCGGCCCTTACATTTTTTTACTACTATAATACAAAAACAATTTAATCTCCCCGGCGTTTTTTTGGCTCTTCCATGCTCTCTGATTTCGATCAACACTTTCTTCCACTTGCGCTTGGTCTTTTCTTGATCCGCCTTTTCGTCCAATTTGTATTCCTTTCGCTTCATTTCTTTCACCTGGGTGGAAGATATGATACCGGTGATCTGTATATGACGGCGCGAATTGTCATATTTGGCGTGGCGCGCTCCCATAATAACCTGGGCACGATCGAATTCCCGCTGTATCTGGAGAGCTAATACAGCCTGCGCTTCAGTACCCTTTGCAAGCTTTTCTAACCCATCTTTGAAACGCTGAGTGGTAGGATCGTACTGATTGAGACGAAAGCTAATTCTTCGAATTCTCTCGGCTATTTTTAGAGTGCTGAATTCCGTGTTTTGAGAGCCAGTTGACGGGGTGTCTAGCTGGGGTAAATTGTCATGATATGGATCGTACGACTCCAATTCATTAGTAATAAGCTTGGAATTGATAGGCCAGAGGCCTGTCAATTTAAGTCCAAGCTTAATTGTATGCGGCCGGAAGGTTTTTCGACTGATTTCGGCGATACAATGTAGGAATTCATCATTTGAGAATTCGCGGCATCCAGTCAAATCCTGTGTACTACCGCTACCAACGGTTTATAATACGAAATCCGTAATTTTTGGTGATCATGTTTTGAGGTATATCTGGTCAGGAGGCATCAGTTATGTATGCGTTCTCGGTCCGTTCATCCTGACACAACCAGGGTTTGTTGGGTATGGAGCAATCTGCACCCGACTAGGTCGAAGGGGGTGCGCATTATTGCACAGAAATCTAGTTCAAGTAAAATCTACAAGACAGAATATGAGGCCGTGCGCCGCTTTTTGGTAAAAAATGTAAGGGCCGGTTATGACTTGTGTCCAGAAATAATGTGTTACATTGATTGCCCGCCGGTCTTTTTACCGCTGAAACATGTGAAACATGTGACTTCTTGACTATGCGTTTTGCTTATCAATTATGTCCGACCGGATTGTCAAATTCGGACCATTGTTGTTTTTATTTAGGTAGAGAATTTTACCATTGTGAACTTTACCAATACGCTATCCATACCTTGATTTCTGTCAACTTGTTGCAATTAAGCCACGTGACCAAACCCCAAGTTAACCACCCAGGCTCCCTTACAATTTTCTCCTTATGCCCTCAAACTTTTCCTACTTGCCAATTCAGAAGTATGGCGAGACACTCTTCCAAGCGTCACCGGCGCACCGAATCAAGGATTGAGACCCTACCTGATGACCTTAAAAGAATGATCATCTGCCTTCTCGATCCACACGCCTTGTCCGTCTTACTAGAGGCAGCGCCGGATTTTAGACCCACAGCTGATCTGCTCCAGAGAACAAAGGATTTCAAAACACTCCCGGTTATGGCCAAGTTGTTGGGCTCCGTGAAACCAATATCTAAACCGTCAACACGACAACTTGTCAAAATGAAGCTCCATGATATTACTAGCTGTGGCGATGGCCGGTATTTGGGTTTTACGCCTCATGGGAGCTCTCATCAACTGTACTGGAAATTCAAAAAGTGTCCAGGGTTTAAAGCCTGGCATGCCAACCAATGGAGATCAGAACCGGAGAACACCGGAGCCGGGGAAATCATGTCAGTCACGGTATGGCCTAGAAGGGGGAATTCCACGTTTTTCAACGTGCCGGAGCTTCTAAGCCCAAGTGTCTTTGACAAAGGACGGCTTTGTCTTGGGTATGAGAAGATAGGATTTGGGCCGTGGTGGCTCGTCGTCCGCCAAATCTCAGACTGGGATTTGGTAGCACAACATTCGATATTGGCCACTATAGACCAGGCATACGTTCTTGGCCTTGACAGTGACCTGGTTGTTCAATATTCAACAGAAAGTTTCAAAATTCGAATATGGAATCCCCGCTTGAATAAGTTCTGGGAAGTGCAACATTCAAATGCCACCCTTTTCAACAGGCCACACATCCTTAATGGCCAGAATGGTTTTATTACTACCTCAAAACAGGATAAATCCGGGGATGTCCACGTCTTGAGTTGGAGGTCTATCAATTGGCGAGATACTGAAAAGCCCTCGTATATCGAGCACCGGGATTTCACTTTACCTTCCTCATATTTTTTCCCCGAAATTCCCAGTAACGGCGAAATTTCCAGGGGTTTATCTCCAGGTTTATTTACGACCATTGACGAAATCGGCCATAATTGTATCTCGTTCCTTCTACAAAGTGACCCTCCCCTCGCAGTGACATATATTGGCGAACCAATGGAGTTCGGAAACCTTGAAATAGTTGTTGGGGAGTTTTCTGACAACACTCACGTCATTCGCAACAGTGGCCGTTGTGACGATAGTGTTGTTAAGATGATGAAGGATGGGAAACAAATATGGCGACTCGATGAGGGCAGAGATTGCCTAGGCGCTTTCGTTTATCTGGACGCCTATCTTGTTATTGTGGACCGCGATCATCGAGGAAGACTACATTCCCGAGTCGCCTTCCGAAATATTAACGGTGAATTGGTTTATGACTTCGAGTTGCCCTGGAATTACACCCGCCGCGAGATACGTATCCTCAGGGAAGATGGTAGAATCGTTATTTTCGCAGATGACTTGTTGGAGGCTACCGTATGGACATTTTTCAAGAACACTGCCTCGTCAACCGAAAGAGCAGGCAAAGGAGAGAAACGCTATGACTTGAGGCCCCACAAGAAACGCAGATTAGTATTTTGAAAGGCCTAGTGTGCTACCAGAGGAACAAAGATACAAAACTATGGCTAGATACTGATCTGATTACGAGGGTGGTTGGGAAGTCAGAAACAGCACTCCCACATAACATGATACATTTAAAACGAGCTATATCGGGCAAATGAATTCCTCATTGTTTATTTTCGCAGCTAACCCGTAGGGGTGAACACGAACAATGAATTTGCTTATTCATATTCGTAATTTTTCTTCAACTCGTTATTCGCGTTCGATTAGCAGTTGTGTTGAATACCCGGTAGCTGAAATTATATGACAGGGACCGGGAGCTCTTGCATATAAAAGGCTGTCAGCCATTCTGGACCTGCAACAAGAACTACTTACAACATTAACACAGAAGCATCACTTCTTAACACGGCGAGGGCTATTCGCATTCGTAAATGTTTACGGTATTTGTACTATAATTCGTAAATTATTCGTATGCACCTCTAGGCCAAAACTGTCAGTGCGAAGTTTACATACATTGACCTAATCTTGACGGCGAAATCATCAGTCTCAAGCACAAATGTTGCGTCTAAATCAGAGCATCATTATGGTACATCAAAAGTCCATTCGCCCCACTCGTAACCACGACTGTTCCCTGGGCCGGGGCCGGAATGGTCTGATTCCCGCGTACCGTATTGTTTTTCACAGTCGGAGCAAGGCCCACTCACTGCCTTAAGATAACTCTCCATAATTTCCACTTAATCAGGGCAGAAACGTAAGAACCGGGAAGATGATATATATTTGAATACCATTGGCATAATATAGGAAGTATCAATCAACGCTTCTCTATCACCCTTTTTATGAATATAATTCTATTTAATCAAGTAAAGGAAATACTCATAATTACCGTAAGAAAATGCATAATTTATACAATTAGAATCCTTAGTATGTTTGTAACCCAATTTGGGGCCCCAGACCCAGTACTGGGTTGGGTCTGGGTTTTACTGGGTCGTGCGGAAGACTACTGTAGTTGGCTCCCACACACAAGTAGTCTCTTGCTAGTAGATAGTTTCTTCTTTTCTCTAGATATTTTTCCAGAGCTCTCTATTCCTTCATAGTAGATCTCTTTTATCTCTCTCAGACCCATACTTGGATAGTTGTTGTAGGCAAATCTCGATTAGTCTCGGGGGTTCATTTCAGAGGATGCAGAAGCACATTGGTCATGTGACCAGGCAGCATCGATTTGCGGCAAATCATTTGCCGTCTCGTTCAACATTGCTATATGTAATCAACTAGAGCAAAAAAATTAGCCTAGCCGACCGCCTCCGGGCAAGGAGAATCCGTGCCCTGGAACCCTGTCGGGCGCTACTGACAAACATGAAGACCTTCATCAGGAGTCATCCTACGTAGTTTAGGGTCTCTAGGTATATATATATACATATACCTCGAGGGAGCGTAAGTACCGTTAATAGTACCTGGTGACTCTTTCAAGCTATCATGTATAGGGCTCTAAAAGGAATAGAGAATGCGAATATAGGTAATATTCACGTCCATACTCCGCGAATAAGGATAGAATATTTACTTCGCTCGTTTACAGTATTCATATTCGCGGACAATTCTTCATATTGTCTAATCACCCGTATCGATAATTCTTCCCTATCCCATGGGCGTGGGCACAGTCTAGTAGACTGGAAATAAGACTTTCGCTTTACTATGGGAGAAAATGGTAGGGCCATGAGTAGACTGGAATAACATTTCATACGAGGATCAACCTGAAAATTGAATATTTCCAAGTTACACCCCGAAGACTATGGTCCTCAAATTATGGAGTAATTGTGCCAAGCCCACCAACACCTCCCGGTATTGGTGGGCCTCACCGGATAACAAATTTGCACCGGATCACAAATTTTCCATTCTTTATCAATTTGCTACCCATTTTATACCACAACATGATGTCAGAACAAAATGAAAATGTTGAGATGAGAACTCTACAGGTCGTAGAAGCCTACTTCCAAAGCGATAAGCCCAATTTAGCTAAATTGGCGCGAGAATTCGCTGTTCCCTACAACCGACTACGCGGGCGCGTTAGCGGACGGAAGTCCAATTCCACTATTGCTAGTCGAAGTAAGGCATTAAACCCGATGCAAGAAAAAGCATTGATATCCTGGATCCAAGCACTACGCCATTCATATACTGCAATTACCGTTGATCTCATTGAACACTCTGCAAACCAGCTTTTAAAAAATGCTGGTTCCGATCGGCAGGTTGGCCGCAACTGGGTATACAGATTCATCAATCGCCTACCCCCAGATATCCGATATATTAGCCCAAAACCTGCTGAAAAACCAAGGGCTGATAGTGAGAGCTATGGCCAATTGCTCCTATGGTTTAATAGCCTTAAAAAGGTTATTGATCAATATGGATTCAAGAAAAATGAGATCTTCAATTGAGATGAAACTGGCTACCAAATTGGCCAGGGAAAGCGACAAAAGGTTATTGCTTCTACCGGAGCATATGCCAATCCTACCGGTGGTCAAAATGAATCAATTACTAGCATTGAATGTATCGCCGCCGATGGTTGGGTTACGCTACCATGGTTTCTACCTAAGGGTAGTTTCCAAATGGAAGTGTGGTATGAAAATATCACTATCCCCGATTTTCGAATTAAACCTACCCTAAATGGCTGAATTAATAAAGAGAGTGCATTTCAATGGCTTTGTTCATTTTATCATGCTTCAATTTCTCAGGTCGACGAGGGTAGGCCAAGACTTTTATTGATGGATACCCATGGTTCTCATACAACCTTCGAATTCATCGATTTTGCACACAAAAAAAAACATTATCCTATACTACTTTTTACCCCGTACAACCCATCTCTGCCAGCCGCTAGATGGTCAAGCTTTTCAATGCTCAAAATATTACTTCCGTACCGCCAATAACGAAGTGATGAAATGGGGTGGAAGTGTTGCTAGAAAGCGGGATTTTTTCAGGATGATCTCCAATATCCGGAAGCAAGCTTTTACTAGCAGAACCATCCGATCTTCATTTAAATCTAGGGGTATTTACCCCTTTGATCCGGGAGTCGTACTTGGTCCTTTATGCCAAATACAAATCGAGAATGAAGGTTCTCCCCTTAAGATTTTCACGCCTTCTCCCCCCCCCCCCCAGATATCCCAAGCTCAGTCACCAATTCACCGCCAGATACTATCGCCCGGGTTAGTAGGCTTAATGCTAAGCTTATTAAAGATCTGAAGCAAGTTAAAACTGCATCTGCGCAGGTAAAACGGCATATTCAACGGAGTATGGATGCAAATGCATATCTATCTCAGCAGCTTGATTTAGTAAAGAGATCTTTAAAGAAGTCTCAATACCACAAATCAATAGCAGATATTCCAAGAAATGGGCAATCGATTCTTGGAGCACGGAATTCAGTACCATCACCTATATGCGCCAATAGGATGATAAAAAAAAAGGGCTGATGGCGATGCTAAGAAGCTCCAGAGGAAGCAAGCTAAGCAAGCCAAGGAATTGGAAGTTGAACAGCAGGCCCAAAAGGCAAGGGATATAGCTGAGGCTGAGCATGAAGCATCAATGGCGGCAAGAGATAGTAATGGTAGAAATTGGTATATAGATAATCATGGTGGTTATTTATAAATAGTGGTTTTAATGCATTTTTAATGGAAGAATTTGTTATCCGGTGCAAATTTGTTATTCCGGCGAGGCCACCAATACTGGGAGGTGTTGGTGGGCTTGGCACGATTAATTGATCAAGCCATAAAGATGGGGGTGGCCGATCAAAAATTGGGAATTATTTCTGATAGGGTGCGACCGTACCGCACTCTTAAGATATAACCGTGCCAAGCGCCCAATACACGGTAGGTGTATTGGTGCGCCCCACCAGATACACATTTTTCACTAGATCCCCAATTTTCAATTTGTTCAACTATGAAAATACTATTTACAAGTAACCACCATGATTATCTATATAGCAATTGACACTATGGCTATCTCTTGGTGCCATTGAAGCTTCATGCTCAGTCTCAGCTAAATCCCTGCCTCCTGATCTCGCTGCTGAGCTTCCAATTCCTTAGCATGCCTTGCCTATAACCGCTTCATCTTCCTAGAATCGGCATCCTGTCTTTTCATTATCTCCTATTTGCACATATAAGTGATAGAACATTGCCTCTAGTCCAAAGAAGCAATCTCCCATTTTTGGCTTATTTGCATGTGATTTGTGGGAGTGAGACTTCTTTAAACTCTCTTTAGCCAGATCAAGCTCCTGGGATTAAAGCGCATTTGCTTGCATACTTCGTTGAATATGCCTTTTATCCTCTGGGAAAGGTGCTCAATTTTCTTAATGTCATGAAGAAGCTTAGTATTAAGCTTCTTAACCCGCTCAATTGTATCTGGTGGCGAATTGGTGACTGAGCTTGTAAAGTCAGGAGGGGGGATGGCGTGAAAATCCTGAGGGGGGACCCTTCAGCTTCGAGATATTTTTGGCGTAAAGAACTAAGAACCGCTTCTGGATCAAGCGGGTAAATTCCCTAGATTCAAATGAAGATCAGATGGTTCTTTGTGAAAGAGCTTGCTCTCTGACACCTTGAATAATTCGAAAAGAATCCCGCTTTTTACTTGCACTTCCACCCGACATAACAACTTCATTATTCATTGTATGAAAATGATGCTTTAAGCTTTGAAAAGCTTGACCATCTACGGCTGGCAGAGATGGGTTGTATGGGGAAAAAAGTAGTATGGGTGTGCAAAATTCGATGAATTCGAAGGTTGTATGAGAACCATGGTTATCTACTTGGCCTTCCTTTTTTAACCGGATCAATTGTAGCGGTATTAAAAGAGAGGAGCTATTGAAGCGCAGTTTCATCGTCAATCTAACTATTTGGGGTTGGTTTAATTCGAAAATCGGGTGTTTTGATTTTTTTATTCCACTCCTGCATAGGTAAACTACCCTTAGGTAGAAACCATGGTAGAATAAACCAGCCATCGGCAGCAAAACATTCAATGCCGGTAATTGATTTCGATTGACCACCAGTAGCGATATCGCTAGTTGTACGAGAGGTAACAACCTTACGTTGCTTGCCTTGGCCAATTCGGTAGCAAGTTTCATCCCAATTGTACATCTCATGCGGTAGGAGTTTATACCGTTTCACTACCGCAGAGAGCTGGTTAAACCAGAGAATCAAAGCACCGTAATCCTCGCTATCAACCCTCGATTTTTCCTTAGTTTTTGGTTGATATAAATGAGCATAGGGGGCAGTCTTGTGAGGAAGCGGTATACCTAGTTGTGGCCAACCGCCCGATCGGAACCAGCCTTTTTTACAAGCCGATTGGCAGCCTTTTCAATCTCTTCTGGAGGTTACGATATATGAAAGATATCTAGGGTTTGAACCCAGCTAACCAATGCTTTTTCCTGCATTTCATTTAATGATTTAGTTGTTTTAGCGCGGTCGGAATTAGACTGTCGGCCCTGGATTCGGCCACGCAGTTGATCACGAGAAACCCCAAAATCCCGCGCTAATTTAGCGACGTTGGGCTTAGTAAATTCATGGAAAACCTTGACGGCTTCCTAGATTCGATCCTCGGTTTTTTTTTGATTGAATTTGACATTGTGGCGTGGATTAGTCTCTAATTTAGTTCCAAAGCGGGCATCATCTCTCTATAGTATCGATTTAAATCTGGCGCTGAAAACTAACCTATACTTGGCATTTCACTATGTGGCTAAAATTCGTACCAGAACCAAGCTTAGGTCACATAGGAATATAAAGAGGAGCTACATGCCGACGAGTACGTGATTCTGGAATCATACAATGCTGTTCAGTCAGCAGGATATTCGAGAGCTATTACTCAATGATTTCAGCCTAAGGGCAGAGACGTCTGATAAACCTATCATAAAGGACCTCCACAGCCTAACTATTGAAGGCAATCTTAAAGACATTGGAAAACATAAGTACCAATGTTCGTTCAACAAATTACTTGCTCTAGGTTTACAATGTGCTATCATGAGCGGTAACGAAGTCATCGTTTCTCATTTTCTCAAAAGGGGTGCAGACCCGACTCGCGCTACTAGCACGCTTATCAATTTTAAACGCGCCACCTGGCCTATATTCCATCCTCATTCCAAATACAGTGACAATCATTATGAGTCTGACGACTGCTCCAATGACGAATTTAACAACGAAGCTGGCGACGAATATTCAAACATCGACCGGGACAATGATGATTGTGGCACTGAATACGGCGATGATGACCAAATAGCAGGATATATTCCTAGCATGAATGGAAAGACCACAGCCCTGCATATTGCTGCTCTTATAGGCAATGCCAGCACAATTAAGAAGCTTTTACGTAAAGCTCGAGATGATTTCGGAAGTCAAGTCTTCCAAACGGAGAGTAGTCCTCTGATCATAGCAGCCTGGCTCGGAAATACGGGGGTGGTTAAGGCACTCCTGCCCTACGAAAGTCAATTTTCCTTCAAAGGATTCCTTCATACGCCCCTACAGGCTGCGTCGGCGCGAGGGCATCTTGATATCGTGAAATTTCTCCTCCGGGAGCGAGACGTCAATATAGCTTCTGGTGGCTACCCTACCCCTCTCTGTGCTGCCTCTCGTCACGGGAAAATTACCGTAGCTGCACTACTTATTAAACATGGAGCTGAGGTTAACCCGCAATCAGCTCGTGTGTTGGACACTCCACTTTCGAACGCTATGATAAATTCTCAATTTGAAGCAATTCGGTTCCTGCTTAGAAAAGGAGCCATGTTTAACCCAGCTCTCCTGCTTGAAAAATATTGTAGGATTAACGAAGAAGCGCTCGTCATCGTCCTGCAACATGCCATGGAAAAGCAACAGGCGGAGTGGCGCTACAATGCCCTTTGCATCCAGTGTCGCTTTGGCGACTATGACTATGTGTGCAATCTACTCTCAGAAAGAAAAGAGATGTCCAAGTTACAGCAACTGGATCAAAATGACCATGACAATCTAGGAGGTAACGGGCCTCTTGTGATTGCTATAAAATATCGCCACAAGAGTCTTGTTGAGCTCCTCCTGGAAACTAAGACCCCATCTATTTTTCGAGGCAATATTGTTCTCGCGGCGGTAGAATCGGGCGATAATGATATCATTCTATCAGCGCTCGCGGACCCGAAGAAGAGTCATCTGCTCTGTGACAAGTGTGAGAATGGTGTAGCAGCCTTCATTGCTGCCGTCAGAAGCGAAAAATACAGCACGGCATGCGTAATATGGAAATATATGCACGAGGTAGCTGATCAAAGTATTGACGCTCTGGACGATGAGGACGAGCTCAAGCAATTAGTCCAAAACCAGTTGAAAAGCACAAAAACGGTTTATGATAAGGCGAAGAATGAATACGTCGCATGTTTGAGATTAAATGAGACTCTCGGGCTATAGGCTTAGGGTTTAGGCTATCCCATGGGGGTGAGCGCAGTCTAGTAGACTGGAATTAGGGGTTTTGCTTTACTATGGGAGAAAAAGGGAGGCCATGAGTAGACTGGAATAATTTTCACGAGTAGACTGGAATTCCTTCCCATACGAGGATCAGCCTGGAAATTTGTAGAGTTCTATTCTATATATCAAAGATTATGGTGTTCGAATTTTAGAGTAATTGATCGAGATATCTCCCAAATATCCATGAAGTGCCAAACCCCACTATCTCCTACCGATAGCTTGTGTAAAGAATGTATTGTAAAGCCCACTCAGGCTCAATGGGCCGCCTCCCATGGGATAGAGTTGTACGAAGTCTCAACTTTAAAACAAAGACTAGCAATTAAAAGATAGCAAACTGTGAAAATGTATAACTATTAGCTTGCCAGGATAATATTCTATAAATATAAAGGCAAAGTCTTTAGTTCCCTTCTACCTAGAGGGTTCGTACGAAGTTTGTTATATACCAAGTATTAGACTCTGTTGATTCACAGAGAAATGGTAGATATATATCAGATATATGGTGGGAATATATCCCGATACTGTGGTACGGTCGCACCCCATCAAAAATAATTCCAAATTTTAATCGGCCACCACACCTTCACAGCTTGATCAATTACTCTGAAATTCGACGACCATAATCTTCCAGGCGTCACTTAGAACTCTACAAATTTTCAGATCGATCCTCGTACCGATAGTAATTCCAGTCTACTAGACTGCGCCCACCCCCATGGGATAGAACTCCTCACGAACGGGTCCTGTGGTCGAAAATGCGTTAGTATCAGGCCTGCAGGGCCGGTACGGAACAAAAAACTCATGATCGAATGGGAGGAAGGGAGTGAATATCACCCAATGGGCGACAAAATTACAGACCCTCGCTATGCGAGGGTCTGTAATTTTGGTAAAAAATGTAAGGGCCGGTTAGATATATATAGTGGGAATATATCCCGATACTGCGGTACGGTCGCACCCTATCAAAAATAATTCCAAATTTCAATCGGCTACCACACCTTCAAATCTTGATCAATTACTCTGAAATTCGACGACTATAATCTTCGAGGCGTAACTTAGAACTTTCCAAATTTTCAGATCGATCCTCGTACGCAAAGTAATTCCAGTCTACTCAAGAAAAGTATTCCAGTCTACTCATGGCCCCACATTTTTCTCCTATAGTAAAGCCAAAACCCTAATTCCAGTCTACTAGACTGCGCCCACCTCCATGGGATAGGATCTAGCAGAGGCAAGCTTTCCATTTATGCTAGAATGGTATCTGCCCGGGCATTGTGGTGTTGTGGTCACCAGTCATGTTTTGCATACTGGGATGTCAAAGTGGAGAAATTCAAATCCACGTTGCTTGAAGAATTTCCAATATATATATGCCGATATCCGCCGCTCTACTAACGATAATCTGGTGAGACGAAGGACCGTTCTAGAGCAATACCGTGTTGATCCACAGAAGCTTCATTTCTACCGGTTTTCCAAACTTACCACTAGCTTTTATATACTGAACAGACAACTCCTTCCAGGAGAGGTCTGATATGATATTGGTGGAATTGAGAATTTTGTTGGGCGAGGCAGGTTGCCCACAGTCGCACCATGGACCCAAGGGTGCGGGAGCACGCACCACTGGCCAACCAGAGGTCTAACAATTGGTATTAGTAGTGCATACCAATTGACAATAGGGTATAGAGGTAGAGCGGGAGTAGAGTTTCTGCTCTAATTTAGCCAAGCGTGGTGTAACTGTACTTGGAGTATCCCAAATATGTTTAGTTTTGAGGGTTTAATTCCCAAAGGAGTTTAGTTTTGAGGAAAAAAATCAGGCCAATCATATTAATGATCCAGTTGCGCTTCGTCTTCAAAAATCCCATTTCAAGATGCGATATTCCATCAACCACGCAGAAAAAAAGAATTCGGATAGTGTAAACGAATTTTCACCATTAGGTCTGCTTGTATTGATATTTTGGGCCCTGGAAGATACTGTTGTGTTGTTAGGTAAGGACGTGATATCCTCTATGGTGAGTCGTTACACCAGAACCATTCCCATGGGATCGGAAATGTCAAAAGTCTACTCTAGGCTGTCATTTGTCCTCTAGGAAATTCCTTTTCCATAAATTTCTACAGCCAAATAAATATGCAAAAAATGTATCTCAGGGGCTGAATGAATTTATTCATCTCCATACATAGTCTCAACATTTGTTCAAGGATAAGGGAAACCTTATAAGGGAAAAACCTTATCAAGACCACTCAATGACCCCAATTTGCAGATTCGTCAATCCGTAAAGAGAGTCAAGGATGAAGGAACAACCATCAGCCGTAACTAAACTCTGTTTGGAGAGTTAATTGAATTCGAGCAATTCGAGGACCTTGTCTAGAGGATATATTTCACCTTTCATAGCTCCATGGTATGTTACCCCGGTTTTCCGATATCACAAGGGTTCGGTCACTACAAAACAGGTTATGTTGAGCGACTGAAAAATCAAATACAAGATCAATATAGAGATATCAACTTACATTCTATTCAATCGAGATGATTAGTTGAAGTATTATGACTCTTACTAAATTAATCAATATAGGGGTATTCACTTACCTTCTATTCCATCCAGATCCATCAGCAAGACTTCATTTATCACTTGATGAAGATAGAGACATCCACTTACCCACTATACCATCCAGATCTATCAGCAAGACTTCACTTATCACTAGATCGATAGAGAGATATTCACTTACCCTCTACCCCATCCAGTTCTATCAGCAAGATTCCACTTATCACTAGATCAACAGAGAGATATCTACTTACCTCCTATCCCGTCCAGATCCATCAGCAAGACTTCACTTATCTCTCGATTAATATAGAGATATACACTTACCCACTATACCATCCAGATCTATCAGCAAGACTTGAGTCTTTATTAAATAAATATAGAGATATTCACTTACCCTCTACCCCATCCAGTTCTATCAGCAAGATTCCACTTATCACTAGATCAACAGAGAGATATCCACTTACCTCCTATCCCATCCAGATCCATCAGCAAGACTTCACTTATCACTTGATGAAGATAGAGAAATTCACTTACCCACTATACCATCCAGATCTATCAGCAAGACTTGAGTCTTTATTAAATAAATATAGAGATATTCACTTACCCTCTATCGCGTCCAATTCTATCAGCAAGACTTCACTTATCACTAGATTAACAGAGAGATATCCACTCACCGCCTATCCCATCCAGATCCATTAGCAAGACTTCACTTATCACTAGATAAAGATAGGAATATCCATTTACCTTCTATTTAATCCAGTTCTATCAGCAAGACTTGACTCTTAATTAAATCAATATGGGGACATCCACTTACCTGCTATTCCATCCAGATCCATCAGCAAGACTTCACTCATCAGTGGATTAATAGAGAGATATCCACTTACCTCCTATCCCATCCAGGTTCATCAGCAAGACTTCACTTATCAGTAGATCAATATGGTGATATCCACTTACCTCCTATTCCATCCAGATCCATCAGCAAGACTTCACTTATCACTTAGTGAAGGTATCCACCTACCTCCTATCCCATCCAGATCCATCAGCAAGTCTTCACTTATCACTAGATCAAAAGAGGGATATCCACTTACTGACTATTCCATCCAGATCAATTAACAAGACTCCACTTATCACTAGATAAATAGAGGGATATGTACTTACCAACTATTCCATCCAGATTCATCAGCAAGACTCCACTCATCACTAAATGATTATAGAGATATCCACTTACCCACTATTCCATCCATATCCATTAGCAAGACTTCACTTATTAGTAGATCAATAGAGAGATATCCACTTACTTCCTATTCCGTCCAGATCCATCAGCAAGACTTTACTTATCACTAGATGAATATAGGGATATCCACTTACCCACTATCCCATCCAGATCCATCAGCAAGACTTCAACGATCACTAGATCAATAGAGGAATAACCATTTACCTTCTATTCCATCCAGATCCATAAGCAAGACTTGTTTACCAGAAGAGCAACGTAATACCATCTACTTACCTCCTATTCCAACCAAATCCATTAGAAAAAAATTCCTTATCACTAGACGAATAAAGGGATATCTACTTACGGCCTATTCCATTCAGATTATTCGTAAAACTTTGTTTATCAAAAGACTAAGATAGGGATATCCACCTACCCTCTATCCCATCCGGATCAATTAGCAAGACTTCACTTATCACTTGATGAAGATAGAGATATCCACTTACCATCTATCCCATCCAGATCTATCAGCAAGACTTCACTTACCACTTAATGAAGATACAGATATCCACTTACCATCTATTCCATCCAGATCTATCAGCAAGACTTCACTTATCAGTGGATTGATAGAGAGATATCCACTTACCTCCTATCTCATCCAGATTCATCAGCAAGACTTCACTTATCAATAGATCAATAGAGAGATATCCACTTACCGCCTATCCCATCCAGATCTATCAGCAAGACTTCACTTATCACTTAATGAAGATACAGATATCCACTTACCATCTATCCCATCCAGATCTATCAGCAAGACTTCACTTATCAGTGGATTGATAGAGAGATATCCACTTACCTCCTATCCCATCCAGATCCATCAGCAAGGCTTCACTTATCACTAGATTAATAGAGAGATATCCACTTACCTGCTATTCCATCCAGATTTATCAGCAAGACTTTACTTATCACTAGATAAATATAGGGATATCCACTTACCCACTATCCCATCCAGATCTATCAGCAAGACTTCAACGATCACTAGATCAATATAGGAATAACAATTTACCTTCTATTTAATCCAGTTCTATCAGCAAGACTTAACTCTTTAGTAAATCAATATAGAGATATCCACATACCTGCTATTCCATCCAGATCCATCAGCAAGACTTCACTTATCACTAGATGAATAGAGAGATATCCACTTACCGCCTATTCCATCCAGATTCATCAGCAATAAGTCGCTAAGTGCTAGATTAATATAGAGATATCCACTTACTGGCTATTCCAACCAGATCCATCAGCAAGAGTTCACTTTTCACTAGATCAATAGGGAGATATCCACTTACCATCTATTCCATCCAGATCCATAAGCAAATTCTTCACTCTTTATCAAGTTAATATAGAGATAGTCACTTACATCCTATTTCATCCAGATCCGTCAGTGACACTTCACTTATGACTAGATCAATATAGAAATATCCACTTACCTTCTATTCCATATAGACCATTAGTGAGACTTTACTTATCAGAAGAGCAAGACAAGATATCCACTTACCCTCTATTCCATCCAGCTCTATCAGGAAGACTTCATTTATCACTAGATCAATATAGGAATATCCACTTACCGCCTGTTCCGTCCAGATCCATCAGTAAGGATTCACTCTTTATTACATCAACATAGGGATATCTACTTACCTCCTATCCCATCCAGATCTATCAGCAAGACTTCTCTTTTCACTAGATCAATAGAGAGATATCCACTTACCTCCTATTCCAACCAGATCCATCAGCAAGAGTTCACTTTTCACTAGATCAATAGGGAGATATCCACTTACCATCTACTCCATCCAGATCCATCAGCAAGACTTCACTTATCACTTGATGAAGATAGAGATATCCACTTACCCTCTACCCCATCCAGTTCTATCAGCAAGACTTCACTTATCCCTAGATCAATAGACAGATATCCACTTACCTTCTATTCCGTCCAGATCCGTCAGTGACACTTCACTCATCACTAGATCAATGTAGAGATATCCACTTACCCACTATTCCATCCAATCCATTAGCAACACTTCACTTATCACTAGATAAATAGAGGGATGTCTATTTACCAACTATTCCAGATCCATCAGCAAGACTTTACTTATCACTAGATGTATATAGCAATATCCACTTACCCACTATCCCATCCAGATCCATCAACAAGTCTTCATCTATCATTAGATCAACGTAGGGATATCCACCTACCGATTCCTTCTGCTAAGCCCTATCAGCTCTTCTATACACATTAGCTAGTTTGACGTAGGAATATCAACGTACCGTCTATTCCATCCAATATTTCAGCCCTTTACCTTTTGTCAAGTAGGTTAACGCAGCTATATCGACTTACTGCCTCCCCCTTTGAATTTCGTCAGCGAATTTACATATAACAAGTTTTAATATCAGGATATCGACATACATTCTATTTCACCCAGGCGCATCAGCTTTCTTCAGTGTACATATAGTTCACCATAGGTACATAGACTGACCTTTTTTCCCTATGTAGTTGTCAGCCTGGTTTTCTCTCTCAACCGGGTCAACGAAGGGGTATTCCCTTACTTTCTTTTTCTGGACTATCAGCCAGTCTCCACATATTAAGTCTAGCATTGCAAGTGTGTATATTCACTCACACTCTACTCCATCGACCTCATCAGTGATTTCATTCACTTGAAAGTCTGCCTTTTCAAGGACTCTGTACTTACCCCCTAGTCCATGTGTTGATTAAACACTCGTTCCAGTCATAATTTTGAGATTTGGTAAATGCCGACCTACCGTCTGCTCCTTTCACCTTCATCAATCACTGTCCCTATCGGATATCTTACCAGCAGTAGAGTACTTGCCATCTATTCGGTCAGATTTAGTAACCCGTGTGGTACCGCCAATATTCAGGCAAGTAAGTACACTTACAGTCTACCAAATAGATATTAGTATACGCCTGCTCTCAATCATATTAAGGCGAAATACTTACAGTCTAATCCATTCAACCCTGTCAGCCACTCACTACACTCATCAACTCCGATTTGAGGTGTAATGCTTACTCCCCCCATGATTTTAATATTTCCGAAACCTTGTTGTATTTCCGAAACTTTGTTGTTATTGTTGATACGGAATGATCGGCACACTTGGAGGAAAAGGAGGACTGCAAAGCGCTGGGGAGAGAGCAAGGAAGGGATGAGGGAGAGCTCTGGAACTACAACAGGAGCGGGAACGGGAACGGCGGCAGAACTACACCGCCTACCCGGATCCGCTTCTGCTTTGTGACACATAAAGCGGGGTTAACCACTTCATTTTCTCTTCACCGCCTGGACCCCGCCAAGGGTGGCCAGGTCCTTGCGCAATCAGCCAGCCATTTAGGTGATCAGCATCCTATAGTTAGTTAATGCCACACCATCAACGCCAACTACTTGTCCGGACTCTAATGTCCTTTGGTGGATCAGCACATCGAGATGTGTAAAATTGGTGTGGAATTACGAACCAATTATACTTATCAGTATCGCGTGATGCCACGTCAACAGCGCTCACTAGTTGTCCAAACTCTAAGAGGCTTGGCATGACCAATGAGTCTATGCGATCTTGTGAACACGTGTACTAGTCGTATCTCTGGCTTATCACAGCCTGCAGGCAACATGCATCCGACGCATGTCCAATCGCCTTGTTGGCGAACTGCCACCAGGGGAAGGGGTCAGAGAAGACGGTCGTGGCCATAGAGAGACATGGACTGGATGGATAGGCGCTTCAAGGTGTGCGTCAAAAACGGTGGGAAGGAAAGCATAAACTCTACTTGCGTTCATGTAATCTGTGAATCTGATTTCAGCCTCGAGCCGCCACAGCGCTTACTCTTGTCCCCGGACACGGACATGGGCGCGCGCCAATCGTATGCACCGGCTAGTTACGTGGCAGGGCTCTCGGTGACAAATCACACGTCAGTTGCTAACTCTCCTAAGATAAATGACCCCCTGAGGTCGGTCGAGGCTTTTAAAGCATTCTTAAACTGGACCTAAAATTACCAAGTACACTGGATATCATCCCTGCTGCCATGCCACGGTCTCTGCGAAAGCTATTGAGGCCCTTCCGTTCAGGTGACGAGGCTAATGTGTGGATAGAGGTTTCTCTGATCATCCGCTGCTGATGCTGACTGGTGTTCCCAAAACAGGCTTCCCTAACTGTTGCAGCATCTGCAAAACCCGCCGTCCCTCAAGGCCTGCAGGTTGTCGCAGAGGGAATAAACCCGGTGGTCGAGTACGTTTGTCTTCCATGTCCGCCATGGCATTTAATCTAAACCCTAACCCGACTGAAGTATCGTCAGCGTCCATGGCCTGAACGGACATCGCGAGAAAACGTGGACGGCAAGCAATGGCGTCAACTGGCTCCAGGACTTCCTCCCTGGAGACCTCCCAAATGCCAGAGTATTCAGTTGGGGCTATGATGCGAATACCCACAGCAATTCTCGCGTCAGTTGTCAATACCTCTATGACCACGCCAGGACCCTAGTGTCTGACCTCCTCTTGGAAAGACAATTGACAAAGGTAGAGAATACACGGGAAACATACGGACAGCAGCTGAGAGATTCGAGCAGACAAGCAAACGCCCGATCATCTTTATCGCGCACAGCTTGGGTGGAATCATAGTCAAGAGCGTCAGTGTCCTCACTTGCCTAAATTCCATACACAGACTGACAGAAGCAGGCACTTATCCACTCAGATGCCGCTCGACAAGGGGCTCTTGAAGAACATCGCTCAATTAAGCTTTCTACTTACGGTATAATCTTCATGGGCACTCCTCACCAAGGCGGCAGCGGTGTGGCCTTTGGCAAGCTTATGGTCAATATCGCGTCTGTGTTTGTGGCTGCTGACGATCGACTGCTTCGACACCTCGAGGAAAACTCGGAGTGGCTCCAACAACAGCTTGGACAGTATGGACCGGTGAGCGGAGACTTTGTGACCAAGTTTGCTTTCGAGGAGTACCCCACTCCGACAGTCCTGGGCGGCTCGATTATGGTTAGTTGTTACATCTACTATTATGTAGCATTTGCTGAAGCGAACAGGTCGTGCCGCGGGCATCTGCAGTCGTCCCAGGGGCTGCCGATGCCGAACCAATTATTATCCATGCGGATCACATCAACATGGTGAAGTTCGCGTCAAATTCAGATGAAGGATACAGAAAGGTATCTGGTCATATTAAAATGATGGTTGCTGACGCATCTATCGTTATTGGTCCGCGGTGGGAGACAGAAGGGAGAGTCAACGCAGGTATGCGCTCTTGACTTATAGTTGTCGCCTTGCGTAGGCTCAGCTAGTGTTGACAGTACGCTCTCTATAGCTCGAATCAATGACACTACGGAGACTTTCACAGTCAACTTCAGTATTCCTGAGGTCCCAGAGACCGGGTGTTTCGCTGGCAGAGAAGAGGAGATTACGCAGATGAGCGAGCACATTCAGAGCGGTAGACATCGCAAGACCATAGTGCTACATGGTCTAAGTGGAATAGGGAAAACTCAGCTCGCCGCCACATATGCCAGACGATATAGATCTCGTTACTCGGCAGTCTTTTGGCTGAACAGCAAGGACAGCGATACCCTGAAGCAAAGCTTCTTGAATGCCGCAGAACGTATACTTCATGATCATCCATCGTTGAACAACCTCAGGACTATCTGCAAGACTGGAAATCTCGATGAAGCGGTTGAAGCTGTTGAAAGATGGCTAAGTAACGCTAAGAACACGGATTGGCTACTTGTATACGACAATTACGATAGCCCTAAGCTACCAGGAGACAACAAACCTCATTCCTTTTCTATTGCGTCTTTTCTCCCAGGGGCTGAACATGGGGTTGTAATCATCACAACAATATCGTCACAACTCAGGATCGGCCACCAGATTTCTGTTAAAAAATTTCATGACATAAGACAAAGCTTGCAAGTTCTTTCCTTCATGTCGCGACGCGACAACTTGGATAATGGTGCGTTACCCCTCCGAAGATTGGCAGGATTTGCTAATTCTAGTACTAGATCCTGACGCTTGTGAATTAGCCCGCGAGCTCGACGGGTTGCCTCTTGCTCTTGCAACAGCCGGTGCCTACCTTGACCAGGTTGCGACAAGTTTCGCTGACTATCTTCGCAACTACCGGGAGAAATGGCTTCGTCTCCAGATGAAAACCCCCCAGTTAATTTCTTATGACCGGACCCTCTATACTACATGGGATCTTTCACTGGACCACGTTAGACAACAGAATCCAGCGTCCGTGATACTGCTTCAGCTTTGGGCGTACTTTGATAATCAAGACCTTTGGCTTGAGCTCCTCGAGGATCACAGTGGGAAAGTGCCGGATTCGCTTCTAGCGATAACCGAAGATCAAATAAGCTTCGACGACGCAATGAGGGCGCTTTGTTGTTATGCACTGGTAGAGAGAAATGTTGTTACAAACCATGGGATGGAGTCTAGAGGATATAGCATGCATAGCTGCGTGCATTCATGGACCATCCATGTCCTGAACCGCGAATGGAATTCTGAAATGGCAAAACTGGCGGTAACTTGTGTGGGCCAGCACGTACCTTCCAGGAAAACCCCTAAATACTGGGCAATACAGCAACGCCTTATCCGACATGCAAACCGGTCTTTCGACATTGTCAAGAAAGAAGTGGAAATTTGGGCCAACGATGAGTCAATGTTTGAACAAATAGAGTCAATTACGAAGCTCTACAAAGATACCAGCAGACTATCCAAAGCAGAGGAATTGCTAAAGCTAGTTCTGTATGCAAAGACAAAGAGTCCGAAGTTTGGTGCTGATCATACCTCGACGCTTAGGACAGCAACCAGCTTGGCTCACGTGTACAGAAAACAAGAGAAGTTCGAAGAGTCAGAGAGAACATATCTACAAGCGCTGCAAGGGTTTCAGAGCTCGTCCCCGGGTGGCGATCCATCGATTTCGCAGGACATTCTTGAGATAAATGACCGCCTGGGCATCGTCTATTGGAAACAGAAGAAGTTGGATCAATCCGGAGCAATGTTTGTGCAAGCATTGCAAGAAAAAGAGAACAAGCTCGGCAAAGACAGTGAAGAAACGCTCAACACGGTTAATAATTTCGGCCTTCTACTTATAGAACAAGGAAAACTTGAAGAGGCGGAGAAGCTACTTCAACGAGTACGAGGAGGATACGAGGGTATGTTTGGCATTGAGAATATACTAACACTAAGTGCAGTTAATAATCTGGGCTTTCTATGCATCCTTCAAGAGAAGCTAGACCAGGCCGAGAAGCTACTCGAGCAGGCATTAAAAGGATACGAGAAAGTGTGCACCGGTGAGGAGATACCATTACTTGACGCAGTTGAAAATTTGGGCGACCTCTACAGAAAACAAGGACGGTTGGAAGAAGCGGGGAAGATGTACCAGCGTGTTTTGGCGGGCTACAAAGCCTCTTTTGGTTCTTCACATAAAAGATACCGAAAGATATCAGAGACCGTTGTAGCCTTAAAGAATTCGCAGAAGAGTATCATGTTTGTCCAGAGGGACGAGTGAAACTACATCAAGTGAACTGTCAAATTGTCTGAGATCGGATTTTAACTTGTGTTCTATGTTGTTTCCATCATGAATATCCTGTTGATATCCAAACCTGCTTAGTTATTGTAAATGTGCATGTTTATGTCGTTGTTTTTATGTCCCCATCTGCTCAACACAATTTATTTTTACAGATATATTTTTGCACGATCTCTCAACGGAATGCTCCCCGTAATCGTGGCACCGCCTTTTTACCACCACCTACCCGGTGTTGGTGGGCCCCATCGGATCCCATATTCTCACCGGATCCCAGATTTTCAATTTTGTATCAACTTCCTACCCATTTTATACCAACCCACGATGTCAGATCAAATTGAAGATATTGAAATGAGAACTCTACAGGCCGCAGAAGCCTATAAGAAAAGCAATAAGCCCAATTTAGCTAAATTGGCGCGGGAATTTGCGGTTCCAATTGATCGACTACGCGGTCGCGTTCACGGTCGGAAGTCCAATTCGACTATTGCTAGCCAAGGCAAGGCATTGAGTTTAATTCAAGAAAAAGCATTGATTTCTTGGATCCAAACCCTACGCCATTCATATACTACAAATAGCCCAGAGCGTATTGAGCGATCTGCAAACCAGCTTTTAAAGACTGCTGGTTCCGACCGGCAGGTTGGCCACAACTGGGTATACCGTTTCATCAAGCGCCTCCCACCAGACATCCCATATATTAGCCTAAAACCTACTGAAAAAGTAAGGTTTGAAAGCGAGAACTATGGTGAATTACTTCTTTGGTTTAATAGTCTTCGAAAGGTTATAGATCAATATGGTTTTTAAAAGAATGAGATCTTCAATTGGGATGAAACTGGCTTCCAAATTGGCCAAGGAAAGCGTCAAAAGGTTATTGCTCCATGCGGTGCATATGCAAATCCTACCGGCGGTCAAAATGAGTCTATTACCGGCATTGAATGTATTGCTGCCGATGGTTGGGTTATGCTACCATGGTTCCTACCTAAGGGTAGTAACCATATAGCAGAGTGGTATAAAAATATCACTATCCCAGATTTTCGAATTAAGCCTACACCAAATGGCTGGATCAATAACGAAACTGCATTTCAATGGCTTTGTTCATTTCACGAAGCGTCAATTTCTCGTGTTAATAAAGGCAGGCCAAGGCTTCTTCTTATGGATAATCATGGTTCTCATACTACCATTGAATTTACTACTTTTTGTAAGGAGAAATTCATTATTCCATTTTACTTTCTACCCCATACAACACATCTCTGCCAGCCGCTAGATGGTCAAGCTTTTCAATGCTTAAAACATTACTTTCGTTCCGCCAATAACGAAGTTATGATGTGGGGTGGAAGTGTTACTAGAAAGGAAGACTTTTTTAGGATGATCCACGATATTCGGAAGAAAGCATTTACCAACCGGGTAATTCGATCTTCATTTGAATCTAGGGGTATTTACCCTTTCAATCCAGAGATTGTTCTTACTCCTTTACGCCGGGAAGATGAAGCAGAGGGTGGTATAATACGCATTATTACCCCCTCCCCCCGCCTGAGATCCTAAGCTCAGTCACCAATTCGCCCCCAGATACCATTCCTCGGGTTAATAAGCTTAATTCTAAGCTTATTAAGCATCTGAAATCTCAAAATCAGCAAGCGAGACGGCATATCCAGCGTAGTATGGATGCAAATACACTTCTATCCCAACAGCTGGATCTGGTAAAGACATCTTTAAAGAAGTCTCAATCCCACCAGAAAGCTAGAAATCAACCGAGAAGTAGGAAATCGATTCTTGGAGCTTCTAATTCAGTTCTATTTCCTATATCTGCAAATAGGATGATAGCAAAAAGGGATGAGGCTGATACTAAGAAGCTCCAGAGGAAGCATGCCAAGCAAGCCAAGGAATTGGAAGTTGAACAGCAGGCCCAAAAGGCAAGGGATTTAGCTGAGGCTGAGCATGAAGCATCAATGGCGGCAAGAGATAGTAATAGTGGAAATTGGTATATAGATAGTCATGGTGGTTATTTGTAAATAGTGTGTTGAATGCATTTTTAATTGAAAATCTGGGATCCGGTGAGAATATGGGATCCGGTGGGGCCCACCAACACCGGGTAGGTGGTGGTAAAAGGCGGTGCCACGATTATTAGATTTTGAACAGGTTCAATTTAGAGTTAATTTGACCCATATTGATAGAAGTTTTTACGATTGAAAATCGGGGGTTTTTTTGGTGAGGGCCCAGATGTGGATATGCGACCGTAGTAAACCACCCAAAACATCAACATTGGGGTTAACAAGTTGATCAGTCCAAAGTTCAATTAGATGAATACGGGGTTAAGAAGAAATCCAGGGGTCTTTAGAAGTCCCAGCTATTGTCCAGTTCAATTTTGGAAAAATTCCACCACTTCATCCACCCTAGTTTGTTATACAATTTAGATATTTGTCGTATATATTTATATACATATATCCACACAGCAATATGGAGAGCCAGATTTTTATCAAACCGTAGGAATTTCCCATCATTATTTGCAAACAGTGCAAGATCGGAGTCCGACCAAGTGAAGTCAGTCTTCACATCCAGAGAGCCCAACACCGACTGGGATTACCCACCGGAAGGCAGTTACAGCACGCCATCCAGCAGTGGAACAGAGTGTAGTAGTGTGAACGTTGGGAAGTGCCCACCGCCGTCCACGATCCCATTCCCGGATTGTCAGTTCACAATGATGGATTATTATGCACCCGTACATCCGAATGCGGGTATGTGGTCCGGAGCGTTGACGTTATAAGGCGCCATTGGCGTGAGAAGCCCGGCTGGAAGCCCAGTGGCAGCAAAGGTCGTCCCCGGCCAATCCTTCCTGACTGATTCGCGAAACACGTGCTATCTGAATCCGGCGAAGGACTGGTTGATAACTCGGGTCGGCCGCCTTTTCCGCACCTTCTGGTCCCAGAACGTCGAGGGCCGTTGGGTCGTATCGGCCGACGCGGCCCAGCAGTATAAGAATGCCGTCCAGCGGTTTCTTCGAGTCGTGATGGTCCCATTTTTCTCGGTTCAGGGCAGCAAGGTCGCCGTGACGAGTTTATTGGCCTACGGTGGCGGAATACCACGTTGATTCTTCTTTCACGACGGACAGATGCTGTTTATTATAAGCTACTATAAGTCGCGGCATCAGAACAATGCCTCTCGATGGCCTGTCCGACTCCTGTTTCCCGAGGTCGCGCAGCTTATAACGCAATATCTTGCCATCGTGACCCCCTATACTCTATGCTTAACTGGTGCGAGGTGCTCACACCAGTTCTTCGCCCGATGATTGGCCCGTTGTGCGTGCTCCCGCGTCTCTGTATGCGTGGCTTGTTCGCTATATCCCATCTCGCCAAGTTCCATTGCCTCTAGATCCATCAAATGGTTAATATCCGCATGAAAACTGCCCAAAGTTGTAAGCACGCAAGTAATCCCGTGCGCTTTACCCCATCTGCTCGCGGCATCATGGAAATTTTCATTGGAAAGTTCAAGCACTAACCGACCGGCAAATATTGTGACCTTCCAGGGTGCTTTGAGTTGTACCGATATTAGTACGCCATGATTCAGGGCAACTTTCGTTCTTGGTCTTAAACTGGGCTTTTGATATGTTATAGACAATTATTGACTATATATATGCAACCTTTTGATGGGAATGGTGGTTCATCATTTGGTTTTGCTTGAGGTTCTTTCATTGTCCTGCGCCTCGAATTGCTGTTTAACGAGTTCCATGATCAAGCTATACCCAGAAAGGCCTGCTGCCATATATGAACAGTCCCCCATTTGGAAGCAATAATTGGCATTAATTGAGGCTCAACTACTCAAGCCAAGAAGCGCAATGATTGAATCAGTTCAGCTGCAGTGTTCTTGAAGGAAGATATTATTGTGTCCTTTTCAACATATTCAATAGTTCTGTCACTCCACGCGTTCTCTTCGATCCAATGGATGAAGCGAAAAATCTCTTGATTAAAGAAAAGGGATCTATGGATCCACGGCATTGGTTGTAGGGAGAACCTGCTTATGGACCGAGACTAGCCATTTGAAAACCGGCTTCTATGGATGCTGTTGCTGATTCTTCGAAGTCGAGCGGAAAAAGCAACTGACCACTGACAATTTTACCAATATGCGTCCGTCCAATCCGCTGGCAATCTTTCCTAATCTGTGACATTAGAATCTCAAGGAATTTGAGCGGGCTCTGACTGAAGCCTGTCTTCGCTCCCGGGAAAGCTCGTTTGATGAATCCATCCGCAGCGACAACAAGACCGGGCGGCGTTTTCACAGATGCCACCCCCAAAAATTCACAAAGGTCCTTGTACTCGGAATATGATTCAAGATACAGCTGCCCAGAAAACAGGTTGAGCAGCATACGGAATATATCAGGTATTTCGGTTTTGACAACATCGTCGGGGACCGTGTATAGCCTAAGTCTATCCAAAGAGGGAAATCCTCGGCTTTGGCGTGGGGCATACAAATGAAGAGTGACGACACGTGATTCTCGTATCTTGGACATCAAACCATTGGCCTCGTAAGGGCTAATGATCATCATGCGCAACTGAGGTGTTCCGTCATCGACAACATGGTTTCGACTTGTCAGGACCCATCTGACAGGACGTTGGAAAGCATCAGCAACAAAGTGTGAGCCGGGGGGAGTCTTGACGGTCCTAACGAAGTCGTTGGAAGCTAGTAGACTGGATGGGAATTGAGATACGTCCAGAAAGCAGGCGGCGGAGGTATTGCGCAGCGTGAGGTATGCTGGCTCATAGGCCTCGGAAGACCTCACAAGAATGCCTGTAGTGACAAATGAAGATATGTGTGGATGGATATGGTGCGTTTCGGGTGCAGCACTTGGAGGCCTCTGAACCTGGCGCTCACTTTCAACCTCTGGTGCGAGCTCGCGCTCCTGTTCCTCTTGAAGGGAGGACGAAGTGTCGAGATCTTCAAACTTGCGGCAGCGCTTCCAAATCAAATTCAGATTCGGGCTAGTATCTGAAGGACAGTTAAATGACGGCCGCGCTTGGTGACCAGGTCGGTATCGCTGTTCAAGAGTTTGGCATTCGGGCTCGAGAAATTCCTGGGCTTGTCTCGGCGTCAGATCAAGGCAATCATTTTGGCGGTAAGCTTGCCACAATTCCCGTTGGCGCTCGAATCGTGTACCCTGGACCGCCCAAAGGGGAATACTGTGTCGGCTGTCAATCCACGTCTCGGAAATGGCCCAGAGAAGCACGTCCGCGACAGTGATCTGAGAATTCTTGTCCTTGCCACTCAAGGCCAGGATTTTGGACTTGACCTCCTCTGGAACGCAAAAGACGACAGACTGTCCGTTGCCCAATTTTCTCATTCTCATGCACGCTGGAGCATAGTCAGTCCTGGCTTTGCCTGATATGAAGAATCCAAATTTCGTACCTTGAACCAATTTGTCCTTCGTGATACCCGGACCCAGCGTGACCGCCGCACGATAATTAGACGGGAGCTTCAAATCGATTCCTCTGGTATGTGCTTCGTCCAGGAAAACAAAGCATGCTTCCATCTGTCTTGCAAACGGTGAAATTTGCAATAGTTCAACACGTCCAGTTCGATCCAGGACGCAGATGTCGTCTTTGTCGTTTACAAATACCACCGCTTGGACTGGTCCTTCTTTTGGGAGCAGTTTTAGCCAGTGCGCTGCCAAGTCATGATTACTGAGCTCCAGAATCTGTGCGCCCACATCAAGAATTACCTGGGCCGGTGGATTCAGATCCAATACCAGATCCAATATGATCTCGGCATCTGACTTGCATGGCTGTACTTGCTGTGGAATGCAGGCCACGGAATTTTCTGGCCGCAACAAATATTCCAGCACCAACGCATTCGTGTGGTTTTGCTCCGGCAGGTCGAGTTGCGAGACGCTCAGCGGTAGGGTTTCTCGTGAATCATTCGTCCCACTAAACCCTACTGTAGGATGTGTTTTGATCTCCCCGATATCCCAGCCCGACGCAGACAACTTGTCAGGAAACTCCTTCATTTCTTTCGGGAATACGACGTGTGTCAAGAAGTAGTCTACAGTAGCTTTGGAGAACCGCAGAGCGGGGAACACATGATCGGTACAATGAGACCGGTCATCCAGATTCACTCCCACAAGCTGCTGGTAGGTGGGTGGAAGTCTAGAAGCATCGTTCGTCCACTCTTGATACTCTGCACTGGCTTGGTCTGACCCGACCAGATGATTGAAGGCGAGAAATATATCGTCGTCGCCAAGTCCGGCATAGTAGTAATTCAGACATGTCAACAGAATCACGACATCGGGATGGCTGAATTCTGACCGAAGGGAAGGGCTATCCTTGGCTCGATATGGCACACAAAGTCTTGTCGGTGGATTTCGGCTCCTATCAGGCCCATAGTTGACGCGCCATCGTTTTTGACCCAAGCAAAAGGCTAGAACGCCCCCAGCGAGCAGACCCCGTATCAACAGGAGGGATGCCCGTGTGCTCTCTCCCCAAAAATCCTGCGGAATCCCCGCACTCCACCGCCGCGATTTCGTCCACCAGAGGCTCAGATTTCATAATGTAGGTGTAGACGGCATCTCGAATGGGCCGAGCCTGCCTCGAGATTGCCAGAGAGCCAATACCATTCTCACATATGTGCCTTCCGACGTATTGAACCAAAGCTTTCTCAGCATCCTGTTTGAGCAAACGTATCCGTGGAAAACCGCCGTGTGGCTGCTCGCTCACTTCAATGGAGTCGGGGAATTCGGATTGGACGCGACCAGCATAATCTCGAACTAGTTGTAACAGTTCTTGTACCACAATCCACCGTCGTGGGCTGAGCTCGACGGGGCGTTGAGATCCCATGGTATAGATCAATTCAAATTTGACGCTAAAGTTTTCATCGCTTTCGTCCACAATGTCCCGGGAGTTGTGTTGGAAGAACTGCAACGTGCGAAGTAGAGAACGGCCCACGGCGCATTTACCAGCAATAAAACACTCAAGGCTCATCAGTTTCAAAGATAGGATATGCTCGGGTTGGACGAGCAAGACACCGCCCTGCGACATACACTCTAAACACATGCGTTCAATCTCCTCTGCTTCGGCTTCTCCAAATTTCAGAGAGCGTGCAATGGGCATGTGATACACACGACGACCCAAGAGACCACCCAACTTCGTGACCAGCATTTGAAACATTTGTCGCGATTGCGGCTTGGCCACAAGCACGCGAACCAGACAAACTCCATTCGCAAGATCTGCTACCACCATAGGAACGATAACTGAAGATTTCCCCTCGCCCATATTCAATTGCATGACGGCATTCTTTCCTGGGACAAAGTGCCTCATTGTCGCCGCAATTTCCTCCTGAATGCCTCTTATCAGAATCCCGTTCTCTATCTCAAGCAGAAGAGTCTCTGGAAACTGGATTGGCTGCCAGTTCGTATGTCCTAAATTTTCGAGTTCTTTCAGGAGTTCGTCCGGGTGCTTGAGAAGGCGAGCTAGTCGTTTCGCTCGCTGCAATTTAGTGATTGAGCACCCGTAAGCAATGAAACATTTTTTCCAATCTAGGTCTAGTGGACCCCATCGATGGCGCGACAGTTGCTCCAAAAGAAGGACTGGTGACAGCCTTGGGTACTGCTGCAGTTCCAGGGCTACTGCGATTACTTTTGCCCTGAAAGGATGCATCGTCCCTGACCAGGTGGTCTTCCCACGAGGACAGAGCTCAGACACAAGTGATCGATACACCCTGTCGACATATTCTTGACACGATGCAAGATAGTCCAAAATATTTGTCTCCAGCTCTCCTTGAGCCATATTGATGTGCTTTTCTTGTCTGCCATCTTTCAACGAAGCAACACTGCTTTGTAACTGTTCGACATAGTTTTTCTCGTACTTGGATTTGGCTTGTATACCCAAAGAGTTTAGCAAAGCCACCAATGTGGGAGCTGGAGGTTGTCCTGTCGGTGATGTAGAGACAAGGTTCCTTAATTGCGGTTCTTCAATGTCGATGATTGGCTGCGGGCCGAGTAGGTCATCAAAGAGCACAAAGCCACGTTTTTTCGGTGCACTTTGAGGTGGATGTGGTAGCTGGTAGGGTTGAATCTCGACCTCTTCGATCAGTTGATGGCAAGTGACATTCGCAATGTCGGTGATGTATCGCTTCAGATCTCGATTGTCGAACCAGATACTGAACAATTTTGAAACTTTCATCATCATCTCCTGTGCATCAAAGTAGTCATTCACTGTTGGATTTAATAGTGAGGACGGTGATCGGGTGGGCCACTCGCGTTCAAAATGTAGCAACAAACTTTTCTTAATGGCTTCCCGATTTTGATTCCGGAGTCTATCCCTGCGCGACATGAGTTTTTGAAATGTCTCATTCGTTTCGGGCGCAAGTTTTGACTCTGGAGTGACTTTACGCTGTTCCGACTCGATTTGACGGCGAATTGAAGTTTTAATCATCTCAGCTCCCTCTTTTGGCAAAAACAACGCACTGGTTGGCAGATGGATTGAAGCCAGGTCACGAATCACAAAAAGTGAAACAATGGTCTCAAGGGCAATCATATTAGCTTCATTGGAGAAAGCAAGGGCTGCAAGCCAGATCATGAGCTGGAATTTGCCGAGGCGGCGGGTTTGTGAGCACGCGAGGTGGTGTATGCTGCACCAATTACTGACAAGAAACTCTCTTGACTCTAGTATCCACTCAGCATCGTACCTCAACCTTTTCGTGTCCAATGGAGTATGAGGGCCACGAACCCCGGTGGGTAAAGAGAGGAATTGCCAAAGATGCGAGGTCAACTGTTCGGATTGAAGTTTGCGGACAGAAGGGATCCCTTTGTAAAGCATCTTGCAAACGGCAAAGCTTCGAGACGCTGCGCAAGATATCCGATTCTTGTCGAGACTGTTGTACATGCTGTCGTGCTCCTGCGTATGATCGTCGGCGCCGAATCCTGGGGCGCGGAATGAAGATGTGCGGATTCGCTCCCGCAAAAACAGTGCTTGCTCCACATGTGGAAGTGACGGGTGATTAAGCTCTGTCCCGAGTTGGAAAATGCTCATGCGACGGTTTTGGTCCAGTATATCTGCGACTTCCTCGCGAAAGCCATGGTGCTGAGAGAGGCAGCCTAGGCCTTGCCGCCAGTGGATGCTCTGCATCACTTGCTCATTATCAGGATAGAATCTTCTGGCAGGAGTGAGAGATGCGATGCTCTTGAGGAGTTCAATGTGTTCTGTCTGCAGGCGATCAAAAGACCTCAGGGACGCGGACCGAAGTATAGACAGAGCCTGCTCGGTACCGGTCTTCTTGGTGAGTGGATCTGACAGGCAGAAAGACGTAAGAGCATGCAAGTACGTGAGATATAGCTTGCTCTGTAGGCTTCCATTGTCCAAAAGCCGTCCGAGCTGGCGATCGATGGGATACGCATGGATGGTGGTCGCAGGTTGCCAACCGATCTCGACACGAACGTGGTTGCCATCTCTGGCCCAAGATAAAGCTCCTTCAGGTATGAGGACCACTTGATCGTAAGAGTCACGGTTCGTGAGCAGAAGCGTGTTGCGTAGCCCAATCAATGAGTCAAAGACTTGGTTACTATCGACTGACATGCCAGGATATTGTCGAGATTGGATTGCAGAAGACTGTGACTTGAGGATAAATTCCAATCGAAGGCGCGGTAGCTCAACATGTAGATTCGAAGAGGCCTCGTGGAAAATACAATGCACTTTCAAAGCCTTTTCAATCGGCTGAAAAACATTGGATATTACTTGGGCCGTTTGGCACATGGTGCTGACCAAAATTGTTCCGTTCCTCTTGAGGCTCCAGGAAGCTTGACAAGAGCTTCTCTGGAGCTGCCAGTTTTGACTGGATGACAGCCATGGCGCGTTCAAGGGTCGGAATTCCACCAGGTCCCCTAAGACCGAATACCAGTGCGCATAGCCTTCCACAAACTCATCTGGAAAAACTCCAGCAAAAAGTCTAGACGGAACCAGTTGCCAGACTTGCTCCCCACCCTTCACCGCTTTGACTGACATGTCGGAATCAGTGGACTCTGGCACGGTCTCTTTTCCGAAGTGTACCGTGTAGCCCGAATACTGCTTTTGACACGAAAATTGCATCCCCGGTGTGTTGCTGGGCATTACGTCCAATTGAGATTTCCCGAATAAGCTGCGATATGTTGGATGAGATTCATACTCAGAAGGCAAACGTGCAAGCGGGAGGCCATCCACAAGGAGCTCTCCAGTCAAGAGGTTGTAGTGCAACAACATGTCTTCGCTAGACCCGGACTGGCCGGCAAACCGAGTAAACAACCAATATGTCACGTCGTTTGACACCCTGGACCACTTAGAGGTCTTGTCATAGGCTGCCCAGGCTGCGTCGATGGCCAGGTCTAGTCCTGGGTTCTTGCATTCAACGATACGCTCTGCGAGAATAACATGGCTGCGATAACACAGAACTTGCCACCGATGGTACAGAATTTGAAGCAATGAACCTGATTCTGTTGTTAGAGAGTTCCTCCCGTTCCAAATGACTGAACAGCACTGCAGAAAGATCGAAACATCTGCCGAGATGGCGAACATAGGGGCAATGGTTTCTGCATTGAATGTCTCTGTGCAGACCAAAGCGATATGAACGCTCTTTGCAATTAAATTGGTTTTGTGTGTATCATCAATAGTCTCACTAGCTTTTGTTCTGACAAGATTGACCCAGTGGAAAGCAGATCGGCGGAGGTTGTTTAGACACTGAAGGCACATCGCACAGACTTTCTGAGAAGGAGACAAAGACAAAATCCTCAAAACCAGCCGAATGAGACTATTGATCCCATGTATGGTCTCCCAATTTTGCTGGATCCTCTCCATTGTCTCTTCAATTCGCGAGAGTACCTCGACTGTGAATACCTCGTCGCACAAAATCGCATGTCCTTGTCTCAATGTCGTGCCTGTTTTGGATGGGCCCGCTTGATTGATTATCTGGAGCACAAAGATTGTGGTTTCGATTTTTTTCATGTCCACCGATGGCATTGACAGTTCCAGCAGGATATTTTGCCATTGGATCTCCAGTCCAAGGGGCATGGTTGCAAGGGCCTTGTATTCTTCCAGTGACATGTCAGCAGGGGCATCGCACTGTGTCGCAATGACAGTATTTGGTGACGGGCCATGTGGATTCATGGCAGGTCGAAACAGAAATTGCTGCAGCGCTGAACTGTGTGCCGGGAACCTATAGGTGCAGGAAGTCTCTGTTTGATGAGTCCAGTCAAAGCCGCTCACAAAACATCCGAGAACATTGTCAAAGTATTGGAAGTGAAGTCCATTGTTGAGGCAGACATCATTTTCCGTCACGTTGAGAATTAACCTGTCGCGTCGATGAGTTCTCTCGTGAGGCTTATTCTGAGAAAGAAGACTAATCCGCTGGTTACGCCCGTGGTTGCTGAAGAACGGAGACAGACCTCGATATGTGTGTGGACGATGCTCTGCTCTGGGCCGTTCTTCCACCGCGTACTTCATATTCAAACACCGATGCAGGAAAAACAGCGTGGTGTCACGCCAGCTTCCAAAGGGCTCGGGTACTCGAAGTTCGAAGACAGTGGCTTTGGCCCTTGAACGATTGGTCGGCAGAGGCCACTCATGTATGCTGATGTCAATCGACTCGGCCTGCCTCTGATAACGTTCTCGGGGGCAATCACTGTGGTGGACTCTATCCCGAAGCCCAAGTCTCTTATCCACAATGATTTCGACAGATTCACATGGTGTCTTAGAAGATAATGCCATCAATTCCCGGTAACGTTGCTGCTTTTCCCAAAGCTCGACCTTTTTCTTCGTCCTCTCCTGAGTGGCATTTTCTTCGATGGCTGCAAGCAATTGCTGATGTTTGTGAGACTGCTCGAAGTATCGAACAGCGAAGCAGGAGGAAGTCCCGAATTCCTGGAAAATGTTCGGGCCATGGTAGCGAAGGCGAGCCTGACGTCGACTCAGATACTTTTCAGCACACGCCAGCCTCTCCATGTGCGATCGAAAAGGCAGCAAAAGTGATTGAAAGCAGTCAACTGGTATGCATGCGTCATAGTCTCTCAGGGTCTCATGTAGGTGAATCGCGGATTTGTCGCAGGCAATCCACAACTCTAAGAGCGTAAGAAGCATGACTGATGTAGCTTCGGGGTTGTCTGAATACGACGAAGACGCTTTCTCGAAGTATCGAGTCATCAAAGCACCGAGTTGACCACAGGCTGCCTCCTCGCCCTGGTGAATTTCCAGCCATGCATTGAGATCCGAAGCAACCCAATCCTCAAAGGCAGCAAGGTTGTACGCTTGGTAATCAGAATCGTGTGAATCGAGGTGATTTGGAAGCTCTGTTCGTTGGTATTTGATCAACTTCGATTGCGGCTGGAAACTTTCTCTGCACGGGCGTTTGTTGCTTCGATTTTCTATGCTCTCGATGTAGCGGTCAAGGCAGGGGAGCGCACATTGAATATCTTGACGGAAATTTAAATCACGCAGCAGTGGCATGTCGACACTGTGGCTATTTTTGCTCCTAATATGCGTCCACTGGCTTTGAACTGCGCTGCTTGTACGACTCAAGATTTCCTGAACTGAGGTGAACCAGGCAGGCACAACTGCCAAGTCAAGCTTCAGCAGTCTGCGAACGATCTTGGCATTCATAAGAAAGAGACTCTCGGAGGGTATTGCAATTGAAGCCCTGTCAACTATCGAGGTCATGAAGAAGACCATGAATTGTTTGTACAGATCGTCCAAGCTCCCTTCTGTAGACAGCCTGCGAAACACTAGCTGCAGTGTCACGCGCACCAGGAGCCATAATGCAGATCGGCGCCACGGCGATTGGCAATCACGCCACATTACTTCCTCGCGAGTGTTCTTCTGAATCTGTACAGACGCGATGTCGGTGCATCGAGGACGAAGAGTCGACATGAGAAGCTCTGTCACCATTTTGGGATGCGTGGTGTCCCTGGTCTCATCGTGCTCCTGTCCAGCCTTCTTGACTCTTGGCTTGGTTCCAGCAACGGGCTGGTGACTCATTCTCGAAACCGTTTGCGCCATAAACGCTCGGAATCCGGGTTCCTCGAAAGTTGCCCTATTCATAACCATAGTCGGACCCGGGAAAGCACGGCGCAGCCGTCCCACTGTTGTTGTAACGGCTTCATTGCGAGCTGACAACTCAAAAGATTCGATGTGTATCGCGTCGTTATGCCAGTATAGGAGGATTCCTGCGTTTTGCTCGCGAACGTGAATTGGGAGGAATCCACCTACGGCCTGGTTAGAAATGAGCACAATTATTTGCCTGTTGCAATGCTTACCCCGAATAGGTAGCTCTGCCAGACTCATCTCGAGCTGCTTTTCATCAACGTCCCCATGAGGGCTGTATGCTTTTCTTAGGCGAGAAACCATCTCGGTGGCCTTACGTACGATAGTAGTATCTGCGGTCGGAACGTAATCGCTGAACCTGCGGAGAGCATCAACGACGCTCTCGAGGAGACGATGTTCTTGTTGCACATTGTAATCTTCTGCCTGGGGAACTTCTGGTGGGAGAAATATGTGGCGGAACAGGTACAATGTCTCCTCTAACGTCATTGACTTGGATGCAACAGAATCTTCCATGACGAAAAGTTTGACAGAGGGACGAATGTAGTGGGAGTTTGATTTGGATTGCAGGGAACCAGTTTTGGGTCCAATTTTTGCTTAGTTGGGTTGCGAGGAGACTTCAGAGAGTGGCTAATGAACTTAGGAACGTCTTTAAATCAACAGGCTGGACCCCTTTATACAAACAGTATAACCTTAGACTTCCACAGAACAAGGTCTTTGCATGATGCTGTCTATCACAATCTGCACGAGCAGAAGATTGAAACACATACAATGTGAGGGGCGCTTATCGTTCCGTCTCAGCTCTCCTATAGGTGGAATTCATCACTCTGATAGAAGGGGCAAGCAAACCCCCTATGGAGACTTCCTTGACTCACTGCTATTATATCGACTATTGTCGATCTATGATAAAAAAATGTGGTCATCCCCGCAGTTTTCATTATGTGTAAATTCAGCTTCAATTCAACGCTCATATGGCATTGGAAGTGTTCCATAAGGCTTCTACCACAAGGTTCTCAAACTATGATCAGTCCATGAAGGCCCGCTTGAAATAGTGACTCCACGGCCCTTGAATTAAAAAAAAATCCTATCATTGCTTCCTGGTTTGATCAAAAAGGAGCGAGACACAGCATGGGCAGGGCACATATTGCCACACAACCTTGGGTTTTCCACCGCAAGATATGACCCAATGAGATTCCCTTACATGATAATTTTCTTGCATCACGGGCCTCCTGCGTAGTGGATAATGAGCCTCCCGCATTAACAATAAATCAATCTCCACTTTTGAATAATCGAGCAGTCACCCACAAGCGCACCATAAGGTGCGAACTCACCAAGTTGTAGTACAATAGCTGATTGAATGTTTTTCCTAGATATTAGAGGGACTCGAACAGTGGTAAAATTGATCATGTGGTAGAGTACTAATAATTGCTTCCGTTTCAGTGACTTACGCACGCTTGTTTATGTCGAGACCAGGGGCCATGGAGGTTACACATGCTATACATTAAATTGCCATTATTACGTCATGATAACTGATAATTGAATGTCAAGTGCATATCAAGAAATCATAATGAGGCTACCCAAATGAGTCGACAAAGAGAAAATCAATAGAGGGCGAAAGCCAAGATGCAGGCTAACAGGTCTCACGCTAGCATAGGAAGATAGGGTTGGAAGTGGAACTATAGATCTGAAGATCAAGCATGGGACAGTTTGGGAAGGAGGACTAGTTACACGGCATATGAATTCGAGCGTTAGCGAGTATAGTATTCAGCAAAGATGAGCATTGCTCATATTCAAAGAGTTTGATCTTTCAAAAGCTCTTGAAACTCCCGCAGCGATGATAAATACTGCTCTGTCTGCCTCTCCTCCTGCCAAACCCGCAGTCCTGTTCTTTTCTCCAAATAGCCTGGCCATTCCTTCGGAAAATACCCTCTAATTTCCAGTTTTTGTAAATTTGAAAATTTTCCAAGCGTTCGCGCAAAATCAGCATCCACAGCTGGACCCCGGTGGTTGACAGTCGGTTCTGAATCAAGGTATAACACCATTTCTTCGAGATATTCTGCTTCTGTGAACAGTTTTTCGAGAAGCTCGCGCCATCGCGGGCCATTGGGAGGATTGTTTGTTAGGAAATCTGGGTGCGGCCCCGGATTGTATACAGCATGAACAGAGATCCAAAGTCTGCGTAGGTTCCGAATGTTTGACGGCTTAATCATATTAAGCCAGTCTATGCCAGTGTCGGGGTTGTGAATTTGGAACATGTTTTCGATATAGAATTCCGCTGGATTTTTCGAAAGGGTAGTTTGAGGATCGGTAATGTGGATTCCTGATTCAGACATGACGGATACAGGTAATCGAATGATATGACGTTATGTCTGTGTAATAAGTGACGTGTGGGGAGTTTGGACTTTTGGAAAAGATTCTCATACAATGTTGAATTCTCGAAGCTTGACCATATTACGAACGCTCGAACAGCTTATCTATATATACTGAAATACTTATTCTCAACCTGACGATTCCAGTTTGAAACAACATGGATACTTGCTTGTACACTTTGCGTTGCAAGCCATATATGCAGGCTCGTATGCAAGTGTCCCAAATGTTCTCCGTATTTAATTTTCAAGTGTTTTGAAAGGTTTTTTTTGTAGATCCATGAATCTGCAATAAGGGCTTTCTGACTCATGGCACATGGTCTGGTCTGCCTCCTGCATGCCTCCCGCATGGCCTAGTCTGCCTCCCGCATAGCCTATTCTGCCTCCCGCATAGCCTATTCTGCCTCCCGCATGGTCCAGTCCGTCTCCTGCATCATCTGGTCTGCCTCCCGCATGCCTCCCGCATGATGGTTATCGACCCTTTCTTTTAGTCCGTCATGGACTTCGACTCGTGCGTTGGCCGAGTAAAAAGTACCCCTCTCAAATCCACTACGTACAGCCTTCCGCGTGCCGCCGCTCTGATCTCAAGTTACGCGTGGCTTATTTTACTATCCAAAACTACGGAATAAAAACGACCTTTGTGTCAGCACGCACTTTTCCAATTTCGCGTTTTCATGTTCTTTGGATTATTTCTTTCGAAGACAGCATATTGCGATAATCCGATCACAATGGATCCTCGCGAAGCCAGATCGACCGGGTATAGCACCTTTTCACCAACACTTGAAATCAAACCCAAAACCGTCGGTCGCCCGAGGTTCGACCCGTATCACAAGGTTCTCAGCAGGTTTTATGAACCACTGGTGCTGTTGCGATTGCTTGGACAGAGCCGTGGGAATCACCAGCCGAAACCGCACGATGTAAATGCAGGCCAAGCTGTGCGTCGGGATTTCTTGCGGAATCTTTCCTACATTTGTGACTTTGAAAAAGGCGGAGATACCTGCACCGCGATTGGACTTGCAGACCTCGGCGCATGCTATCGGTTATATGTCGCTTCAAATAAAGGACAAGCTAAAATAGCTGAGTTTCTTAAGGCTGTTCTTGGGCTACTGCACGATTTAAATGAAGTGCCAGGATCGGAGCTACCTCAAAAGGAAGCAGAGTTTGTGAAGTTTTGTGTTGATTTTGCGGAAAAGCGCGTCAGAAAGGAAAAAAACTGCTTATTCAGGGCCGTGGATGCTTGTAGCCGAAAGCTTTCACATTCAGCTCCCATTGAAGGTGTGCACCGCCAGTAATTGTTATAATATTGCCGATGCTAATGCCTTGGTAGCCGAAAGACTACGCAGGTGGTTAAGATCGCTCCTGAGCCATGATGATAATCTCACACTTTGCACGTTTGCATACGAAACCAGGCATTCTCCATTTCTCGCATGGTTGCGGTCTATACGGCAAGAAAACCTGCTCAGCCCAGACATAGAATGCGATCCTTTCGGGCTTGTAGGACATTACATCGGACGGCTAGCACATCATATCCGAGCATCAAAGGAGCTTGTTAAAGCTGTCACTGGTATGAGCCAAATACTAGAAAGTTGCGAAGTTTCCGCTGTGGATCACATAGCACCGGTGCCACCTCCCGCACCCGACAGACATACGAATCTTGACGGAATTCTCAACCGTATGTTAGGGAAGGGACACGACGAGCGACTCGACATTGAACATGGACTGTCAAAAATCAACGCTGTGAATCGACTCTTCGATAGATTTCCGGGCGAATATCGGAATCTAAAGCCACGAATCCATGCAGAGGTCCAACCAAATACTTGAGCTTTTTCATCGGTATCAAATACAATTCACCGAAAATGATCGCTTTGTCGCTTGCAGTAAGGCGGCCTGTCTATGTTGCGAGATGTATTTCAAACACCACCCAGCACGAATGATTGTCCCTGAATCGCATCGAAATGTGTGGACAAACTGGGGACCGCCTCTGGTAGAGAACTTCTCGAAGTCCCACGGGGCAGGAAGGCAGCAGTTACATATACTGAACAAAGTGATTCACGAGATTCGCAATCTTGTCATCAGTCAAGCCCTAGGACAATCCTCGGTTGGCCAGCGACGTCCTGATTCAAAAACAGAAATTACAGATCTCCATTCCCTCGGCTACACCCCAGCACCTATCAACGTTTCGGAAAAGAGTTCAATGGTTATGAGCAAAGATACCCCCATTGAAAAACAGAATCAACAATTAAAAAATCAAGCCAGAGGACCATCGATTAACCCTAGATTATCGACTCATAACAACGAAGAATGGGATAGTGAGGGCGGAGGCGTTTCCATTCAGGCCTGGATGCATTGAGGGCAACTACAACATCGCTCGTTTAAAGCGGATGGTGTCTTTGGCTTATACTATTTTGACTACATATTTTTGTACTGCTCTCTTTTTTAAGCACGATGAATCTTAAATTGGAAAAACAAAGCCTAAGTGTTATTTATCTCTGCACTACCCCTTGCACGTCCTGTCCCGGTGCCTTCGGAGATTATCGTTGCGTGTACAAGACGAGCCACATTTGTCGCAAGTAAACTTTTCTATGATCTCCAGATGTTCTCTAGCCCATGGCTTATGATGTGTTACGACATGTCGGCGCATATCCGTTTGTTCAGCTGTACGATAATCACAGAAAGCTTGTGGACATTTGACAGGTTTGACGTGTATCCGTTCTCCATTCGCAATTCAAATACCGACAACGATACACTCCATCAGAAAACAATGTCATATGGTCTAGTGAAGGCATCTCTGCTTCTTCAAATTTGACCACATTTCGAGGCGCTGAGGCCAGCGGCTCTGACACGCTTTCCTCTGGAGCTCTGCCTTGGCTAGAATCCTCAGTCGATGCCATTCTTTCAAAGTTTTCTTGAAAACCCTCTCCTCCATCAGGGAATACATCTGGTTCAAGTCTCTATAGAGATGAATGATCCATGTAGTTCTCTGCAGACTCTGGGGGATTCAAGACAGCTGCATCCGTGAAGCCGTAAGTGCCATTCATCGGTTGAAAGACTTCAAATGAGGTGTCTGCAGGAGGTGCGGCACCACCTGTCGCGCTGGGAGCCACGGGGAGACCAATTGTTCCATGTTCGGGAAGGTAAACGATTTGTTCAATCAACAGGTCAAGAAAAAAGTTTAGGTCTCCACATTCATCTTCATCGTCCGCATCTTGGCCAGAGAATGCGTTGTCGATGGCTAATGGTAGGGACGCATAAGAAAACAGCGCAACGTAGGATTAGAAGGCTTTATACTGAAGAAAGTCGCGAGTATTGGCCCTCTGGCTGATTAATCCCTGCGCCGATTGCTTGCATGACTTCGACAACTCATTTTTCTTTTTTGGAGTAGCCCGTACGAGCCGTAAAAATCAACTGGTCAACTGCCTAGGGCCCAAATTACTCTTCGAGAGTAACCAATGGATGTGATCCACATGTTTGCCATTCTTTCACCGCTCTTTCTCATGCATCTTTTCAGTCTCGAGCATCAAGATAAGCCTCCACTCTGTGGAAACCTGTTGATTGGTTGGATAATTGGAGCTACGAATACATGGCGCCTATTGCAAATTGACTCGAGTGAATTATGTTCCTCTCGCTATTTGTCGAAGCCTTTGGGGCACACAATGAATTGTTGGACTGACAAAGTACGTGAGACGTATTGATTTTCTGAATATCACGGTGGGAAAAAATTCATAGTAGCCGCTATGTAGATCCCTCTCTTTTATCTGTGACTTTGAGAAAGGAGGCGATACTTCCACCGCTATCGGGCTCGAAGAGACTGGGACTTGGTCCAGTTTCTGGGTTGCTTCAAACAAAACAACAGCTCAGATTGCCGATTTCTTGCAGCATATTCTAGAAAGGCTTCATAGTATCTATCATTTCGCAGAAAAGAATTTGACTCCAAAGAAAAATTCTTTTGTGAAATTGTGTGTTGAATTTGCAACGAAACGCATTTCCTGGGAAAAGAAGTGCTTATCGACAGCCGTTAAGTCTTGTCTTAAAATTATTTTGCATTCGAGTTCATACGAAGGTATTTACGCTCACTATTTATTCCTTGCTTGCCGTACAGTTTCTGATCCTACGTAGACAAAGGAATCAACGAGTGGTTAAAGTCGCTTTTAAGCCATGATGAAAATCCCACACTTTGTTTGTTTACCTACGAAAGCCAGCATTCGGAGTTTGTTTCCCGGCTGCAAGTCTTTTCCGCAGAACAAGAAAGCATGTCAGGCATAGAAAGAGGACCTGGACATTTTGCGCCTGTGAGGCATTTCCTTGGTCGACTAGCTCACCACATTAGGGCGTCTGAAGAGCAAGTCGAAGCCGCCATAGACGTGAGCCACATGGTCCAAACCTTCGATGTTTGCGTCGTCAACTAGACAACACCGGTACCTGCTCCACAACCTGACGGACACACCAACCTTCATGATATTCTTAATCGCATGTTACCAAAAGCTTCAAATAAAAGTCTCAACATCAAACGCGGACTCCGATTTCAACGCTGTGAACGGGATTTTCTGAAATTTCCCGAAGAAATATCAGCGTATAAGTCCGCAGGTCCATGCGGAGGTTCAGATCCTCGAGTACTTTTACTGAAACCGTACGACGTTTGCAGAAAATGGCCGCTATGTTGCTTGCAGCAAGCCAGCCTGTTTGTGTTGTGAAATGTATTTTCAGTACCACCCTGCTCGCATGGATGTTGCCGAGTCACATCAGAATGTGTGGACAGATTGGGGGCCACCTCTGGTACAGAATTTCTCAAAATCTCATCCAGCAGGCAGGCTGCAACTAGATCTACTAAATAAAATGATCCAAGAAGTTTGTTCACTTGTCATCAATCAAGTACTTCCACAATTTGCGCTTGATCATGGACATCCTGACTCTGTGACAGGAATTACGGAGATACATTTATTCCGCGACAACTCAGCTCCCGTCATTGTCAGACACCAAAATCCACTTGTTGCATGCCACCCCGTCTCCCGCGATGATATGATCGCCAAGTTCACAAACGCTTCGGCGGAAGGATAGGTTGAAATTGAGACCTTGAGAAATGCCGGCGAAGAATGCGACTTAGAGAGTGGAGGGGCTTAGAGAGTGGAGGGGCTTAGAGAGTGGAGGGGTTGTACTATATGCTTGAAAAATTTGCGAACTACCGATACTGGTAATGTTGATGAAATCGCCAATGCTACAAGACTTCTTGAAGTTTTAGAGGACTGAGACTTAAGTACTCATGGTACGTCAGAGCGTGGACAAGCTAGATAAGAGAGTCTATTCGTCACTGCTATCCTGCATATGTTCCATCTTCCTTGCATGTTTTGTAAGATTGTCTTTCCGCGTGAAGGAAGAGTCACATTGGGTACAAGGAAATCGTGCAATCTCCCCCAAATGTTTTTTGGCCCATGGCCTATGGTGGGCTACGACATGCCGACGCATATCCGTTTGTTCTGCTGCGCGATGTAAACAAACCTTACTTGGACATTTCACAGGTTTGACATGTCGCCGAATGTGTCTTCTGTTCGAAATTAGCTAACGCACCAAAGTCATCCTAGACGATTTTCAATACCTCAAACCATGTTTTTGATCCCACACCTTCGTTGATTTGCAATCCTGATATATACAACGATACAACCCGTCTGAAGTATCCGTGATATGGTCTAGTGAAGGCATTTCTGCTTCTTCAAACTTGTCCATACATTGAGATGCTGCAGCCAACGATGCTGAACCACCTTCTTCTTGTGGCTCTTCCGGGTTTCCGGTCCCAGTAGATGCCAGACTCTGCGTATGACCTTGGAATAGATTGATTCCACTAGGAAGCAAGTCCGATGCAGCACTCTACAGAGGCCAATCTTCGGTATGGTTCTCAGTGGGAAGCAAGTGATCCAGGAAAGCAGTATCCATCAAGTCGAAGTTATCGTTTCCCTGTTGATAGGCATATAATGTTGTGTTGGAAGGAAGTGCGGCACCTCCCTCTGCGTCGAAGCTCATTGGAAGATCAGTTGATTCAGATTGGTCAAAATGACGGGTTTGGTCGGTCCGAAAGTCGAGAGCAAAATTCGAAATCCACCCCTCGTCATCTTCATCCTGGCCAGGAAGACTGACTTCCATATTCATTGATAGAATCGCGGATGGAGACTGCAGAGTAAGGTACGGTAGGACTGTCGGATTTATAAGGGACACGAGGACGCTTTCCTTGGCAAGTCATGCCAGCATGGATCGCTTTCGTGACCTAGGGGATGACCAAATTCAAAAATTCGGGCAACGGCTTCAGGCAATCACTTCAGGCGCTCGATATCAATATTCGCTAATACCTTGCATAGGCATGTGTGCTCGCTCATCATCATTCACCGCCACTTCTCTGCCGACGATATAACTAAATAAGAACTGAAAGAACTAAAATACTGAGTAGTTAGGCTAGTCCACATATCCACAACTTCACCGCTGGTTGTGTGGGCCGCTTGCTTATACTCGACCATTGGGACAAGTATGCGCTCTGTGGCAACATGTTGACAGATCATCTGTAACTACCAATGCATGGCGCCTTTTACAAGCTGACAACTGCACAATGCATTCCTCTGGCTAATAAGTGCGAAGCCTTTGTAGAATGTGTTGGCATTCTAAAAGGTTACTGCTACATACTCGTATTGAACTAGAATATTGGTTGGTGCAAAGTGAATTATAGCAGCCACTGATGTAACCCTTTCACCGTCTAGTCGACCTGTACCGGCAGAGCCCGGACTGTTACGCTCCGACGCATATCTCAGATACCATTTTACAGCAAAATCTATCGCTTTTCCTTGGGATAAAAGGCCTTCGCAACCACGCCTAGCTCTGATTCCCAGGTCGATACTCATGCGACTTGATTGCCTACTTAGATTCATCGCTATGATGGCTGCCCAAGGTCCAAGTAATCAAGATGCCCCAATCAGTGAGTGTTATATTCTTCTCACTTTGTGAATGGAATTTCCGCTAATATGAGCCGTAGACGAGCTCGTGGGAAAAATGATGTTCCGCGAATACGTCACGGCGATTCTAGCCAGATTGTTAGGACAGCCCCCTGGGGGTGTCCTGATACGATATGGATACGAGTGAGGAATGTGAGATGTGCCTGATATGGGTATGATGGTATTCAGACTAATCGCTGGTCCTCCTAAGAGGATCCAGCCCCTCATTTCTTAGGGGATCCCCTCGTGCTTATGCAAGCAGGTAAGCGAGGTGATGTATCAACAGACAGCTCCGGTGGTGCATAGGCACCTCCTCCACATTTCCTATACCTCATTGTATGGTTGGCGTAACAGATATGGTCAATGTGCTATTAATGTAAGTCGAGATTTCCTCGCTGATTACCACCATCCTCTGTATAACAATGCCCGTTTAACACTATGGAAGAGAGTGCATATAGGCTAACAGATAAATCGTGATTCCACTTTAGATGCGCCTACTACACGATATTGATTTGGAAACCATAGAAATCAGTAAGGGTGATGGAAAGAATATTCATCTGCCACCTCTAGAAAATAATCCGATTTAGAGTTGGGAAGGGGGGCGGCGCGCCTACGCTGCGAAAATCAAGAGAGAATTTATTTCTGTCAATCATAATTATTAGCGGACTTCCGATCGAAAGGGTGTACCACCGAGGCAGAGGCGTAAAGTGGCGCTGCGGTTGGATAATTGTAGATAGACGCATTTGGCGGTCAAATAACAAGGCCGATTAGATGACATTTTAGAACGACGTGATAAACACGAGAGGCATTTAAACTGGAGAGACAACGTATTATGAGGAAATGATTGTGGTGATAAACGGCATAGCGTTGCAATAAATCGAGGGACAACAAGCAGATGACGAAGCAATCATAGCAGGTTAACGTGCAGAAATATGCAGACAAAACCCTACAACCCTAAGCCAAGACGATCTAGTCCAAAGAAAGCGATGATAATGCAGGTACCGGTGGACAGCAGAGCGAATGATGAACGTGCGTGGCAAAACAATCCATATGTACTTTAGCCACGTCTTATTGCAACAGTCTCGCGCGCACGTACATCCGTGTTGACTACTGGAAGACGCGCGCCACGGCACGCTGTAAGCCCTGAAACGACGTGGCATTAGTGGATAATGATCTGCAGGACGTGGCAATACATGCATGAGGCATGAGAGGCAAAGGGGCCGGATCAGACACCTCACGCCCAAGCCGCAAGTGTTTTGGCTTCTAAAGCACGCAGTCTATCCATTTCCACGATAAGGTCGGGATCGGGAGAGAAGCGGAGATCATCAAAACTAATCTTCTCGAGTAAATGGAGACCATGGAAAGACCGCAGCCTGGAAAGTTGAACGTAAAGGGAGCAGTACTTCCGGTGAGAATCTTGTCCTCGTCGGGCTGTGCCGTTCTTTAGGTCTAGGATCGCGGCAGAGAGAGTCGAGCCTTGCACTTTGTAATCGGCGAGACAGAAAGCGGGGTAGATTGGGATCTGCTTCCTTCTCACAGACAGGCCTTTCACGGTGATAGAACGTTCTATTGGGAAGATCGGCATGGTTGAAGGTGGAAGATGGTCAAAATGCGTTTGCAAAATTCGATCCGGTTTGAATATCACGGAGGCAGGCGGTCTTGTACAGAGCGTGTAAAGGTCATCCCAATCAAACAATTCGGCTGTGAAAGTACATTAGTGATGCTTTAGGATCCCATATGTGGAACAGAAACTTTCCAGTTGGATCCAAAACAACTCCCACTGCGGTGCCCGTGGCACCGTTGACCTGGCCAAGAGGGGTGCAGGCGTTAGTGAGCATGACGGTTGGCATATCTCTCGTATAAAGAAGAAGACCTGGAAATGGGACCTGGGCACTGTGATCTGGCTGGAGCAACAAGTCATGAGCTTGAAGTCGAAGGTTTACGGGGGCAGTTGATTTAGTCCGGGAGTGAATCGCGGCAAAGACATAAATCCGCTGAGATCTTCTTTGAGCAAAATTCTCGATACGGATCCGGTTGATCGAGTGTCGCATGGCGTTTAATTTGACAATGACAGTGGCATCCTCCGAGGTTGGATCTACAAGTGAGGGGATGGATTTGGAATTCAGGCGGGTAACATCGTCCTCGGTCAATGCTGCTCGCCTCATGCGTGTCAAGAACTCATGAAACGAAGGATCTTCGGATTGTCTCATTTGCTCATCGAGAATGATGACGTGTTCAAATCTATGCCAGACCAGCCGGCCGGCGGCGTCCTCATCAACTCCATATCTTGGTTTTTTCCATAGTGGTGGGCCGCGAACAGGAGGGAACTGGAAGAAATCGCCCATAAGAATCACGATGGGAAGGCCACCAAAAAGGTCGGGAGAGGATCTTGGCAGTGACCGAGCGACTTTGCATTGATTGTTGATCACGCTTAGCATTCTCAAATCCACCATGCTCATTTCGTCAATAACCAAGATAGTCTTTTGCGCCCATAGCCTTCTAACGCGGGTGCTGATGGCTGCTTTATAGGAAAGATTGATGCCAAGAGAAGTATGATAGGTGTTACCTCCTAAATTGTCTGCTGCAGCCCCCGTGGGGGCGGTCAGGATGATCTCGTGTTTCCGACCAAGAATATCCAGAGCGGCTTCGATGGCCTTAGGTATCTGGGTCTTACCCGTGCCACCTTCGCCCGTAATGCAGAGGAGAAGTTGCTTGCGCCTTGATGGATCACATGAATGATCAGCCCACATGATAATTTCAGTTAGTAACTTCCGCACCACGAGCGATTGCTTCCTATTCAGTGGGATATCTGTGGCGACCAGCGTCAGCACAGAATCTGGCGTTGGATTTCCGAGGAGAGCAAGCCGTGCTGGAGTTTCACCAGACATGCTTGCGTTGGTCAATACGGGTTGCAGCACGCCGTCTTCATCTGCTAAATCAAATTCATGCAGTTGAGCGGTAGCAGGTTCAGACGGGCCGCCGTCCTGAAAGGGTTTCTTATGGTTGGTTAGGTGGCTTTCCCAGTCCCGTAGGACCGTGGGTGGGACAAATTTAAAATCCAAGGAGTGATCTGATCGGAGAGAATGAGTACTGGAAGGAAGCGGGTTTATCCGTGCGGAGTTGTGTGCTCGGCAGAAAGTTGCCAGGATTGCTGTTCTCTTCGCAGCCATAAAACAATCACGGCCCCAGGTCGTGCTCACAGTATTATAGGCGGCAATCAAAGTCTCCGCCGTGAACCTCTCATCCTCAGGAGTTACGAAACAATCGTTATCCTGTGTGTCTATCCGCTCAAGGTCGGCCGAATCCATGTGATCAACATGGCGGTCGAACAGCTCGGCGGGGTTGTTCATAGAGTGTCGTAATCTAGCGTCTATCTGGCAGTCTTCCTTGGATTTCCGGAGAAGCTCGATATTAGCGGCAAATTCTTGGATATGTGGCGCAAGCGTGGGTTTGACCGACGACCAGATGTGAGACAAGATATTGGTTTCGGGAGGTTCACAAAGACACCTATCGCGTAGTTTGTCCCAGGGAACAAAAAGACCGAGAAATATCTCCGCGAGATCATTCGCAATGGCATCGGTCATCGGATGCCCTCCGCGAATGGAGTCTTCCGCCGTTTGGTACTGTGTGAGTTGCCCACTGAATGCGACGGTGGCTATCTGGGATGATGAGCGGGCGACATGCTGGACACAGGCACTACGTCTTGGGTGGCGCGGGTGAAAGTCAAAGTGATCGGGATGATTCCTTCGCTTGCTTCCTATTTGAACCAGCATGCAGTACTCAAGAATGAGAAGGCGGCAAGCTCGGCCCCACGCCATTTATAATTGTCGAACAAACTCACTGGAGCTGTATCCCCAGCTTGGAATGTACAGGGCTCGTCGGCAGTTCCAGCGGAATCATCAGCGTCTGTACTGGACCCACGTTGAAGATCACGTACGTACTGCCTAAGCCACCACAGGTTGACATGGACGAAATTGGTGTTGACAGTGTAGTAGTTAGGAAGATGGAGCAGCGTACTGGCGACCTGAACACCGCCCACTTCCCGGTCGTGCGCCAGACTATTGAAGCAACGGAGGGCGAAATTATCCATATTCCTTTCCCGAAGCCGCAGATCACTTGCGGGGTGGTGGGTCAGCGGTTTTTGCCTTTTCGATCGCTTGCTTCAAGAGTGCTCCTTTTGCTATCATCTGCCATGGAGACACGTCGTCTTTAGTGGCGTAGTTGGTGATGTAGTATACTAAAGCCAACGATTTTGAGACGGTCGGGATCCAAGAGATATCATGATTTGAACGGAGACAGCTGGCAATGGTGGGATTCCACGGGTTTATCCAGGGATGATTCCGAGCTAAGTGAATCACCCCAAGATCGTCGATCTTGGACGATAGAACGATTTCACGGGGCATCCCAAAGCGACACGTGCTTTTAGACCGGTCTGTCGGGCGGTATTTGAAGCACGTGGCGAAGTGCCTTTTGGAGTGCAATTGTTTAGACCGAGCAACAAGGTTGCTATCATTGAATAGTCTGAGGTGGAAATCATGATCCGACTCTGGGTCGGAAGCCGAGGGGCACATTGGCGCAAGATTGACTTCCGGGTCAACGGGAGTACTCTCATCTACGCTCTGGATGATGACACTTTCGAGGTAATGGAGTACGCGCGTAGCAAAGTCAGCGTCGGCTAGGACGCGGCTTCGCAGATTAACAAATGAGAGGTTGCCTTTGAGCCACACCATTGCGTGTAAATGCAACATCCCCCTGCCATTGGTCTCAACCACGCCATAATGGTTTGAAACATCGCCGAGAATTCCAGTGCGATCGCGCCCGCTGGCGAACAATCCTTCCAAAACAGCGGTACAGACATTATGGAAAAATGAGGCAACCGCCACTGGGTTGGACGTGGCGGTCGCATCTCGAATAGCGGAATTCGAGGCCGACAAGATATCGTCGGAATACTCAACACCAGCCAAGATGATGACAAGTGGACTTCGTAAATCCGAGGGGTTGATGGTAATCCAAAAAGCAGGCATTCCAAAACGGACGATGAGACCTCGGATTTCAGAGCGCATTCTCAATTTTTGAGCGAAAGATCCAGGGACCCACATGGCAATTGCTTTCATAACATGTAGCAGACGGGAAATCGCTGGATCTTTGATTTCATGATGGTTCTCTAGATCGCGCAGCGCATCACGAAGGCGATCCTCTGTGAGAGAAGAAATATCGCCAGTGGTTGATGACCAGTGCCGACGTTGAAGAACCAATTTATTCGCGAGTGAAGATTTTCGAATCTGGAGCACGTCGTATATCAGATACATGAAAGTTTTGTGGCGCGCGAATCTGCTCTAGTCAGAGACGGAGGCTCACAAATCAGTAGCAGTCAGTATTCAGTAACTCATACCTCCTGCTGTGGTGCTTCAGTGCCCACTCCGCAAAAGAAGATAAAGAGACGTCCAATGAGCGTTCGTCCAGATGACCTCCGATGCCCAGCGGAAACAAAGTTGGAAAGGCTCCAGTAAAGTACGCTGCATCATGCCAATGGTCTACAAGGGTTGCCTGGCCCCGAATTCTGTATAAAAGGCTAGGTATTTGCTGCTGGCCATGTGTAAGCGTATGTTGGATGGATGATGCGGGAGGGTTCGAAACTATGTCCAACAAGGCTTTCAAGAGGCGCCTCTCGGGGCTCTGTCGTTCACCGTTAATATCAGTGGAGACAGACCCAGTCACCAGTGGCGCATTGATACCCATCTCCCGGTCAGTATCTTGTGCAGCCTGGAAATCATTTTCGTGGTTACCAGCATCCAAATGAACCGAGTAGCCCTCTCGTTCCAGGCTATCTGGCAGATCCACAGAAATAATATTCTCTTGAAGTTCGGCTGGAATGAAGTCGTCATCCCATGTGTCGATCATTTGATGGTTGACGGTAACATTGTGATAAACATGATTATGTCGTGTTAGATATTGGAGAGCCGTAAGTACCCTATGCCTTCGTACCAGCAAAAATGGAGATAAATCCGCGTAGGTGGTGGGCTGTTTTCCCAACCAAAATACCCTAATCACATCATGCAACATTAATGCTGGGCTTGGAAGAATTTCAAGAAGTGGCTCCGGGTCCTGCGGGATGACGATGAAGTGGCCGCGCAGAGCACGATAGGATACCGGTTACGTGTGGCCGCCAGGGCGCAACTTCAAAATTATTCCGAGGGGATGACTCCTAGCAATAAGACACTCCTCGACTGGGGTGAGGCCTTCAAGCGCCGACGGATAGTTTTGACACATTGTCATGTTCACACGGTTCAAAGCAGAAAATTTCGGCACAGAATTTTGGGATAGAGACTTGAGGTAGGTCAAACATATATCCCACTCGTCGTCATGTTTGCCACAGTAGTCAAGGTGGGCAGCTAGCGGCTCAAGCAAAGGGTCGCTGTCCTCCATCTCTACAATCTCCGAAACCGGCACAAACCTCCCACAGGATGAGCACACACCTTGCTTTGAGGCATTTTCTATAGATTCCTGATATTGGGCAATGGAGGCTCTTATTTGAGCTTCAGTCAGCACCGGTGGAAATGTCGCAGAGGCCGAATGTCTCGATTCAAGATCCTCACGCAGCAAGTTTAGAGCCTTATCGATGATATAGACAGAGTCAGTATCGGTGTCCCGCATGTGTCTTTTAGGCTGTGGAAGCATTTGAGACGGACCCGACCTTTTCGTCGGGACGGCGGATTGAAGCGAGCCAGGCAGGTAGGGAATTGATCGACGGGCGTGGGAATCCGTTTCTGGGAATTCATTGGTGGAAGCCCCTGGCATATAGTGGGACTGTGAGGCTGGATTCCGAACTAACGGATCTATTGCAACGGTAGTTGGATTGGGAACAAGCCGATCGCCTGCTTCCGAGACTGTGGGGAGACAGGGTCTCGTAATCATATCCAGGGTCGGTCTTGGAGCAAGAAGGCGAGGACGTGACGAAACACGTTGCCTGTAGGGTTCGGAGCGGATGGCGGAGGTGATTCCAGACAGGGATACCGGGATAGTTGGCTGCAGTATTGCAGAGGGGATGCCAGGTTCGACCAAGGTGGAGTGGACGCTTGACGGGGTAATATAAGAAGGGGGAGGGAAGTGAGGATAGGGCCGGGCTAATTGAGATGGTAGCGCCGGAGTCGGCGAAAAACCAGTAACTACAAGGGCATCATTGCGACGACTTGGTGAATCGTACGAGGGAGGAGGGAAAGGACATGAACGTGAGACTGATGGGGTGGCCGGAACGCATGTAGGAGGCGGGGAAACGGGTTGTACAAGAGTAGGCCGGCAACCTGAAGGGGAAAGTTGAGATGGTGGGGAGAAAGAATTCCGGAAGTAGTCGAATGCCATGCCTGGATTGGTTCCCAAAGGAAGACATATCAAATAAGAATGTCTTTACATATCTCCGTTATATCCATACGTATAGCAGGCAAGCACGTCAAGAACATAAAGTAGGCAATAGATAGTTACAAATGGTCCTGAAGACTTTAATGGGTAGAAGCAGTAAATTTTCAGACACAAGAGTATAGGTAATAAGAAGCGGTGTGTCAGGACACGCCAGAGTCATTTAACCAACCAGATGAACATCTTATAGAAGTGCGTAGCAAAACCATGCACGTAATGAGCATGAGGATATAACTAGACCTCTGCATAGCCCACAAATGGGCCTAGACCCCCAGCCCATAGCCCAACCCGCAGTGGGCTATGGGCTCAATCTTCAGAGCCCAACCCAACCCACAGCCCATCGATGGTTGGGCTGTGGGCCCCCATCAAAGCCCATATCTATGCACAAATACAGTCTTGGCATGTATAATGTAGCTGATTAATGACTGTATTTTACACCTGTTCCAGCCTGTATATTTAGTATTATTATATTATCACTATAACAAGTAGGAATTGAGTGGATATTATACTAAATTCGACATCATGATGCCAGATTTCATACAAATTACACAAAAAAGCTTCAATTTGACTAGGAATTTATACTATTATAGCGCCTGGGAAGATTACTGAGTATCAACATGAAGATATATATATTTTATATAGACTGAAACAGGTGCATCTTTCTGTTGAAGTATAAATTCAAGTAACAAATTCATATTTTATAGGCTTACATGATTGAATTTTATACCAACAGATAGCCCATCTCTCCTTCTTTATTTCTGTTTCTATAGATAAGTGATATTACATCTAATCTCGATGTAATGGAGGTTTCAAAATATATTATGAGCTATTGGGTGAAATATTTTGAATGATAATATTGATAAATGGACCGGGAAATGGGCTGGGAATGGGCTATCTATGGGCTTTGGATGGGCTGAACCCACTTAATATGCATGATGTAGCCAATAATATACGAGTTTTATAATCATCTGTTTTAATTCAGACCAGCACTGTGATGAATTCTCTGTTTGTTGCATCAATTTGCTGTTTCCTATTATCAAGAAGGTGGCCTTTTGTAATGTATGACCTTGAACCTATCCCCCTGAAACCCCATACCCTTCCTACTATACATTTCATACTACACAATCTTGAATTTATCATTAAATCGTCAACTGATCATGTCGCAAAGCCAGCAAACCGAGATTGGATCATCTCAGTTCGACCCATTCGAACCTGACCTCGATACTATATCATTCACTGCTTCCCAGCAGGCATTCAGCAACTACGGTGGTTCATCGTTTCTTCAGCCATCTGTTCCTTCGTCAATCGCTCCAGAAGCAGACTTTGAGTGCTTTCAACGAGTCGGTCCTGGTAAAAGACGGGATTTCTTTCTCTTCGACGCGATGAATCATAGTAATTGGGTCGATTGGTGGTTACAGACCGACTATGGATCCAACAACAAGACGCTTCCATGGGACTCCCAGCATGGTTCCGCTTCGGAGACCTGGAAACAGTTTGAACAAGTAGCGCATTCGGTTTCGGGGAGCCCAAAGGTGATGTGCAAGCGTTGCGGTCTTATCCTTGAGCATCCATATGGCATTAAGCAAGAAACTAGTGCCAATACCAATGGTGCTAGTAGAAAGGTTAGCCGTCATGGCACAACGACTATCACTCGTCATCTAGAAACTAAAGGGTGCCGAAATGCTGCAATGATGCAGAAGCAAAAGGGTATAATAAGGGGATTTGTTCAATCAGTATGTAAATGCCTATCCTTTAATATTACTTACTAACAAGGGTTAATTAGGGTTATACAGCCGAAGCACCTTTCTCGCAAGAGGCCTGGAACGATCAACTCCTGCAGTTTATTACTATAAACCGACTCCCGTTCCGACTTGTCGAAAGCCCATCCTTCCGTCGCTTAATTGCACAATCACAGTTAGCCCCAGGCCCATTGACCATACCCTGCGCTACTACAGTTCAACGTCGGCTGTCTCTTAGTGTCAAAGAACGGCAACAGAATATACTTGGGCTACTACCAAAGCACGCGAGGATCTCAGTTGCATTAGATTGTTGGACTTCTCCATTTGGGCAGGCATTTATGGCTATCACTGGCTATTTTATCGATGCTGACTGGGTCTATCGTGAGGTGCTGCTTGGTTTCAAACCCCTCTATGGAACACATTCCGGTGTGAACCTAAGTGCTATCCTCCTAGAAACGGTCACTGAGCATGAAATTCGGGACCGGATCTTTGGATTGACCACCGATAATGCGTCGAATAATAAGGCTCTGGTTGATGCCCTACAGCAATCTTTGCTACAACAATCTTCAATCAATACCAAGAACACCAACATTATCCGCATCCCCTGTCTTGCACATGTGATCCAATTGAGCTTGAACCAGCTACTTGACCGTCTAAAAGCAGTCCCTCAGAATGAGACTACGGAGACCAAATGGACTGAGCAACAAGGTACCCTCGTGAGAGCGAATACAAAAAAAAGGGATATCTCGCATACTTTGAAAAGAATACGAGCACTTGCTGTTTACATCCGCGCTAGTCCTCAGCGCCGGGATTCATTCATTGCACTTCAACCTGAAGGGCAAGGGCTTATGCTTGTCCAGGATGTGAAGACTCGGTGGAATTCAACATTCCTTATGCTCCGGCGAGCTAAGAGACTCCGTATCTTTATCATGCAGTTTTGTGATCAGTTCAACGAGAAAGACTTCGCCCTTGATGATGATCAATGGCGCCAGATTGACTATCTTCTTTGTATTACAAAGCCATTCTTTGATTATAGACTTGCCCTCTCAAAGACACGAGATGTAACATCACATCTTGTCTTTCAGATCTATAATCTGCTATTCGAGCATATTGAACGATCAAAGAGACAATTGGAACGAAAGCGTGTTACATGAAAACAGCAGATGCTTACCTCTCTCGATGCTAGTTGGTCAAAGCTACGCGATTACTACAAAGAGACTGATCAAATGCGAGGGCATATCTATGCAGTTTGCACAATGCTATCGCCAGATAGTAGATTTCAATTCTTTCTTTCTGATGACTGGTCCGACTCAAAAGAACTACGGGATCAGTATCGAGCAGCATTCCAAGATGCACTTGTTCCGATCCAGCAACGTCTTGCTAGTACTCAGGGTCTACAAGAGTCTTCTACATCGACAACAAGATCAGTTCTTCACAATCTTGTTCGAAGCCAGAAATCCAACACCAAGTCAAAGCCAGTTGTTGATGAAATGACGCAGTATCTTGACGGTAGTATGTTCAATCCCAATCCTTCTGATCAAATGATTTACTAGATACTAATTTTAATATAGATGTAACTGATTCCGAGCCACTCGCATTCTGGAGAGAGAATGAATCCCGTTTTCCGGCCGTCGCTGCACTTGCAAGGGATGTTCTCGCAATCCCAGCAACAGGTGCTGGAGTAGAGCGTCTGTTTAATACTGCACGCGACGTCTGTCATTATCGCCGCGGCTCCTTAAAGCCGCATACCATCGAAGAGCTGATGCTCTATCTCTGTACATCAAGGTTTGACCTTGAGGTACATGAATCGGAGGAATTTAGAAAGTTTTTTACTACTAATGAGACCGATGTATTAGTAGAAGAGAAGGATGAGACGCCACATGATGTCGATATTGATGAGATTAGTGATACTGAAGAGCAGGATGATATATCTGGGGATTTGATAGATGTTGATAGCGACAGTCTTGACGGAGATGATGATGATGCTGCTGCTACTGCTGCACCGCAATTACCGAGTATTCATACTCAGCAGCGTACATCAGGGAGGAAGAGGTTGCGAGTTGAGGATGATATGTATGAGCGTTATTAGTATGTATATCATGATTAGGATGTAAATATACTATTCAATCACCTAGCATCTTACTTGATATCTTATCAATCAGTCCCATGACTTAATTTATAAGCTTATAAGATGGTTCATGTACAGCTTAAATGGTAATTTGAATACCTAAAATAACCAGGGAAAAATGCATTACTTATGCAGCTGCGATAAATTGGAATGTTTGCATTGTTTGGGGCCCATTATGGGCCGAAATAACCCTGGTGGGCTTTCACCTTGGGCCCATAGCCCACCAATGGGCCCGAAGGCAGGGCCCAAAGCCCAGCCCATTTGTGGGTTGGGTTGGGTTGGGCTATGGGCTTTGTGGGCTATGCAGAGGTCTAGATATAACGAATGAATAGGAAGCACAGGGCACGGATACCAGGGTTGGAGAGTCAGTTGTTAGGGTTATAGTAGAAAGAGCCAATGGTTAAGGATGAAAACCGCCAACGCTAAACCGAACTGAACATTGCTCGAACAGCAATCAGAAGAGGGCGTGGAATGAGAAGAAAAGAGAAAGTAGCGAATCAGAGGCGAGCAGTGGAACAGAATAGCGAATTAGAAGCCAGAATTTGGCTAACAACAGCCCAAAAAATCAAGTTTTTGGAAACAGGGGTATTCCCGCGGGCGGAGAATCCCTTTCTCTCACTTCGTTCGTTTCAGGGCACATAACGCTGGTGGGACACTGTCCTGTGTATTTTAGTCGAAATGCCATACAATGGTAATTATGCGGTCCACCCCAAGCCGGAGGCCTCTTCACCCATTTATCTCCCTTGAATGCCACGCTAGAACTCACAAAATGGCCCCAAGACTTTCGCCATCCAAGCTGCATCTCATCCGCGATATGATAGAGAGCAATTCACTTACGACATCTCAAGTGGCCGAAGAAGCAGAATGTGGCCAAGCTACAATTATAAATATTCGCACAACCTTGCGACAATTTGGAAGCGTGCATGCACCCCCAACTTGAATCGGACGGAAACAGACTGTAACACCACTGATGATCGAGGACCTCTGCGATCACCTGTCTGGAAAGCCAGGTTTATATTATCACGATGAGATGGCTGTTTTCCTCTAGGTCGAATGCCGCACCCTAATCACAATCTCTAGCATTAGAAGAGCCCTTGTCGCAAAAGGTTGGTCCAAAAAGAGCACTCGGCAGCAAGGGGCCAGTACGTACGCACGCATTATATTTGACCGAGCACTTGCAGGATGACCGGCACATTGATCAGCTTGTTCACACATACTGTACCCATCTGACCGGCAATCAACGAGCGAGCTAATAGCTCCACAACAATAGAGATGGCATCCAATCTTCATCCCTGAAAGCTCCAGCTCCTCCACTATAGGTATTATTTCATATACAAAGTGTTACAGACATTGCTTGTACATAAGTAGCAAGGCGAAATATGATAATATGGAAAGCTCGTCCACGGCTACCACTACGTTATTTTCTCTTACGCAACATCTCTTCCATCAAAATGAAGATTTGGCGGTCTGACAAAAAGTCTCGCCTATAGCATATTACTATGTACTGGGCTAAGTAGAGTACGTCTCATCCAAAACTGTCATGGCATGCGCATCCTCCAAGTTGAAGTGGTCCTTGTGGAATTCTAGATCTCCGTTGGTATTGACAAGAGCCCAGAAATCTTGTCCAAGTGTCAACTTTATAGAGCAGGACTATGACAGTTAGCATTGTAAGTACTTAACGGAGGGTGGGTAGGCGTACAATAAAGTCAGGCTCATGTCCATGATTAGGTAGAGGTCTTGCGAATGCAAAGTTGCCATCGCACCATTCCTTCTTCCAAAGCCACGATGCCCCCCGTTGCCAGAATACCACAATCCCGAATGGCGTCATCACATAATTTTCGCTTTCGATTTCCCAGGGCTGTTGATTGATCGTTGCACAGACTTGTAAAGGGGTTTCGCCACTCCTTTTTACTAATTGTACCGAACTGAGTTTGTAGAGGGTATCCCAGTCTCGAAGATAGACACCGACCCACTCACAATCTAGAAATGAAGGCGTAATCGAGGACTGAAGACGCCAGGTGAAGGATTTCGTTCCATCTAATCCCATCAGGAAAGATGGTAATTCACCCAGCAACGCCTCGAACGGGATGAGGGACAGTCGGGGCCGCAGCAGTGTTTCCTTAATTTCTTTCAGTGAGTCTCTGTGCAGACTCACAACCAGAAAGGCGATCACCACCATACTATCTGTCTCGCTAGGGGTAACACCCTTCAATTCGCAAAAGTGATTCTCGGATATTCCTCTTTCCAAAGTGGCTGCAATCAGGCAAAATGCGATATCTGGAATAACATCGTCTACCTTATAATATCGAGCCACATGCAGACAAAACTGCAGGGCATTTAGATCAACAGCGCCAGTTAGAGGGTGCGAGTGGATAGCTAAGATAACCCTTGACCTTAAGAACGTCTCAATGGCCACTGCAGATTTTCCTTCGGATGTAAGAGCCATCTCCATTGCTATGCAGACGGATTTAGCATGCCGCAGATCTAGATGGACACTTGACCATATGCCTGCGTTACTGAATCGGCAGCTATGGTAGACAGTCTCCACTATTTGCCGTAACAAGCTTAAATCATTGACTAAGCCCTGGAAAGCCCTACATGTTCTCTCCAGAGATAGAACAGTGCTGTATGGGCAGAAAGATGCAATATTGAGTATAACTTCCGATGGAAGCCCGGCCAGTCCTGCGAGCATCTAGTTGGATGATCTTTCAGCCTTACCACAAAAGGAAAACAAAGAAAAAGAAAGGCTTACCTCGGATCCCGCCATATTGTTCAAATAGATGTTTGAGGCGTCACACACACGCACAGAGAGAGAGAGAGAGAGTCGCAAGAGTAATGCGTAAGTGGCTGCGGTGGCTAATTATATGCGAGAGAGATCATCGAATGAAGTGTCTTACAAATGTGTAATAAGGGTAAGGGCGTATCAGCACCATGTTGTAAGAGTGATCCATGTGAAGGAGTTGATGGAAGTGGGCCGGGAAAGGAGCACGGATTGCATAAGAGGGGCATCCGCCCCGCACCAAAAGTAATCAGTCGTTCCTGGCATGACCAGTGGCCAATGACAGATGCTATGTAGCCGCCAGCGAACCGCGCGCTCACAAAGTCAGGTCAGCAAATTTCCTCCTTCTCACCCGAGCGAGTAAAGGGCTTTAAAATTACATAACAGAATCCATAGCTATAAAGAAACAAGTTGCCTACCAGGATTAATTGTCTATAGGGTCATTGCAGCCTTCTTTTGAATGCAAACGAGTGACGGCGAAGGTTGCACGTGACGAATAGACCAAGACACGAGAGAACGAAAGAAGGATCTTGCCAGATTGCTAGAAATATCCCTTTGTTTGGTCGGTTTGCACGAAGGATTACGGTACTAATTGTGACTAAGCACTCACCTACACCCTTTCCCGGTGTAGGTGAGCCCACACCTATTAACAAACCCATAATCGGGTCGTCGAACGCGGCCACCAGGCGGTGTCCGGGTTCCCGGGCGCAATGATAACCCGGGCGCAATGATACTTTTTTCAACCTAGCCATCTTCATTAATTCACCATTACCCCAGATCTTCATATTATGTCTCAAGAATTAGAAGACCGCATTATCAAGGCTTTAGAAGCATACCATGCTGCTAAGAAGCCCAAAATCGCGTCGATCGCGCGGGAATTTAGCATTCCATACCAAACCTTCAGAGGGCGAGTTCAGGGTCGGAAATCTCGAGCGGCCCAAACCCCAGGCAATAAAGCTCTAGAACCTGAGCAAGAAAAGGCCTTAATTCTATGGATTGATACCTTAGATCAGGCCTTTTCTCCGCCATCAGCAGCGCGAATTCAGGGTGCTGCCTTGCAAATTATCCAGCGTCATGATCCTTCCCGAACCCTAGGAAAAAACTGGGCTTACGATTTCATCGCTCGTTTACCACCGCGCTTTCAAAATATTAAGCAAAAACCTATGGAAAGGGCAAGATATGAAGCTGTTATACCAGGCTTTCTTGTCACATGGTACGATCGCCTACAAATTACGATTAAAACCTATGGAATCACCGAGAAAAACCTATACAATTTCGATGAAACTGGGTTTAGAATTGGCGAAGGAAAGACTGAAAAGGTTGTCTCAGCCCGGGGCAATTCATCGAATTCTACCGGTGGGCAAGCCGAATCGCTTACCGGTATTGAATGTGTCTCTGCGGATGGTTGGGTTATGCCGCCATGGTTCTTAGTGAAGGGCCAATATCATATGGAAAGCTGGTTTATCGAAACCAATCTACCAGATAATTATACGATCGTTCCAACCCCAAATGGTTGGACTGACGAGATCGTTAGTTTCGCATGGCTTCAGATCTTCGATGAATTTACGTCGTTCCGTGTTAAAAAAGGGGAATATCGTCTTCTTTTAATGGATAATCATAGTTCACATTTAACCTATGACTTCATTGAATTTTGCTGGCAAAAACGAATCATTCCTTATTGTTTTATTCCACATACGACACACGGTTGCCAACCTCTTGATGATACGCCCTTTCAAGTCTTAAAGCATTATTATAAACAGTCGAATAATAATGCTGTCTTCTGGGGTGGTGATCCGAAGCATAAGGCTGAATTCTTCGCCGGGATCCACGATATACGGACAAAATCATTAACGAAGCGCACTATTCGACATGGCTTCCGAGAAACTGGTATTTGGCCAATTAATTCGGACAAAGGCCTTGAGAAATTAGGCTTAGTTGACGATGGTCTTCCTAATATGCCTGGTTTTATCATTCATGATATTGCTTCCGGAACTACACCACCACCACCTTCAAGTTCACTACCAAATTCACTGCCGGCGACCGTGCAAAAGCTAAGAAAAGCGAGCACTAAGGTCATAAAACATATCCAAAATGATACTACAATTTCTCCGAAGGTGCGAGATAGTCTTTCTCGGATTTTGGCGGGTGGGCTCGCTCTTGCCGAGGTTGGTGCTCAATTCGCGGAGGACAATGTGCGGATTCTTCGGCGGAAAAGGCAGTCGAATACTGCTAGAACAAAGCGCAGGCTTCCGGAACTAGGCCCTCGCCTAGTTAAGGACTGTAAAAAGCATATTTCCGACCGTGCCGACCGAGAAAGACTACAAATGTTCAACCGGTCGAAGAAAGCATGGCGGGACGCCGCTATTTTAAAAGCAATTGAGGACGGCGACATTGAGGATACAGGTGAAATTCAGGAGGATTTCGATACAGAAATGGCCCCAGAATGGATAGATAATCTTTATTATGTTGATACTACTGGGGATGTTATTTAAATTCAATGAATTAGATGGACAGGTTGGAAAAGTTATCATTGCGCCCGGGTTATCATTGCGCCCGGGAACCCGGACACCGCCTGGTGGCCGCGTTCGACGACCCGATTATAAGAAAACTAAGAAAGTACCAACTAACCGCCTTGATGGATCAGGAGCGGCAATTACATCCTCTGCGCTGTGTGTAGAGCTTGCATTCAGAGCACATACTGATTTAATAGGGCAAGTAGCCAGCCTCAGGATCAAGTATTCGTAATAACCACATTTGTATAATGTTGCATGACTTCAAAACTCCAGCCGATCGTTGGAAGTAAGAGCTTTTTCAAACTCGTTTCTCTACCCCACTCTTGATTCTCCTTGAAACTCTGAGCAAACCCTATTTTTTATATGAGCTCTAAGCGCTGTCGTGCGACTAAACTTTGTCCCACAAGAAGTGCACACTGCATTGGCGCCTAGGCCTATTCTTTCACGTTCATGACGGAAAAGGTTGCTCAAAGTTGAGAAACGCTTGCCATTACACCCATGATCCCAGCATTGGACCTGTGCACTGGTAATGCGGGGCTCAGCATTCGGCTTCTCTGAAGGGGTCAGGTCACGGGAGGGTTGGCGGTTGAAATCAATATCGTGGTGGTGGTAGGGATGCGCAACTGTCTTTGAAGAAAATTGGGTGGCAATATTTCCCTTGGGATCGTGAGAGAGCACAGGAAAGACATGTGAGGCAGGGGACGTGGAGTTCAAGGATGAGTAACCGTTTGTGGTCTGTGTAGAGGTTTGTGCTTCCAACGGCCTGGTTGAAGCTTGGTGCTTGGACCCGGGGTTACACGCTGATTGCGAATAGTATGCCGCGCTATCTATCAACAGAGTCGGCGTGCGAAAATCTCCGGACAAAGAGTAACCCCTGCCGTTTCGTTAGATAACATCATCGGCATCTGATATGACTGAACTCACGCATCGACTAACGTTCTAGGTGATGATTGAGAGAGAGAGGGAATCTGGGACCGTGGACCCAGCCCTAGACAGTAAGCCGCTAACTGAGTTTGCTCTCGGTGACAGATGTATCGCTGTACAGCTAGATTTTCGTCGTAGCTGACCGATGAGGGATATTGAACTTGAGCGGCCTCGAGTGGAGAATTCATGGATCCTGGCGGATGCGACAAGTGCAGGCCTACGAATGTCAGCTGCAACTCGAAATACTGCGGATGGGCTCTTACGGGGCATTGAACTGTGCATTAGATGGGCATCAACAGTTATTTCAACACATGTGTCAAAACTCGGATCAGGCGACGTAATGGAGAAGGAGAATGCCATTATTGGGGTAATAGTGTGATTTGTTGTGCGGCAAACGTAGAGCAGCATTCAGGCTGGTTCATTCAATCTGGTAGCAAAAGCTATCCGTTGAGTAGAGTAGCTAGCTCCTGATGGATTGTTGCAACGATGACAGCACAATCCGACGGTTTAAACACACAAAACCCATTTTCCCTTAACCACATAATATTCCACAAGCCCTAGTAGGTTGATAAACCTTCTCTTAAAGCTCTTTATTGACTCCGATTTGACCATTGTCGTGTATCTGGGGTGGATGCCAATGCAAACATCGCCGAGAAGCTTCCAGGGGGTATCGAAGAATCGAAGAAGCTGACGGGGGAGAGGCACTCCAAAATCTTCGTTGAAGTGACAGGTGAGAAGGGCAAATAATTTGAGCGAGTCTTCGGTGAGATCTTCCACCATGTCTTGCACATGTCGATTTAAAATGCTGTTCAGGGTTAGAGGGGTCCGTTCCTTTCTGTATCCATTCTTCCTGAGACGTTGACAGGCCAGCACTAGTGATGCAATCCCAGGATCGAGTGTGTGTTGCCGTTCAACTGCGCCTTCGAGGTCTGGGGTACCCAGCCACCAAATTTGCAAAGCTGTTAATGATATTCGGGCTGATATCTTGAGGTCGGCTTCGGGAATCTGTAAAATCAATCTTAGTATGGAAAAAGAAGCGAACACAATTGCCCTTACCATGTTGATGCCGTCCATTTCTATGATAAATGCAGAGGGGGAGGACAGGTGTATGCACAATCGAAGGGGCAAGCAACTTGCATGAGGATCTCTCTTTGTATATTCCAGGTTTTGGAGTGGGAGTAATATGCCTCGGCGCACGGATGTCAATATTACAATACCTTTCGATTAAATGGTAAT